CTTCCTCATGGACAAGGGGGATTTCTCAGGCATTCTCACCACAGTGGGAACTATTATCCAAGATATTATCACTTAATAGAACCTCTGAGAAAAACATCCAAAACCATAAAAAGAACATAATCACTTCCCTTTTTTACACACACTAGGCCTTAATAGCACAACACCTTTAGTTTATAAACTCACTATGTCAGGAAGAGGGCTAGTGGTATGTGTAACTTGGGAAAAAGCAGTATGAACCTCAGTCCTAGGCTTCCCACAGAACCAGTCCTTATAGATATAACACAATACCAATAGTAGGGCTAGGATGGCAACTGCCCAGAGTCCCCACACCCAATCTTCCTCAAACATTAGTATCTTTAAGAATTTTCTTACTAGTTTCTATCACAGTTAATGGGTTTTTACATTACAAATTACAGTCATGGAGTGTTGTCTTCCTCAGTTCCGAGCTTCGGCCGTGCACAGGGAACCAGCTTCTGGGGTGGTTCAGCAAGACTGATGATCACCACCGTGCGTTGAGAGTCCGTTGCTGGTAGGACTCAGCAGGGTGTATTCTTCTTGAACTTTAGCACCAATGGCTTGTCAGTTTTTGTCACCTGGTATGTGACCGGATCACTCTGGTCTGGGGGCTTCAGTCTCATCCAGTGGACCCAGGATCTTCTTTCTAATGTCTTGACAGCAAGAGGTGAACACATCACAACAGTATATGGTCCTTTCCATCTAGGTTTTAAAGGCTCATTTTTCCAATGTTTTATCCATACCCTATCACCTGGCTTCTAGTTGTGACCTGCAGTCGTAATAGGGGGAGTTCTACATTCTTGCATATATTGCTTTAGTTGATTGACATGATTGTTGTGCTGTTGTAGCTGTAAAAGTAATTTCCTCGCTTCCACACACCCCTTTTGAACTAGGTCTGGCCAGCCTTGAAAGTGGTGCTTAAACAAAGCAGGGGGCCTACCATACAGGAGTTCAAAAGGAGACAGCTGGTATTTAGTCCGTGGGGCTGTTCGAAAAATGTACAAGGCCATGGGGAAAACTTGAAGCCATGGCAAGTGGGTTTCTAAGCACAGTTTGGTAATAATTGCTTTCAATGATGGATTAGGCCTTACAATTTTTCCTACAGATTGGGGCCGAAATGCACAATGATATCTCCATTTCAGGCCCGCTGCTTCAGCTAGGTGGCAATTTATACGTTGCACAAATTCTGGGCCGTTGTCAGAGCTGATGGTAGATGGACATCCAAATCTAGGGATTATTTCCTTTAAGAGAAAGCGTGCCACTTGTATAGCTAATTTATTTCTAGTAGGGTAGGCCTCGATCCATCCTGAGTAAGGGTCAATGAAAATGAGCAGGGCTTTATAACCATTGCATTTGGGCATGTCAGTAAAGTCCACAACTAAGTAGTCCATGGGCAAGTAGAAGATGGACTGCTGTCCTGATGGTAAATGCGGTCCTTGCATAGCATTCACTTGTGCACACGTAGGACATTGGGAAGTTACTTTGGCAACCAGGCTCTGCAAGTTAGGTATGTAGAACGTTGCTTTGCAACTGTTGGGCTAAAGCAGTCTTGCCAATATGTGAGGTCAGATGTGCCTCTGATACTAAAAGCCAGGCAAGTGAAACTGGTACCACTAGGCGATTGTCTGGCAGGATATACCATCCCTTTACAAGAGTGGCTTTTAGATCTCCTTCAGCCTTGTCCCTCTCCACATGAGTATAGGTGGGATGCGATCTTTCAATGTATGACTCTATTTCTTGTGCCAGATAAAGATAGTAATCATTTTTATCTAGGGGACGGTGTGCTGCCAATTTGGCCTCTCTATCAGCAAATCGATTGCCCTGTGCAACAAGAGTGTCTGCCTTCTGATGAACTGGACAACGGATGACAGCTAAGGATTTAGGAAATTGTGCCGCAAAAATCAATCTTTTAATTAGAGGGGCATGTTGGATTAGTTTGCCTGCAGAATCAGTGAAGCCCCTTTCCTTGTAAATGGCTGCATGTGCTTGAATAGTCAAAAAGGCATATTTACTGTCTGTGTACACATTAATAGTCTTGTCTGTGGCTAACTCTAATGCTCGGATGAGTCCCCATAACTCAGCTGCTTGAGCACTGGTACCCACTGGAAGAGGAGCACTTTCAATTACTGTTTGTTGGCTAACTATAGCATACCCTGCATAACGAGCACCATCTTCCATAAAGCTGGAGCCATCAGCTTTATTAGGTAGGTGATATGCATTGAACAGGGAAGCAGAAAAACATAGTTATTGCACAACCAAATTATTTTATTTTATTTATTTATTTATTATTATTATTTTTAAATTTATATGCCGCCCTTCTCCCGAAGGACTCGGGATTGCTCACATAAATAAAAAACAATAACAATAAAATCTAAAACCAATCCAAAATCAAAATCCCCAAATTTAAAACCTCGTAGAATGATCAGGGAGTTTGCTGGAACAGCCATGTTTTCAGGCCAGCGCGGAAAGTGCGGAGATTGGGAGCTGTCCGGAGCTCGGTGGGTAATGTTAAGGATATTGGTGTTGTGTTACCAACCAGCAGAGTAAATGCACAAGGAAATGTTGTTGAGAGCAATGAATAAGAGATATGCAAACTGGTTTATCAAAAGCTTATTTTATAGTAGAAAAACAATCTCATAGTCTTTAAACAAATTCCAAGTCTTTGCCAGTAAATCAGTCCAGTAGTTACAGATATCTTCTTACCAAACAAACAATAGTTGGTTAGAATAACAAACTCACTCTGGTTCACAAACCACGATGGTAGCAGATCCATCAAACGATGATAGCACAATGAATAGCAACTCCACACACTATGATAGCTTATCATAGCAGCAACTGAACACGTTACAATACCTTGCTTAAATACTCTCACAACCAGTCATTACCTAATTACAGCATGACTCAGCATTAAAGCCTTAAAGTTACACAATAGATATTCATATTAAAGTTACAGTATACATATATTGCCTGGACAACTTGTTAGGCTCAAACCATATCCTAACATTCTCCCCTTTGGACAGGTCAGTATATACAGTTTAGATTCTTAATCCATAGCTTTCACAACACGTTTTATGTTTTATAGCACCTTGCGCTTTGGTAAAATTATCAGCAATATTGTCTTCCGACATACAATATTCCAACTTAACCATGTTGCTTTGGATACACTGATGAACATTTAGATACCGAATGTTTCATTAAACTAATATAGTATCAGTCCTAATATGAATTCAGTCAGTTGTATGGCTATTCAGAGATAGCAATCTGGTAGCTGAAAATGCAAGTTGGTCTTGCCATCTGCGGTGTTCATCAGGTGAATCTTTTCTAATCTTTATTAAGGTTTGGGTGCCTCTCTTGATGTTTTCCTTCTTTGGCATGAGTCCTGAAAATTCCAAGATTAATGGAAACATTTGGTGACGTAGGCCAGATACTAACAGGGGGATGAACCCAGGAAAAAGGGGACAATTTCCTTGTTTATTTCCTCCCTTACCTAAAGAAATAGAACAAGAGTTCTGTTTTGAAAATCTTTGAATGTCTTGGTCAAAATACGTTTTCCTGTCTAATTTGTTTGTCAATGTTGCAAAGAAACAGGCAGAGATTAATTCTTGGTTAATTTAGTTTGCTGTTCACTTTTCATTATCACATATGCAAATTAAGAGGAAGAAACTGTAAACCCACAACCCAACAGAGGCTTGTTTCCCGAACAACACAATATTAAAAAGATGTTGAGACTCTGGAAAGAGTGCAGAGAGGAACAACAAAAATGAATAGGGGGCTGGAGGCTAAAACATATGAAGGAATGGTTACAGGAATTGGGTATAGTCTAATGAAAAGGACTATGGGAGACATGATAGCAGTGTTCCAATATTTGAGGGGCTCCTACAAATATGAGGGCGGTCAAATTATTTTCCAAAGCACCAAAAGGGAAGACAAGAAACAATGATTGGAAACTAACCAAGGAAAGAAGCAACCTAGAACTAAGCAGAAATTTCCTAAGAGTGAGAACTAATGAAATAGTTTGCCTTCAGAAGTTGTGGGTGCTCCATCACTGAAGGCTTTTGAAAAGAAACTGGACAACCATTTGTCTGAAATGCGAGTGTCCTTCTTGAGCACGGGTTTGGACTAGAAGACCTCCAGGGTCCCTTCCAACATCTTATTCTATGTTCTAATTGCAATTTGACTCTTCCCAAAAATGGTTCTTTTAATGGTTCCCTTTTTATTACAATTTGAAGGTACCTTTATTTGGCCAAATATGATTGCCTGCTCATTCCTGAACTCAGTCCACAATCATTACATAATTGTTGTGCACACGCTTTCTTCATTCCTGTCTGGATGGGCAATTTCTTTTTGTCCCAGGCTTTCAACAATCTCCCTATAGAGATTCTGGTGAAAGTCCAGAATGCAGAGTTTCCCATACTTCTGCTGAGTTTTCCAAACTTCACAGCAAGACTCTTCTGCAGGGTCTCCCACTGTAGGGTCTCCCTAAAGGGATTCCCACTGCAGGGTCTCCCACCTGGCTCCTTTCAGATCGTATTGCTATTCAACTTGCCATTGAAATGAGTGTGTGTGTGAGAGAGAGAGAGGAAGGGTGGAATGGAATGCTGAAGGTTTGCGCATGAAGCCTGAGATCCTGGAAACCATCAAATTCAATTTAATAACCATTTCAAAAGACAAGCAAATGGGAAAAGGAAAGCACAGTTGCAGTCAAGTGACTTCCTACTTAGTGACAGAATTTAGTGACAGAGCTGCCAGTCCCAATTCTGCTAAACGAGAACTATTTCTTTATTCTTTAAAAAGATATTATCCATAGGCAAAAGTGTAACATCTAGCAATGGAACTAAAATGGAATAAGCAATAATTGTCCAGGGAAAGCAGTCTGGGTTGGCAATTTGATCTGTTCAGATAGATACTGCTTTAAACATATTATAAATTGTGCGTGTTAATTATTTATCTTGTTGTTTACTCAAGCAATTTATCTCTTTTTACAGTTTTTCACTTGTCCCATAAAGTTACCACTGTGGTTCCAGAAAGTGTTCTCCTCATTGTCCTTGGCATCTTCCTGGGTGGCATTGTATATGCAGCTGATCATATTGCCTCCTTCACCCTTACACCAACAGTTTTTTTCTTCTATCTGTTGCCACCCATTGTGTTAGATGCGGGATACTTCATGCCAAACCGACTATTCTTTGGCAACTTAGGAACAATTCTTCTATATGCTGTCATTGGGACCATCTGGAATGCTGCTGCAACGGGCTTATCCCTTTATGGAATCTATCTTAGTGGAATAATGGGTAAGACTGAATTTTCAGACACACTGTTATTTCATAATTAGCAATTCAAAGTAATCTGCACCTTTTAATAAAGGATAGAGAATGCCACACAAAGAAATACCAGTTTATGTTTGAATTCTAAATGATTGAAACATGATATAAATACCAATACATAAATAGAGTGGAGGAGGACTGGAGGACTAATTCACTAATGCAGCTAATTACTCAGAAAGTACTTCTCTTTCATTAGAACTATTCAAACAATGTTTAGATTGTTTCTTTGGGAACACTTTAATTTAGATTTCTAGTTTTATAGGGTTTAATGAGAATTCCAATCTGGCTCAGGAGTTCTATGTTTTTAATGATCTACTTTGTTCTTTTAGGTGAACTTCATAGTAGATTGCTAGATTTTCTCTTGTTTGGCAGTTTAATAGCTGCAGTGGATCCTGTTGCTGTGATCGCTGTGTTTGAGGAAGTTCATGTCAATGATGTTCTCTTCATAATTGTTTTTGGAGAATCACTGCTCAATGATGCTGTAACTGTGGTAAGACTCTCTTTGAAAACTTGTCGTTGCTAAAATTCTGATTGTTCAGAAATGTATTGAGAAATTTATGCTTAAGAAATTTAGATTTGAAAATAAGTAATAAGTTTAAAACTTATTATGTTTAAAACATCAACAGAGAGATAGTATCAAGATCACAAGAAATAATAGCACTGCTTTATTAGTGAGTAATGAGGCCACAATTGGAATATCTGAGTCCAGTCCTGGTTGTCAAGATAGAAAAAAGATCCTGAGGCTCTAAGAAAGAATGCAGAGAAGAGCAAAGAAAAAAGAAAAAAAAAAGAAAAAGGAAGGTCTGGAAACTAAATTCTACAATGAATAATTAAGGGAACTAGGAAACTGTCTAGTTTAATGAAGAGAAAGACTAGGGTGATATGATAGCAGTCTTCCAATATTTGAGGAGCTATCACAGAGAAGGGGTCAACCTAATCTCCAATGCACTTGACGGCAGGACAGTAGGTAGTGGGCAGAAGATCAGTAAAAAAGAGATTTAATCTAGAACAAAGGAGAAGTTTCCTGGCAGCAAGAACAATTAATCAGAGGAACAGCTTGCCTCCAGAAATTGTGGGTGTTCAATCACTGGAGGTTTTCAGTCACAGCCAATGAGCAGCCATTTGTCTGGAATGATATAGGATCTCCAGCTTGTGCAGGGGTTGAATTAGAAGATCTTCAATGTTCCTTCCAACATTATTATTTTATGTTCTAAACTGAAAAGTAATCAATTAAATTATTAGACTGACTGAGGAACATTTTTAGCCCGTACATCATTTTATTAAATAGTTAAAATGTTTCCCACATGTACAAAAAAGTGAAACATTACATAGGGCCAACTGAAATCCATTTTTTGGTTCCCACTGATCCTTGTGAATCTTTTTTTTGTATGCAATGTTAAGGAGAAAATTAGGTATTTTAAGTTGTTTTAGATACTTAAGACAATTTATTTTGCCTTATAATTTTCTAACACCTCTTCCCTCACACACAAAATATTGAGTGATCAGATTGAGTGTTGCTACTAGCTAGAATTTCCCCATACCTTTTTTACTGTATTTCATATACACTAAAATATTCCTATCCTTGTTTTACTGTATTCCTTATAAAGTAAAATATGTTAGCTTTTTAATATGATTTTGATAGATTTGATATGTGTTAAGATATTGAATATGGAAGCCAGTTTGGTACAGCAATTAAGGCATCTAGCTAAAAACTGGGAGAGTATGAGTTCTAGTCCCACTTTAGGCATAAAGCCACTTTGTTCAACCCTAGAAAGGAAGCAATGGCAAATCCCTTTTGAAAAAGAAAATTGCAGGAACTTGTCCAGGCAGTCTTGAAAATGAGATCCGATTGAATGGAGGGGGGGGGAAACCTTTCTGCATGAGCATTTCATCAATGTTTATTTAAATGAATATTCTAATTTATTTTAATTTTGTCTCATATTATTTATTCATGAAACCACAATTTTATTTCCCTTTTAGGTGCTGTATAATGTGTTTGAGTCTTTTGTTTCAATAGGAGCTGAATATGTGACCGGTGTAGAATGCATAAAAGGCATAGGTTGGTAGCTATTTATGATGATAGATAGATAGATAGACAGACAGACAGACAGACAGACAGACAGACAGACAGGAGAGACAGTATTTCATATGCATATATATTAATATGTTCCCATGTCTTGTAAATAGTATATATTGGAAAGCAGAAATTAATATTTAAACAGTCATAACTTTGCAGCTAAGGCAAGTATTTTTGACCTTTGCAACATCTCTTTCAGTCATATATTCACCATTATAATGAGTTAATACATATTGTTCTGTGCTGGACCTTCTCCCTTCCTCTTATTTTTCTTCCTTGTAGATTGGAGAGTTTGGAAAGGAAGGGATTACAACAAGACAATAAGAAGACACATAATTGAAATATACATTGAAAGGAATGTGCTGATGCTGGCTGTTTGCCTAACAAGTTTGGGCTAAGAGCCATGAGCACACTTTGCAAACAGACAGTGTATTGCCATTTAGAACACAGAATATGGAATAATAGGGTTAGGATTAGAAAGAATCTTGGAGGTCTTCTAGTCAAAGCCTCTCCCAATACCATTCCAGACTTTCCTTCAGCTTGATGGCTTGATTTCTTTTGAACAATTTATATCTTCTGCTTATGGGTTCCAATCAGGGGTGAAATGCTCCCGGTTTAGACCGGATCGCCTGATCTGGTAGCGATAGAGTCAGGTGGTTCGGAGAACCAGTAGCAAAAATCTCTGCCCCCCCCCCCATGCCCAGCTGAGCCACACAATCATCAGAAGCTTTTTTTTTTAGTTTTAAAAGCATTTTTTCCTACAATCTCTTCGGCCGAAAAAATGCTTTTAAAAATAAAAATAAAAAAAGCCTCTGCTGATTGTGCAGTTCAGCTGGGATCTTCAAAGGCTTTTAAAAGAAAAAAACCCCTTTTTTTCTTTTAAATGCCTCTGACGATACAAGCTGAGTTGCCTGATCGGCATAGGCTTTTTATAAAACTCAGAAACCCTTTTTTTTCTTTTAAATGGCTCTGACGATCCAAGCTGAGTTGCTTGATCAGCAGAGGCTTTTTAAAAAACTCAACTTGGATTGTCAGAAGCATTTAAAAGAAAAAAAGGGTTTTTTTCTTTTTAAATGCCTCTGACGATCCAAGCTGAGTTGACTGATCGTCAGAGCCTTTTGAAAGCATTTTTTACAACCTCTTCACCAAAGAAGTTATAGAATAAATGGTTTTAAAAGTAAAAAAAAAAAAAAAATGGCAACACCCAGCCAGTCACATTACCCCCCTTCCCACACACACACACACCAAGCCATGCCCATAGAACCGGTAGTAACAAATTTTAGATTTCACTACTGGTTCCAATCATGAATACTTACCATATATACATAAACTGTATTGGACTTTTATATGAACCCTATTAAAAAGCAAAAGTAACTAAAACTTCAGTAAGGTAGTGGACCACAACATACTATTTGGTAAGATAGAAAAATATGGAATAGACTGCATCACAATCGAATGGATTCATAATTGGCTGACCAACCGCCTTCAACCTGTAGTCTTACTGGAACTACAACTACATAGAGGGAAGTATGCAGCGGGATATCTCAAGTTTCTCTCTTAGGCCTAGGACTCTTCAACATCTTCATAAACAATTTAGATGAGGGGATAGAGGGGAAATTCATCAGATTTGCAGATGACACTAAGTGGCAAGAATAGCCAAACTTTAGAAGATAAGCTCAAGATACAGGAGGATCTTGACAGACTTGAACATTGGGCCCTATCTAACAAAATGAAATTCAATGGTGAAAAAAGTAAGGTTTTACAGTTAGGTAAGAAAAACCAAATGCACAGGTACAGAATAGGTGGTACTTGGCTCAATAGTAGTGAGTGTGAGAGGAATCTATGAGTCCTAATGGACAACTACTTAAATATGAGCCAGCACTGTACTGCAGCTACCAAAAAAGCCAACTTAGTCCTGGGCTTCATTAACAGAGGAATAGCATCAAGATCACAAGAAGTGTTAGTGCTAGTTAGTGTTAGTTAGTAAATTTTATAATGCCTTAGTAAAAGCACACTTGGAATATTGCATCCAGTTTTTGTCACCATGACACAAAAAAGATGTTAAAACTCTAGAAAGAATGCAGATAAGAGCAACAAAAATGATCAAGACACTGGAAGCTAAAATATATAAAGTAGATTGCAGGAACTGGGTATATCTAATGAAAAGAAGGATAAGGGTTGATATGATAGCCACCAAAATCTAGGGGGCTGCCACAAAGAAGAGGCAATTTATTCTCCAAAGCACTTGAAGGCAGGACAAGAAGCAACATGGAAACTTATGAAGGAAAGGTCCAACCTAAAAATAAGGAGAAATTTCCTGATAGAACAGCTCATGAAACAGCTTGCTTTCAGAAGTTGTGAGTTCTTGTTCACTGGAGACTTTTTTGTCAAATCTTTATTTTAAAAAAATGCTAAAATACAAAAACTCCAAAAGATTAAACAAACAACCAATACCACATAGCAAACAAGACATTTAAAAAGTGAATTGAAAAGAAAACCCTCACACCTATATATATATATATACATATTATCTTCAAGAATTGAATACTGATGGATATATTACAATAATATTAATTTCCACGCCTTGCAAAACAGACCCAAAAGATTTTCAAACTACTAAATCTGTTAGGAAATTGCTAATCTGTCATCTATATAATATATTAATGACAAAACAATTAACAGGAAGAACATTAATGATAAAAAGACAAAGTTAAAGTTTCAAAATTCTCTGTTAATAAACTGTTATTGTAATTAGGTGATAGGAAATTTTCCATGAGATTTTATCATCCCAAAAGTTAACAGTAATTGGACAGTCATTTTTCTGAAATGGTATAGATCTCCTACTTGAGCAAGGGTTGAACTATAAGACATCCGAAGTCCCTTCCAACTCAATTATTCTGTTCTATTCTGTTCTGTTCTATTCTATTCTATTTCTATTTCTATTCTATTAACAAAGTTCAATTTTTATGTGATTTTATTGCAGTATCTTTCTTTGTGGTGAGCCTTGGAGGTACTTTTATTGGCATTATGTTTGCATTTCTGCTCTCGCTTGTCACTCGTTTCACAAAGCATGTCAGAATAATTGAGCCTGGATTTGTATTTGTCATTTCTTATCTCTCCTACTTGACAGCTGAGATGCTGTCATTATCTGCCATCCTTGCGTAAGTTTCTATTGTTTTTTTTACTAGAGGAAATTGTCATTTAATTTACAGTTTCTCACTAATTCGAAAAAGTAAGCTATGTTTAAAAGTTAAACTATATGTATTCATGTTGAGAATCAGTTTACACAGTTATTTACATTGTATATATGATTTAGCTACAGAACACAAAAAGAAATAATTCCTATTTGTGAGTACATAATGTGAGTCTATATGGATTCTTCTGTGAATTCAAGACTATATAGCTAGCCTGCATATGCAGTCCAGGTGTGGAATCCAGCTATAGAGTATGTAAATCATGGGCATTGATGTGTAAATTAATTATAAATTGATAGTTTAATAATAAATCCAACAGGATAGGAAGAAGGAGGAAATTAAGAAGGGAATTTACATGGTCAGTTAAGAAGTTGCCTTTTGGCTTTCCACATATTCTAACATTATGGGTAATATTCTTTCTTCTTGCAAACTGCTCCAAATACAATGTCACATAGCTGCTGATTCTTTTCACATAAAACTACATATAATCCAATAACATTTCAAAACACCAGAATATTACAAAGATGCATGAGAGGAATTTTCTTATGTCTCATGGCTATAAAGGTAGTTCTCAATTTATTATCATAATGGAGCCCAAAATCATAGTCATAGGTTGTACTGTAGATGTTAAGAGCTGCCCACTTAACAATCACAATTCCAGTTTAACATTGTGGTGATTTAGCAACTGCACAGATCACAAAGTAGAGCATGGGGTGCCTTAGGATGTTGGGAAGGCCCGGTGCAAACCCAGGCCTATACTGCAACATCTCCCCAGCTCATATATGGTCTGTGTCGGGCCTCCCAGAGCCTCTACTACCCTAAGGCACCTCTTGTACATTTTCCTGCCCTGCTGAGTCTCACAATCTTGGGCCTCCTCCCTGACCTATCATGCCTTGTTCCACTTTTCTCTTCTGAAGATCATCTTTTCAAAAGAGCATCCAGACAATGCTGTATTAAGTCTTCCTACACTCATAACTGGGTTGCCAGCTACCACATTATTCAGCAGATACATTTGTTTACTTGTTTATTTATACTTCATATTAGTTTAACAAAAATTACAATTTAGAAAAAAGGATCACAAGAATATATGACTAAGATGTTCAGTATATTTTTCCAGGATAACGTTCTGTGGTATCTGCTGTCAGAAATATGTCAAAGCAAATATTTCAGACCAATCTTCTACCACTGTGAGGTACTCCATGAAAATGTTAGCAAGTGGTGCAGAAACTATTATTTTTATGTTCCTGGGAATTTCTGCTGTTAATCCTAAAATCTGGATTTGGAACACTGCTTTCATAATCCTGACACTGGTTTTCATCTCTGTCTATAGAATCATTGGTAAGAGAATTTTTTTTTACCTTTGTTAATATTAATTAAATAGAAGTATTATTATTAGTATTTTCTTAATATGGGTCAGATAAGAAGACTGTATTCTGTCCCCAGAACATTTGCTGCTCTGGCAGGACATGATGACATTTCTATTGTAACTTCTTATTCTATATTCAAATGTATGGTATTCTGCCTGTATAACAGTAATATGTTTTACATTTAGCTAGCTTATAGATAAAGTTTGGCCCTACCAGCCAAAACAGGTACAGTTTATTCCCCTCACAAGAAAGTATTCAGGGATTATTACATACTTCCTCTTTCCTCTCTCATCACTTCCTATTACAAGCATTGATGAGAAAGAGAAGGGAACTGAGGTTATTCCATCCTCCAACTTCCATGCAGAGAAGCCACTTATACTTCTTAAACTCCAATCTCATTTGGAAGTACTGCAGATGGGAAATGTATCCTTTCACACCTTTAGGCAATTTAGGCTCTATAGTGCAATATTTGGCAAACCTTTTCGTCACCGAGTGCCGAAACAGGAGCGGGCATGCATGTGCCCACATGCCAGAAACCGGAAGAGCAGCTACCCAGCACGCACATATACACCAAGAAGATGATCTTCTGTTTTCTGGTGTGTAGACGCGCACGAAGACTAGCTGGCCGGTGCGCATGTGTGCATCAGAAACCGGAAGAGCAGCCATCCGGCATGCTTGCATGCACCGGGAAGATGATCTTCCGGTTTCTAGTGCGCATACATGCACGAAAACCAGCTGGCCAGCGCGCATGCATGCACCAAAAACCGGAAGAGTGTCCATGAAGTGCTCCCCAGCCCGCCACCAAGAACAAGCCAGTGTAGCTCCCCGCCACTTCTGCCAAGAGAGCTTCCTGACTGGCACGCCTCTTACCTTACAGGAGGAACAGGACGTTCCTCCTGTGTGGACTTGGCTCCTGTGCAGCCCTGCCACCCCAGAAGAGCAGCAGCGGCAGCATCCACAGGTCGAGGGGCAGGAATGACCAGCTGGCACCTGCAGCCACTCCCCTGCCAGTGAACCAGGCCCTTGGCGGCGTCTCCATGCATGAGGAGCTGCACTCTCCTCCAGCCCTCCTGGGGCAGCTCACCTCTCTGATGGCAGCTCCTCCTCCAGCATCCCAGCTGGAAGTGGCAGCACAAGAACTGCTGCCACCCCTTCGTCCCCAGTGGTGGTTGCTGTTGCTCTTCTGGGGCGGCCGAGCCAGCCAGGTGCTCCAGACCGCAGATGAGCATTGGTGCTCCAGGCTGGAGTGCTGGGGCCACGCAAGAAGCCCATTCAGGTGGGGCGGGATGAAAGCCCCAGCCCACCCATCCTGGCTGACAGCTCTGTTCCCCTAGGAAGTGACTGCCGCAGTGGTGAAATTCAACCGGTTCTATCCAGCTTGGGCGAACTGGTAGCGCCAGTGGTGGGAGGCTCTGCCACTCGCCCGGATGCATCACGTCCCATTTTTACCCTCTGCACATGCACAGAAGGCTCATGTGTGCTTACATTTGTGAACTGGTAGCGAAGGTAAGTGAATTTCACCCCTGGACTGCCAGGATACCATATCCGTGTCTTTGGGCACACGAGCCATTGCCCATTGCTCTCCCGGGTTCCGACACGAAGGCCAGCTGATCTTCACGCATGCGGGAGTGCTGGAAACCAGAAGATCATCTTCCCAGTGCACGCATTTGTACCAGGCAGCTGCTCTTCCAGTTTCCAGCCCTCCCACATGCGTGAAGACCAGCTGGCCGGCGCACTGGAACCCGGAACAGGCGACGGCTCACATGCCCGGAGAGATGGCTCTGCATGCCACTTCCGGCACGTGTGACATAGTTTACCATCATGGCTATAGAGTGTAGGGATAGTTATATTTTTTAGCTTAGGCAGCAGGTAGGCCATATAATAGCTAAGAGCACATGGGCTCTTTTATGGATCAGGCTGCTAGTTATTATGTATATATATATTCATGTACAAGTGCCTAGTCATGTAATCACATGCCATTTTTTATTTTCTTCTAGTTTTACCTGAACTGTCCTAATGTCCTAATTCCCAATGAAATGTGTGTTATTCTGATACCTTTGATACATTTGTTTAAACAGGTGTAGTTATACAGACTTGGATTCTAAATCGCTATCGAATGGTACAGCTGGAAATAATAGACCAAGTAGTAATGTCATATGGTGGTCTCCGTGGTGCTGTTGCCTTTGCCTTAGTCGTACTTTTGGATGAAAACAAAGTGCAAGATAAAAACCTATTTGTCAGCACAACTATCATAGTTGTATTTTTCACTGTAATATTCCAGGTATTCAATTCAATTTTTCCTAAAATAAAAAATAAAAATCCTTGTCATAGAGGGTAAAAGGTTGTACAGATAATCCTTGAGTTATAACAGTTTATTTAGTGAAGTTCAAAAGTAAAACAGGACTGAAAAAAGTGACTTAAAACCGTTTTTCAAATTTACGACTGTTGCAGCATCCCCAAGGTCACGTGATCAAAATCCAGACACTTGGCAACTAATTCATATTTATAACAGCTGCACCTTCTTGGGGTCATGTGATCACTTTTTGCAACTTTCTGACAAGCAAAGCCAATGGGGAAGCCAGATTCCTTTAATGACTATTGTCAAGCCTGAATTTTACTTGGGTGTTCTAATGTTAATTCAGTTTGACACAGTTTTGAGCTGGAGGAGGATGGAGCCTTCAGTCACCACAACATAATTAGCTGATGAGTCATGCACATTCCAATGGCTCACTGACTGGAGGAGGAGGAGAGAAGTCGCCAAGCAACAAGCTCTCATCTTGGTTGGACAATGTGACCGATTGTTTTGGAAATGTGAGAAACTGAAACTTATATTGGGGTGAAAAGCCCAGGAACTTTAGTAGTGGCTTTTCACCAGTAGCACCAAGATGGTGTATCTAAATAAATTTGTTCTTAGAGGAAAATCAATGCCTCGGAGTTCGATTTGTAATAGATATATTACTTGGAGCCTGACAACTATGTTATTAACAACTACACTGATTCACTTAACCACTGCACTTAACAACTGTAGAAAGAAAGGTCGTAAAATGGGACAAAACTCACTTAACAATTGTCTCACTTAGAAACAGAAATTTTGTCTAATTGTGATCAGAAGTTGTGGACTACCTGTACATACATTGCGTGTTATGTCCTTTAGTAGTCTTTAGCCTAATATATGTGAAAGATTCCTTTGAATGCTGTTTTCTGCCTCAGGAATAAAATATGTGTGTTCTGTCTCAAGAATTATATATATATAATGTGCCTCACACACACACACACACACACACACACACACACACACACACACTCTCTCTCTCTCTCTCTCTCTCTCTCTCTCTCTCTGTGTGTGTGTGTGTATATATATATATATATATATATATATATATATATATATATTTGCCGATCTATAAAATAAATCATATATTATATGCATTTACACAGAAAAGCAGCAAATGAGTGCTTTTGAGGTGCAGCCTTTTAAAACTTTTGTCCCATGTCTTTTATGTCCAGTTATATATCCAAAACAATTCCTAAAAGTAGGCTCTGTACTGCCAAAGCAGAAAGTAACTTTTCTATTTAAAAAAAATTGGAGGGAGAAAAGCTGGCCATTAAAAAGCCATGAACTAAGTAAGACTATCTATTTTAAATAAAGAGATCCTATTTTATATTTTCACCATTTAAGTCGTTACATTTTCCCACATAAAAACTAAAATATCTGTCATAAATGAGAATACATATTTTTAATGAACATTACTATTTCATGAGACCTATATAAGCAAGGCAAACCATTTCATTTACTTGCAAAAGGAAATTTGTTATTTCGGATTCTTTAACACAGTTTCTATAATATTGGGTTCTAATTTCAGTGATAATGAACTATTGATTTTGATTCGAAACACTACAACATTATTGTAGCAAATTCTGTGAAGACATGTTTATTTGCAAATGTGTTATATTTTATTTTATTTATTGGTTCGATTTATATGCCGCCCTTTTCCGGAGACTGAGGGTGGCTTACAATGCATTAAGCAATAGCCTTCATACTTTTGTATATACCTGCTTAGTAGGGATTTCGCCCTCCCCCCAAGCGGTGTTCTTTTTTTATAAAAAGTCAGCTTATTGCCCCCACAAACCGGGTCCTCATTTTAACTGTCATTAAAAATGTTTTCAGAATACTATATTATCAACACCAAATTATCAAATATGAGGATATTTATGTATTATAATTATATAGGAATAGAACATTAACTTAGTTGGAGCAGGCAGAATGTGTGTTGGAGTAAATAGAATAATCTGTCAATCAAGATGTCAAGGTGTATTCATTTCCTAACCATAGCCATTCTAACGATATGTGAAAGGGTACCTAAATCAGTACCTTTATTTAGTGATATGCAAGTTTCATTTCTTTTTTTCATTCTTTAAATGTGTAATGTTTCTTTTAAGTAAAACTAAAGTAATTTGTTCTTTTTCCTTCAAAGGGTTTAACAATCAAGCCTTTAGTGCAATGGTTGAAGGTGAAAAAAAGTGAACACAGAGAACCCAAACTGAATGAGAAGCTCCATAGCAGGGTAACCTAATTTATGTTCCAAAGAAATATAGTTTAAGGAGTTAGAATTTCCTGCAAGCTACTTTTAAATAACAATGTACTACCATTGTGATAGAGGGGAAATGGGTGGCATAAACTTTTAATAAATAAAATAAACTGCGTAATTTCCAATTTCATATTTATGTTTAAAAGAAGCCCCTATGCTTCTTGTTCCTTTGCAATATGGAGGAAAATAATACTAAGGGAAATAATAGTAAATATACATGCTGAACCTGCATGTGAAAGAAAAGAAAGTCCCTGCCTCAGCTATATCAAATTAGATAGTATAGCTAATTTGAGGGCTCTCCCCCGCTGAAACTGAAATAGATTAGTATATATTTCTCACCATATTCTTGTGTGAAGGAAATGAATAATAACAGGTTTGCTCATTCACTAATGTAAACATAAAACCCCCTTTTAGCAGAAGGCAAAAGATGAGGCTCTTACCTCTTTAGCATGATAGAAAAATTGGAAATTTCTTAGCAATTGGTTATCAGAATAATTTTATTTCATGTTACATTATTTCAAATAAGTTCTTAAGGAGTAACTATTAGAAAACATTGCTACCAATTTTTATGTAAACATAATTATTCCCCCAATCTCCTTAATGTGATTAAAAAGAATTTAAGGAAAATCTGGCAAATGCTTTCTAACTATAGTTATTTTTCAGTAACCTTCAGAACATCCTGTTTCTCTGCCAATCTGGAGAAGGAATACATCTGGTTTTCCACATACCTAATACTGTATATAAGGAGGAGCACAATGGCTCAGTGGTTAAAGACATTGAGCTTATCAGTTGGAAAGCGGACAACTTGGGTTTAAGACTTGAGCACCGCATAACCGAGGGAGCTCCCGTTACTTGCCCCAGCTCCTACCCACCTAGCAATTTGAAAGCATGCAAATGAGAGTAGATAAATAAGTACCACTTTGGAGGGAAGATTACAACATTCCCTGTGCCTTGGCATACAGTCATATTGGCCATATGATCACCGAAATGTCTTTGGACAATGCTGGCTCCCTCGGCTAAGAAATGGAAATGAGCACCAGCCCCTAGAGACATGACTGGATACAGGAAAGCTTTACCTTTTTTAAAGTATAATTAAAAAAACATTTTGGATTGGATAATTAAGCTTGGAAACTGTGAGAGCCTAGATGGGTCAAGATAAACTGAAATTAAATCCTCACTAGATAAATGTATCATTTGTTGGTGAATAATCAGCTCAATTCCAACATTAGCTCTGGATGTGGATACACTTATCCTAAAAGAGCAGGTCTGTGATGTGAGGAACTTCTTAGACTTGTGGTGCCTATCCAGGCATTCCTGGATTGTGGAGCACCACAATCTCTGGAGGCAAGTTGTTCCACTGATTAATTGTTCTCATTATTTAAAAAATTCTGCTTCGTTCTAGGTTAGATCTCTCCTTGATAAGTTTCCATCTATTATTTCTTGTCCTGCCCTCAAGAGAATAGGTTGATCTCCTTTTCTCTGTGACAGCTCCTCAAACACTGGCCCTAATCTTTCTCTTTGTTAGACTAGATATACCCAGTATGTTTAGCCTCCAGCCCCATAATCATCTTTGTTGTTATTCTCTATACTTTTTTAGCATCTCAACATCTTCTTTGTATCATGGTGACCAAAACTGAACTCAATATTCCAACTATGATCTTACCAAAGCAGTGCAAAGGGGTACTAACACTTTACATGACCTTGATAATATTCCTCTATTGATACAGCACATTGCTGGCTCACTTAAGGGTTTTTTTTTGCCAGTTAGGCCCGCAATACTTGCTGATGTTGTTGATCCATTTTGTTTTAGGTCTTTTTTGTGGATAGTCTTACCAAGTGGAATCCATTCTACGACTGCCTTAGTTCATCTGCCATCAGTTCTTCTTGCTATATGACCAACCCATTTCCATTTCATTTCTTTTACTCTTGATGATATCATATATCTTCATTTGTTCCATAATCCATGTGCAGGTCTTTCTATCTTGTCTTGTGATGCCAAGCATGTACCTTTACATAGCTCTTTGCACCTCTTGTAGCTTTTGTATCAATTGTGAGGTTAGTGTCCATGTTTTGTTCGCACATGTTAGAACAGGTAGCACACACTGTTCAAGAACTTTTCCTTTTAGGCATGGGGGGAAATTAAGTTTAGCTTGCTAAATGCCTGCCAATCACATTTAACAAGCCATTCAATTTCCTTTACTGTATCACCTTCTGTTGAGATCCATTGGCCAAGGTATTTGTAGCGGTCTACTACATCTAGTTCATGTCCAGATATTGACTATAATATGACTATAAAATGTTTACAAAAGGAAAAATAATAATTTTATTTTGGATAAGTTAAGGCTTGAGCCTGAAAGAATACAAAGTCCTGTCCTGTATTATTACAAATTCCATTAATTAATAACAGTTACATTAAAATTCTGAATTTAGCTAATTACACTTCCAAAGTGATAGAATAAAATAAGTTCAAAATAAACTGAGAAAGTTCTTCTATAAATAAATGGTCACCTGATGTTTACCTCTATTGATACTACTGCATCTAAGATGTATCATAAAAGTATTTTTATTGGATACACCATAACAGGTGAAACAATCTTCTTTCCCACAAAACCATTGACTATAATAGTGCCTGGATCTTCCACATTGAATCATATAATGGTCTGAAGAATAGCAGTAGCAATAGCACTTAGACATATTCTGCTCCAAATTGCTTTGCAGCAGCCTCTGTGGAGTTTACAATGTCAGCGTATTGCCCCCCAACAATGTAGGTTCTCATTTTACTGACTTCAGAAGGATGGAAGGCTGAGTCAATCTTGAGCCTGTCAGGAACAAACTCCTGGCTATGGGCAGAGTTAACTTTCAATACTGTTCAATAGCTTTGTGAATAGTTCTGTTAAAACTGAAAATTTGGTCTAGATAGCGAGATATTGAAGCAAAATATTCCAAATAGTCTGACGATAATTGCTTTCTTCAGGGCTCTATCTGCACTTGAAGTGTTTTACATTATTTTCTTTTATTATACAATAAAGTTATATATATTTTATTTTGCAGGCCTTTGATCACATTCTTTCAGCTATTGAAGATATATCTGGTCAAATAGGACACAATTATTTGAGAGACAAGTAAGTTGATTTGGAAGGGAATGAAAGAAATGAATACAAAGGATTTACTCAATAGTAAGATGTGATATTGAAGTATGGATGCCTGATACTTAAAAATATTCAGACTGAAATATACTGGATAACAACTCATATTAGTCTCAGTTAAGAGAGATACAGGTAGTCCTTGTATGGCCACAGTTGGGACCAATGAAGTTTTGTCTGTAAGTAATGTGGTCATAAAGCAAGATGTAATTTGGAGAATAGCAGGAGCCCATTCTCATGGTACATGGGAAAGACCAAAAGGATTGTGAGAATGTAACATATAACTTGGATAAGGAAAGGGATGTTTGGTTTGGAGAATAGCATGAAGTGGCAAACATCAGCAGAATACAGCACAGCCTGTGGAATGTAGAATAACAGGGACAACTGGGCTTTGTGCAATGATGCTGGCATGACTGCCCATGTTGTGGGGCTTGTGGCCACATATCTGAATGGCAGCAATGGTGCTAGAGCTGAAATAGAGACCTGAGGGTTGTGGTAGCTGACTGGATGAGACTGCTCTACCCGCAGCTTCTACTTTAATCCTAACCCTGATACTGCTATCAAACAAGTGTCTCTGTGTAAAGTGCCAAAAAGGGCATAGATTGAAGGGAGATAAGTGGGTGGGCAGAGTTGCAGCACCACAGCAGGCTGCTAAATGCCCAAATCTCGATCATGTGACTGTAGTAGCATTGCAATGGCCATAACTTTGGAGATAGGTTTTACTCCATTTTTTCAACATTGTTTGTAATTTTGCTCACTGAATGAATAGTCAGATGTTGAGGGATATTTATAGTTGAACTTACTTCATCTTGAAAAACTAAACAGGATTAAACTAGTCCTTAGATGGTAAATACTAAGACTGAATGCATAGCCAGTTTCTTCCATTTTTAGTGTCCCAATTCTGTATTGATAGCAAAGTTTCTCTTTTCCATTGTGTCAAATTAATTCTTGCTGCTATTAGCAGCTTGGCATGAAAAAAATTCTTTACCACTTAGCAATTACAATTTACAAATCATTATTAATATAGGAAGACTTATGAATATTATACTCCCAACTAAGTATTATTTTAAAAAGTTTATTTGAATGTTCTAAGTCTGTTTTAAAGATAATAAATATATTGACTGGAATGTTACTAGCATGAGATACAAGTCTTGGTAATGCAAATAAAATGTTCAAGATATCCTTTTAATATGTTATCACTTCGTATCCTTAGATGGACCAATTTTGACAAAGAGATCCTCAGTAAAGTACTTATGAGAAGATCTGCCCAGAAAACTAGAGATCATATTCTTAAAGTTTTCCGTGAGCTCAACATGAGGGATGCTATTAGTTATGTGGCTGAGGTAATTTTATAATTACAAAAATGCTACTTCCTTTTTTCCTCCCCACCCTTTGATGCTAAATTGATACTGAATGTGGGTCTCCTAACTAAAGTTATATAAATGCAGAAGGTAAAGATGGTATTCATTGAAGCTCTATCCCTTTTAAATGTGAAATGTATGCAGATAAAAAGGGCAAGGCTTCAATGAAACAGTTGCACTTCTGACTTTTAAAAATCTGCCTCTCCATATATACTTTTTCTTCTAGCATTTTCATTCCACTAATTTTAGCATTTTCATTTCCACTAATAGTGGAAAATCTGAGTGTATGAAAATACACTTTTTATTGTCTAAATTTGTTTATCTTTGAATGATTGTGTCTATGAATTGGTAATACATTTTATTATAGTTTAAAATAAGAAGCCCCAAAAATATCTCAAGGAATTATACAATAGGAAAGACTATGGATATTATTTAACAGATTAACAGAGTTGGAAGGGACCTTATAGGTCATCTAGTCCAATCCCCCACTCAAGCATGAGACCCTACACCATTTCTGAGAAATGGCAGTCCATTCTTTTCTTGAAAGTCTCAAATGATGAAGCTCCCGCAACTTCCAAAGGAAAGCTGTTCCATTGATTGATTAATCCAAAGAAAAATAATTAGAGCCCCTACAGTTTCCTGTCACCTAAGAAATAGTGTGGCTCTGAAAGACTCTAAAAATTATTGTAATTTCTAATGCTTAATATCAGATGTATAAATACATTTTTATGAAGAATGATATGTGATTCAGTTTACATTTAAATGAAGCTAAATTAAATTAAATTATTTTTTTCTCCTGGCCCAACTGTGGCTTCTACCATACTTCAAGAATGCAAACGTAATCCTTGCTTGAAAAAAAATGTACATCCTTGACTTAATCCATTAATCTCCTAGCTTTGAGGTTTTCCTGACATGTTTGAAATTTTGAAAGATGGTCATTATACAATCACAAACTGATTGTGATGGGGAAGTTATCTTTCAAATCTCAATTATTTCACAGAAAATAAATTGGTATATTTTACAGAAGACGGTTAACTGAAGATTTAATGTTACTCAATTATATATATTTATAACAGAGTAATATATCAATTTGGCAATATATTAACATTGTACAATGTAGCCTGGCCCTAATTTCTGAAGAAAGATTACTTATTTCTGATAAAAGTTCTTGCACATTTTTCTGTGTTTGAACAGAACAAATAGCAATTCTCTGACTTTTAAAAGCTATCCTAGATGACTTGAGATTAAACTTCTGATTACCTAACCAGCACATGAAAAAGATTAGTGTGATTGATGATTAAGTAAATTTATATCCTGCCCATTTTACAGTTCAGGATGGGTGACTAATTTAATTAGTTGCCTAGTCCCCTTCCGTCTTCCTAATTTATTATTTGGATTTCCCTTCTTGGGTTTCTTTGTATATACGTTTTAAATTTTATTATAATTTGTAAATAAGGAATAGAAATAAAACAATATATGAAAATAAATGAAAAGAAAATTAGAGTACCCAACAAATTACTTAGGTACGAAATTGTAATACCAAAACAAATGGAAAAAAACAAAAACAAAGCAGAAGAAACTCTTGGAGATAAACATGCTAAATTGTTATAGCACCTAAATATATGACATATTCATCTACTCATTTAATAACAATTACAAGTTTCTGCATCAACATTTATTTCTTATAAAATACAGTACAAAATATTGATTATTATAAAATAATATGAAATCTATGCCAAAGAGAACATATTGTGTCACTTTTAAGAACTAAAAAAATCATTTTCAATTTTTTTTAATCCCATCACTGTGATAATCCCATTACCTGTGATAATCTCTAAAGATTTGATAAGTATTCTTCAGTATCCTCACCCAAGTCACCCAATTTGGGTAGGACTACTAAAGAAGAAAAAGATTTTAAAAAAATCAAGACAAGACAGCACTTCCTCATTCCATGTCTACTTTTCATTTTTCTGCACAGATGGAAAGCTTTACATTTATCACCATCAAATTCCCATTCAGTTAAACCCATTCCTCAAAACCTGTGTAGATCTCAACTCCTGGATATACTCAGATGTATTTGGGTCTAGGTTTGGGGTTTGGCACCAGTTACAACTCCAAAGCAGAAGGATGAGGATAGTTGTCATCCAAGAGTCTGAATTGCTTTCAGAGGCACTGTGCCACAAATAACCACATGTGAGATGTTGTGGTTGAAACTGGGCACAGGGAGCAATTCAGGTAATTGTTTTTGACTGACCCCTCTGCTGCAAAACTTTCCCAAAAGATGAATTCTTAAATTTATTTCAAAATCTTCCTGTATTCTTTTATAAAAATGTAAACACCCCACAGGAAGTATCCTTTCAAATTAATCAAGTCTATTAATTTTCCAAATCAACATTCTAGTCCATACTTTTCCATAGTCACTTTAATCTTTAAACCTACACAGAACTACTTTCATCCAGAGTAAAAGGGGTTTCTCTCACCATAATGAAACTTGGTTTTCAATAGATTCTTAAAATTTAGAAAGCCAATAACAAGTAGTTTCCTAAAGTAGTTAAAAAAGAAAGAGAATTCCATATCACTTTGAAGGTGCCAAATTGCAGCTTGGAACAAGAGGATATTCTTCCCAACTCCTATTGCTCTCAAAGCTGCTGAAGACCACTGTTTTACAATCTCTTCATAGGGAGATTCTATATGGAGCAAACTTGTGGATCAGGAAAGGAGAGGAGTTTCTATGAGCCAATCTATTCACCAGGTCCTCTTTTTGCTATGGTCATCTTCAGTTTGCCATTGCTGTCTCTGAAAGTTCCAAACCTGGGACAGATTGATGATGTGTTGGCATGCTAATATAGAGTGACATGCATTCACATCATCAAGGCTAAAAAAATTCCCATTATGTCAAATGCCTAGGTGCAAGTGCTGTGGAGTGACAATGAAAAAGAATTTAAATTCTTTTAAGTTTTCTTCAATTGCAACTCAAATCCTAAGTAAAGTATGATTATGATGGTTGTAGAGCATAAAGGAGTTTCTTTAAACAAATTTATAGAAACAATGTATAAAAACTACTACCTTTTTGTAATTTTGGGTACATGTTAGCATATTAAAAACTGACTCAAGTTCATGTATGTGTGTATACACCCACACACATTTTTTTTATTGAACAGGGAGAGCAAAGAGGTTCATTGTCATTCATTCGCTCTCCAAGTATTGAACACACCGCCAATGTGGACTTCAGCATTATCAACCAAATGAAGAGAGAGACTTCTGTCACCCAACTACTGTAGGTGGAATAAATATTTAAGCCCTGGTTTTATAAGTACATTTTTAATATCAAGTCAAAGGAAGGAACATATACTGCAATTAACTTCTTTAAGATCATTTGGTTTTAATAGGAGAGATTTGACTAATTTTTTAAAAATCACTTATTTCAATGTGCTTGCTTTTGCAAGATGATGCCAATTAGGCACACTATTCCCATCCAATCTGGATTGTACTATTATGTTTGTTTCTGTTGGGTATGAATGACCAGAACCAAACTAGCCAATTTCACAAGAATCTTCCCAGATTGGCAGATTTACTTGAGTAAATAAGGCTCAAAGGCATTCAAGGAGGGTCATGTCTTGCCCTCTTGGGTTTTTTATAGCAAGTACCTGTTTGATCCCTCCTTCTGACTGGGATAGTTGCTCTCAAACAGTGTGTCACATTTTCCTATGGATTTAAACTAAACAATATTTCTAAAATCTGAGTGTTCATTTTTATTAGCTGATTATAGGAATACATACTCTAGTCCTATGCCTAATTTCCTTACTGTTGTTTGTGGAGCTTTCTTAAAGTTTGTTCACTATTACAGCATATGTTTCCATTACTTTGGTTTGAACTCTCTATAATATTAAAAAATCAAAATCTTTCCTGTACGCTAAAATCTAGACTTTCAAAGAAAATAAATCAAGTGACCTTGTTTTTCCAATATCCTGGTTTTCTGTTATGAAGCTACTTTCTTATAGGGATTTTTTAAAGTTTTTATAAAAATCATGATGCAAAGTTTATTCTTGGTTTCTAAAAATGTTTGCTTGTTTTAAGATTGTTGGCTTGTTTTATTTGTTAAATCCTGTGTAACAAAGCAATTGTTAAATGTTTGTTTTACTTCAGGAGAGAAACTGCCAGTTCTGTCTGCCTTGATATGCAAGCATTAGAACAGAGAAGGAAAAGCATTCGAGATTCAGAGGATATATTTACCCATCATACTTTACAACTATATCTGTATAAACCCAGACAAGAGGTAAGAAACTACAGTTGAAGAAATTTCAGTAGGTTCTTCACCTTACCAGTATTTTCAAGGACACTTAAAGCCCAAATTTTGGGTGAGGAATTTTTGTTTACTTTTTAAAAGAATGAAGGGATCCAAAGGTCCAGTATTGAAAAAAATGGAGAAAGGAAAAAGATAGTTAAAAAGGGGTAGGGAAGGAGAAGGGGAAAGAAAAGAACCTGCCTTAGAACTATTGAGAGCATTGGTAAGAAGAATAACATAGTCCTGGAAAAACAGACAACTGCCATGGTGATTTCTAAACTATGTGCCATGTATTTATTTATACTCATAGAGCAGTGGTCCCCAACCTTTCCAATTCTGTGGACTGGATGGCAGGGGAGGGAGAGGGGATGTTTTTTTGCACTGGCATGCCACTTGTGCAAATACAGCTTTGTGCACTCGTTCGCCACTTGCGTGGCACAGTTCCCAATGACCCTGGCCCAGTACTGGGCCATGGACCAGGGTTGGGGATCCCTGCCATAGAGAATCCAAATTATACCTGCATCAAATAAACTAACTGGATTACTGGAAGAAAAAAAGTAAAGAGCCTGGAGGCAAACCTAGCCATCTTGAGATTCAGTCAAGAAAATGAAGAACTCCTAGTAAACTCCAGTCCAGCCCCACTGGAGCTGAGCAATTAATTTCATATCCTCCACTGGAAGAAAACATGCAGACAACAGGAGAAGGGACTTAGAGGTGTGTTTGTGATAGATGACTCACTTCTCAGAAGATCAGAATTAATAATTTGTAGACCAGATAATCTATCAGGGGAAGTATATTGTCTCTCAGATGCAAATATCAAAGATGTGACAGAGAGGCTTTCCAAAATAATCAAGTCCAGTGATTATTCATGTTGGGACAATTAATACAACAAAGAGCCTGACAATAATATTAAGGGACTATGAGCAGCTACAATGGTATAAAAAGTCTACATAGCCCTGTTAAAAATCCAGATTTTTGAGATATAAATAAATCAGACAAAGATAAATCACTTCAAAATTTTTCCATCTTTAATATAACATATAAGCTGTATAATTCAATTAAAAAACAAAGGGGAAAAATAAAAATGAAAAACATGGTTGCATAAGTTTTATACTTTGAGTATACTTTATACAATTGAGTTTTAGATTTTGTCTTGAGCTCTCATCAAAGCAGATGGGTATAAATCAAATACATAAATAGTAGAATTTTCCAGATATTGAGTTATATTTCTTTTTGTTTGTTTGTTTATGAAGCAGTATGTACTAAGTGTGCACTAACAATCACGATTTTTACACTTTCAGGTCTAGATTGATGGGAATGAATTAATTATAAATGGGACAATATAAAATAAAAATATGTAGCTAGATAGATTTATTAAATATAGATATATATTTTGCTATCTTCTTTTTCTCTTTGTTATAGCAAAAATTTCTGTACAGCCGTCATGCAATAACTCTTAATGAAGATGAGAAGCAAAATAAAGAAATTTTTCACAGAACTATGAGGAAAAGACTAGAATCTTTCAAGAGCACAAAACTAGGTTTGAATCACCATAAGAAACTAAACAAAATTCACAAGAAAGACCGTGGCCAAAAAAGGGTAAGATCAAACATTTGAGATTGCCTAAGCAAAACCTAAAAACAAAGGGAAATCGACCAATGGCATCAACTTTATTTATTTGTTTAGAATGCTTACTGTATATCCTGCTTTTACCATATTTTTGAGACCTATCAGTTTTAATCTTCATTATCTGATTGGTTTGGCAGTCTGTAATTCCTGTCAGTCTTTAAATCCAGATGCAATATTACCACCAGGCCAGTAGACCTCTCTAGAAGCAAGTTTATTTCTAATATACAGCACTACACTACCTCATCTCTTGCTGCCTGTCCCTCTGAAACAAGGTGTACCCATCCACCAGATATGTTTCAGTAATCCCTATTATGTCATACCTGCCTTGCTTCCTCATAGCTAGCTAATCCTATTTGTTTATCATACTTTTTGAATTAGGTGGAAACATTTGATATGGTAGTCTACTTGTGTTCATCTTTCCTTGTTCATTAAATTACACATGTACCAAATGTAAACTATGAATTACTTGAAGAAAGGTCAAGAGACAACTCTAGCCATTGTGAGGCTCAACCTACAAAATGAGAACCTCCAACCAAAGGAAGAAAATTATATCCAAACTGAACACAAGGAACAAACAACTATGAGAACAAATGAACCTTTAGAGGCAACCTGATGGCAACATGTCACTTATAGAAGAATACAACAACCAAGAGCATTGTCCCTGCTATCTAGTGCAACCCAGTCCAGTGCAGTCCCTGGAGTTGAGCAATTGATTTCATATTCTCCCCCAGGAAGAAAGTATGCAGACATCTGGAGAAGGGATAGCAACATTTGTTCCTGTGATAGGAAGAAAAGTAGCCCAGACTTTGCTAGGAAAAAAAAGCAAGTGTTGGTGATAGATTTACTTTTCAGGGGAATGGAAACAGCAATCTATAGATGAGACAATCAATCTAGGGAGGTATGTTGTCTCCCTGGAGCAAAAAACAAAGATGTGGTTAAGAGCCTTACTAAAATTTGCTCACAGATTACTATTCTTTTCTTCTCTTTCATGTGTGAACAAATGACAGGACAATAAACCTAAAAACAATATCAACAGACTAAGCAGCTCAGCAAGGAAATTAAGGAGTTAGGATCATAGGTGTTATTTTCATCTGTACTTCCAACAAAACGTCAACAACCAATGAGGGAACAAAGAATTTTAAAAATAAACCACTGGCTTAAGAGATGGTGCCACCATGATAATTTTAGAGTCCTAGATTGTAGTCTGCATTACCTACATGAAGAGCTTCTGGCAAGTGATGGGCTGCACTTCACAAGAACCAGGAAGAATGTGTTCAGAAAATGGCTGACTCAGCTTATCCAAATAACTTTAAAGTAAAACTAGAAAAGATAATCAAAGGATCTTGGAATTCCTTGGACCACTTAAAATATGAGCCAGCAGTATGCTGTGGCCATCAAAAAAGCCAATGCAATCATAAGCTGTATTAACAGAGGGATAGAATCAAGATCACAGGAAGTGTTAATACCACTTTGTAATGCCTGGGAATCACACTTGGAATATTGCATCATGTTTTAGTTGCCACAATATAAAAAAGACATTCTGGAAAGAGTGCAGAGAAGAGCAACAAAAATGATTATGGGGCTGAAGGCTAAAACATATGAAGAACGATTGCAGGCGTTGAGTATGTCTAGTCTAGTGAAAAGACCAGGGGTGAATGATAGCAATGTTCAATATTTGAGGGGCTGTCAGAAAGAGGAGGAACTATTTACCAAAAGTACCAAAAGTAGGACGCAATATATAGAAACTAATCAAGGAGAGAACCAACTTGAAACTAAGAAGAAATTTCCTGACAATTATAACAATTAACCAGTGGAATGGCTTGTGATCAGAAGTTGGTGGTGCTACATCATTGGATGTTTTTAAGAAGAAATTGGAAAATCATTTGTCCAGAATAGGGTCTCCTGCTTGTGCACTAGAAGATCTCTAGAATCCCTTCCAACTCTGTTAATCTGTTAACAGGAAGATATGTAAGATTCTTTATCTGACAGAAAAAGGGACAAATATTGATAACTACTATCCTGGCTTAATAGTAGTGCATGTAAAATGGATCTGGATGCTTTTAATGTCAGATTTAAGGTTCATTCCAATGCTAGAATTTTATGAAATTTTATACTGAGCAAATTAGCTGCCAGTTAGGAAATCTATTTAGTTCTTTCCATCAAGCAACTGTAGAAAAGATTGCTAGCCACTATCTTGCTTGTTGTATTAAGAGATGAAAAGTAAAAGCAGTTTGCCTCTCTCTTTTTTTTTTATTGAAAAGTTTTACAAAAAGTTTACATATTTCCCCCCCCCTTCCCTACCTCAACCTCCCCCCTCCCCCCTCCCCTTCCCAGAACAAATTACAGGGTATAAACTTCAACAATCATAATCAATCCTAGTCTAAACAATTATGACATTCCACATCTCTTGTTCCTTCAATTCCCTAATTACCCGTCTAGCTTTATTACTTAAAGACACACTAAATATCTATATAATCATTCATAACCTATCTGCAATTTCTTATTCCGGTATTTATTTTGAATATAATCTATCCACCTTCTCCAATCTCTTAAATATCTTTCATTTGAATGATCCTTCAGGTACGCCGAGATTTTTGCCATTTCCGCTAGATTTGTAACTTTCATTGTCCACTCTTGGATTGTAGGTAAATCTTGCTTCTTCCAATATTGTGCCACCAACAGTCTTGCTGCAGTTATTAAATTCAAAATCAGTTTGCCTCTCTTATTGTCTCCTTGTAGTCTCAAATATTACCTCTTACCCACACTTGACTAGGTTCACTTTTTGGCTATTTTATTGGTACTTTAATTACTCTATATCCTGATACCAGTTTAGGAAGGCTGTTCAGAACCAATCATGTTAAATAAGACTGATTCTGCCTGATTCTAGAGGTCAATTAGTCAATCAAGGAACTAACTGCCTGCACATTGCTGGGAAATTCCCAAGTGTCTGTCAAAATCCATCTGGATCCATAAGGCATCTTTGGCAAATCAAATTAATAGCCAGTTTGTCCCAGGAAGCTACTCAATCTCACCGTCTAAACCAAGAGTGACCTGACTACTACAGGCTGAATATAATGTTCTCTAGATCATTAGTCAAATACTCCAAATTAAAAACAAAGTCCAATATATGGCCATCAGAAATTATTTAAATAAACTCTATGATTAGCATGGAGCAGTGGTGAAATCCAAATTCTTTTACTACCAGTTCTGTGGGCGTGGCTTGGTGGACGTGGTGTAGCTTGGTGGACATGGCTTGGTGGGTAGGACAGGGGAAGGATACTGCAAAATCCCCATTCCCACCGCACTCTGGGGCCAGCCAGAGGTGGTATTTGCCGATTCTTGAACTGTGCAAAATTTCCGCTACCGGTTCTCTAGAACCTGTCAGAACCTGCTGGATTTCACCCCTGCCATGGAGGTATGAAGGTTGTCCTGAGCCATTCCAGAAACAACCCTTAGAGGTATGGACTTTGATGTCATCCAATAGCAAAAGGTGAAGAAAGGCAAGCTTTCACTTCAGTCATCAAAACTTCCCCCTGTGGTTGGCATCCTGCCTTCATTCCCCCATTCCTGAAAGACTATTCCACTCACCTGCCCCTCTTAGGCATATCTAAAAAAGATATCTGCATATCTGCATTTTTTACTGCCATTCAATGGCTGTGTTTTTGAAGCCTGGATATCTGTTTGCATATTGAGTATTTAATTCAATACTGAATTTTGCAATTTGAATATCTGCCTTCTTGTTTTCACTTGAATGGGAAGGTAGAAGAGAACAGAGGCTGCCACAAATGGGCTGCCACAAAGAAGCTATTCTCCAAAGCACCTGAGGGTAGGACAAGAAACAATGGGTGGAAACTAATCAAGGAGAGAAGCAACTTAGAACTAAGGAGAAATTCCCTGACAGTTAGAACAATTAATCAGTGAAACAACTTGCCTCCAAAAGTTGTGAATGCTCCAACACTGGAAATTTTTAAGATGTTGGATAACCATTTGTCTGAAGTCACGTAGGGTTTCCTGCCTAAGCAGGGGGTTGGCCTAAAAGGCCTCCAAGGTCCCTTCCAACTCTGTTATTCTATTTTATTCTAAAATAGTAGGAAGTTTCCAGGGCCTCCAGAATCTCTAATCTAACAGTTGATATTAAAGTGATTCTTGGAAGAAACAGCTGAGATACCAGCAACAATAGAAATAGTTCTTCTCTCTTTCCTTTCACAACACTTATTCGCTATGGCTTCTGTTGGGGCTGTAGAAATCTGGAGTTACTAAACATGATACCAAAGAAATATATAACGTGTTACCAACTAATCATCTTTTTGGGGGGGGGGAGTGCTGGAAAAGATACTCCTCTAAATGATCAGATTTGTTGAGTGTGTAGGGCAGAAAAGAGTGGCAAAGGGAAAGTCTGCAGCCCCTACGATGGCTTTGTCTCCTGTGTTTATTATTATGTTGCTATTTTAAGATCAGTCACCTGAATCTAGGTAGTTTATGGGAGAGCATAAACTATCTTTGTAAAATCCTATTTCTGTTTTAGAAGAACATTACACAGAAATTTAGTTTTATAAATTGGTTTATGAAAAGTTAAAATTAATTGAAAATGTGTATATAATAGGCAATATATTTTTATTAACTAAATACTTTTAATTATAAAATAAAATATAAACATTGTATCATATGTTAGGTCTGCAAAAACATGGCACATATTAAATTGTATATATTCTGTACAAAATGGAATATGTGTTTGTATGGTCATTTCTTGTTTTTTCAGAAAAATAGTACCGTCATACCAGATGGAAACCTACCTGCATATGTTATAACAGACAAAGGTAAATGCACTTTTTTAAAAAATAAAAAGTTAAATGTCCTTTTTAAAACATAAATATGGAGTAAATATGGAGATTATAGTTGCCTAGAATCTCTCAATTTCAGCAGAGTAGAAAAGCTCTGAGTACCATTTCTCAGAGTAGAAAATAAATATTTTCTATTCGTTGCTAGCTAACATCGTATTGAATAAATGTTTTCCAATTTTTATTATATTTATCGCCTTTTTCCCTGAGTGAGTGTCTATGGAGTAGATGGTAATCTTCTAAGATCATGTTTTGACTTTCAGCTTAAAATTTTGGTAATTTTAAAAAAAATTAAATTTAAAAATGCATTGATAACTTTTAATAAAATAACAGCTAAGTCTGGCAAACCTGTTTTTCATGAAAATTCTAGAATACACTACCTGAAGACCAAAATAAGAACCAAACTTTTATCTCCACCACCAGCAGCATTCTTTGGAACAAAATTTACTTTTAAAAAGTGAAAATTGACTAAAAGGGATATTTCTATAACCTTATTCAATCTGTTGTCAAAACATTCAGGCACACAAAAAGCCCTTCAGTAATTTATCTCGGTAAACAGGCTCATTTTATAAGGCATCTGTAATTTAACCTAGGAGCAAGTCAGTGTGGTGGTTAAGACATCAACCTAGAAATCCAAAGTCCATAACTTCTAGTCTTGCTTTCAGTCACTCCCTCTCTCTCAGCTTTAGGATGGAGGCAATGGCAAATTTCTTCTAAACAATCTTGTCAAGAAGATTGTAGGGCTTGTCTATGCAGTCACCAGAACACTAACCTGAATGCAGAAAAAAAACTAATTTAAACTATTCAGAGATAATCCTGCTCATTTTATCCAGAAATATTTGCTCTGAGCCATACATAAAAATATTTTAGAAGTTCTAAAATATGATAAAAGCCTAACAATAAAACAGAAATCAATGAGCATACTTACAGATTGAGGAATTGTAATTATATATATTATTTGTACAGAAATCAGAGCTGAAATTGTTTTACTTTGTGGGAAATTGTTACGTTTGAATATATGTTACATTCAATACTTTTTAAAAAATTAAATATCAATTTACTTTTAGAAGTAGCAAACTGTCTCAGAACCTAATTATCTCAGTTATATAAATAATAATTATTTTATTCTAGAAAATGAGTTTTCTGAACCAGAGGAAAATGATTATGGCTATTCACAGATAGGTGGAGCAGTAAATTTCCTGGATTACGTCAACAAGGATAATTTCACAGATACAAATGGTAAAGAAATGAATATATACCGTAGTAATATTGTCTAGCATTGCGGTTGTTGGCTTGTCTTTTTTTACATAGGTATATAAAAAGAAGAAAAAATCATATCACAGAATAAAATGTATTTTATTCACATACTTTCTAGAGGATGCAGTTTCCTTTTTGGGGCAAACAAGGGAAAGAAAAGATTTTTTAAATTCCATAGATGACATTCAGAACTAAACTGTTCTATTGCTCACTTTCAACCACTGTGTTGTCCTATAATCTAGGCAGCAGAGCTTTTGTGAAACTTGCTTTGTTAAAATAGTTTTAGGGTTTTTTAAAATTGCAAATGCTATTTCAACCAAGTTCAGTTCCAATTTTGCATACATTTTGTAATACAGGATGAAAGTTATCATGTTCTGTTTACTTAATTATTGATTTTTCCTTCGGTGGACTTTTTATAGGCATTGATAATCCAGTATTTTCAGCTGATATTGAGCAAAATGCCTTCATGAAGTTTACACCTTGGCTATCCAGTGATGAGATGGTGGTACCTTCCCAAAGAGCCAGAGTACAAATACCTTATTCTCCAAACAGCTTTCAAAGACTTGCTCCCATTCGACTCAGCAACAGATCCACAGATTCTTTTTTGCAACTAGATGGTGCTGAAGAACAACCGAGAATTTTTCTCCCAGAATCAACTCACTTGTAATTTAAGCATAGCTAAAGTTCTTATTTTTCAGTCACTCAGACTTTTTGTGATCTAGCAAATAGCCATTTTTTCTTGTTCAGAATATCTTTGGTGTTTCTTTATTTTCTTTCTTGGCATGAAAATTCTGCTTTAAAATCAGTTAAATATATTCTAGAATATTAAAGTAGGACTTGTTAAAATTTGTGGATTATGAATACTAAGCTACTCGTTTGAGAGCTACAGAATGAAATAGACAACATGAGATGTGGGCAGAACTGAGGGGCATTGTTACGGTTAGTCCTGGGGTTACAACAGTAATTGGGATATAATTTATATCATTAAATAGCATTGTTATAAAGTTCAATGTCATGGGACCTCATTGCTTAGTAACTTGGTTGAGTTGGGTGGCTATAGAAATTGAATGAATGACCATAGTTTTTTCTTGTTAGCTATCATATGCTTTATATTTTTGATGAGCAAAATATAAATAACGAATGATTAATAATTCATTTGCAGCTAGTTCTTTGTTCAAATTCCTTTGGAAAATATTATATTTATGATACAATAAGCTGAAGTGCTTTAAACTTTTTCTGATTTTGTATTCATTTATACAATATACCTATCAAGTAATAAATATGAACAAAATTGCCCTATGCAGTTCTTATTACTTAGGTATTAATGAACTTGATTCCAATTTTGCATAGTGCTTTCATTACTTGTATGCCATGGCTATTTCATCTTTTCATAACACACATACAGTATATTTTCTTAGTAAAAGGCACATATTATAAAATACAAATGCAAAAGTTTTTTCATTAAACCATAGTGAATGCTAGAATACAATATATATTGCCGTAATGGCAATGTGAGCCTCGGAGTTTTATTTCGTTGGGGGTGTTCCTTGGAACCCTGACAGGCGAACCTATGGCACATGTGCTACAGGTGGCACATGGAGCCATATCTGGGCACGCAAGCATTACCCTAGCTCAGTTCCAGTGTGCATGTGTGTGCTGGCCAGCTGATTTTCTGGCCTTCTGGGCCCACCGGAAGTCAGGAAATGGACCGTTTCTGGCCTCCAGAGGGCCTCCTGGGGGGGCAAGGCGGTTTTCGCCCTCCCCAGGTTTCAAGAAAGCCTCTGGAGCCTGGGGAGGGTGAAAAACAGGCCTACTGGCTCCACCATGCCATTGCCTGCCAAAAGTGGGGGGAGCTCAGGAGGGTCATATGTGCCTGCGCGGGGCACATTGAATTATGGGTGTGGGTACGCCCCTGTGCGACCTCCTGCACGACCCTCGCTTTTGACATGCGACAGCAAAAAGGTTAGCCATTACTGATATATTCCATTAGTGCTTTATTATCTGTAGAAAATGCAAAATATTTATTAAAATAGATTCATCAAACCCTAATTCACCAAATTGGATTTGCGGGAGACATATTATTGAGTAAAGATCAAGGCAGGGATGAGTGGGAAACGGCTTTAAATTGCCCCTTAGGATATTTCCAATTTCAAGTCTTCCCTTTCAGACCGCAAGAGGTCCCTGTTGTGTTCATGCTGCTGATAGAGTGCTGCATAAGCACCTTACAGAAGAATACTAGTCTACCTGGGTGATATTTTAATCTAATCTTATTGTATTCTTTGACAATGTGATAAAATTAGTGGACCAGAGGAATGCTGTCGATACAATCTACTTGGACTTCAATAAGGCATTTGATAAAGTAGACCATAACCGAATACTTGATAAAATAGAAAAATATGGGTTAGATCTTATCACCTCCAGATGGATTCATAACTGGCTAACTAACCGCACTCAACGTGTAGTCCTCAATGGAATTCATCTACATGGAGGGAAGTATGCAGTGGCATACCCCAAGGCTCTGTTCTAGGCCCAGTACTCTTCAACATCTTCATCAATGATTTGGATGAGGGTATAGAAGGGGAACTCATCAAATTTGCAAACAACACCAAGCTAGCAGGAATAGCCAGCACTCCAGAAGATAGGCTTAAGATACATAAGGATCTTGACAGACTTGAACATTGTCCTCTGCAGGACTGATGCCTCTATCAAGGGGTGCAGAATGTCAGGTCTGCCAGGTTCGGCTTGGCACCTCACAGGCATCCTGCTATCAAAGGCTAGAAATGGAGGGGTGGGATAAATGGACAATAAAGCTGTGTGTGTACATGATGGGAAATAGGGAGTGGTGGGAATGACAGGTGATGAAGTCCAAAGAAGCTTGGCACCAGTTTGCACCAGAATCCAAGACCAGGCACCCTGAGAAAGAATGCCTATTACCACAAACATCTAAGTGAGTCCCGATTGGCTGAAGATGGATTGGTCATTGGGTGAGGCTGGAATGAGGGGAAACACTTCTGTCTCTCTTGAGGACGGAAAAAGCCAGAGCTAACCTAACCTTACTGAAGCCAACATCTTTTTAATAAAAGAACCTTTTGCTTCAACCTAATGGAGTTGAGGATTTTCTTTCACTCTCCCCCAAAGTTCCTGCAACTTCCTCTATCATTTATTCTGTTAATAAAAATTAGGTCCGGTATAGCTAGGTGTACACCCAGTTGACGTCTGGATATTTAAAATCCCCCATTACTAGTGTGATGTATTTCCTACATACATTTGGTAACCAATTAGCAATACCTTCATCTATTTCTCCTGCTTGGTTGGGTGGTCTATAGTACTATACACCAATGGCAATGTCATTCTTTTTTCATTTTATGTTGATCCACAAGCATTCAAGGAGGCTTTCATACTTGGTTTTGTGTATCTCTGTGGAGAGGAAGTGATCTCTAACATATAATGCAATTCTACCTCCTACTTTGTTGGGTTTGTTTCTTTTGACTAGTTCATATCCTTCTATCAGTACATTCCAGTCATGAGTTCCATCCCACTAAGTTTTTGTAATGGCAACTATATCATACCTACTCTCATGTATTAGTATTTCAAGTTCATCCTGCTTGTTCCCTAAACTGAGCGCTGTTGTAAAGGCATTTAAATTCTTTGTGGCTGACCCCAAGTGTGCTTCTTACATCTACTTTGTTTTGGAGTTTTTCTTTTTTTCTCTTCACTCCCTATATTTTTATTTGATTGGTTGTCTAGTTTTATTTGCTTGGAATTAGGTCCTAAAAGTTGTAGTTTGTTTACCCACCCCCTTCAATTTTATTTTAAAGCTTTTCTAATAAGGTGAATCAGTTGTTTTGCAAAAATGTTCTTCCCAGTTCTTGTGAGGTGCCATACATCACTTGCCTGGAGTCCTTCATGTAAAGTAATGCAGAGCATGATCTAAAAATCCTAAATTCTGTTGATGACACCAATTTCAAGACAGTGGTTTGTTTCTAAATTCCTCTGCTTCTTCACTGAATGTTGGCCTTTTGTTCGAAGTGTAGATGAAAACACCACTTCCGTAGTTGTTCTTAATCTTTTATTATTATTTTCAGGTTCATTGTTGTGTTATCCATCCGGACATGTAGAAGAAAGGAGTAGTAATCTATGGGGTTTTATTATTTTAGTTAGATTCTCAGTCACATCTTTGATTTTTGCTCCATACCTCTGAAAACATTATGAACTGATTGTTCAGCTCCAGAGGAGCTTCACTGGAGTGGACTGGAGTAGACAGTAGGGGCATGGCTCTTGGTGGCTGTATTCTTTTATAAGTGATATATTTCCATTGGTCTTTCTCTTTAGATTCATATGGGGTAATTTTTTGGAAGCTGTTTGTTCTCTATTGTGTTCAATTTGGCATAGTGTTCTTGCTTAGGTTGAGATTTTTGGTTTTGTAGGTTGAATTTCAGAGTGTCTAGAGTTGCTTCTAGACTCTTAACTTTTTCTTCTAATAATTCAATTAATTTATATTTGGTACATATATAATTTGGGTCATCTGTGAATATAAGCTCAAACATATAATATATTTTGCAAGTCACAACATCAGTCTCTTGCCATGAGTTTGTTTGTTTTCTAATATTTAAAAAAAAATATTTTTTTTAATTTAAAAATTTAAATTTAAAAAATAAAAAAGTTAAAAATGTAAAATTTTAAATCTTAAATATTTAAAATTTAAGCCTTTCAATGTTTGTGAATCCTTTTTAGTTTTCAAAATTTCTTGATAAATATAATCTAAAATGTGTTCTGTTCTTGTGAATTGTCCCAATTAAGTCCAGCCATGAGCAGACCAATGGTAGTCCACAGAGCAATAGCCAAAGAGCCCACAAGTCACTTGAAAATTTCTCAATCAAAATAAATACATCAGGCAAACTTAAATCCACAACACAAGAGAGCTCACAAGGCAAGAAAAGTCCAGTTTCCAAGGCATGATCCAAGTCAAGGCATGCACAATCCAAAGCGAGGCAAGAATCACAATGACCAGAAAACACACAGCTAGGAAACAAACATGTTGTTCCCAGGATCACTTCCATTTGTCTGCTGGGCTAAATACCTAGCTTCCAATGCAATCCATTAAGAAGGGCAAAGCTTTCTTCTTGTGGGTAGTCTGGCTGCCTTTCTCTACTCCTGCCATTTCTCTGCCCTATATGTTCTTGGCGCAGAAAGCAATTCCTCTTTCTCCTCACTGACCAGCTACAGCTTCATGCTTTCCCCACCTGTAGCCTCAGCCAAATCCCTCACAGATGGCTGCTCAGAGCCATCAATCCAACTCAGCTCCTGACATGCAAGGAACTCCCCTGAGCTGACATCTAGAGAGGTATCTGGGGAATAATCCAGAGGAATATCACAATTCTTCGCATAAGTTCTAAAACTAGAAAACCCAATTAAATGAATCAAAAACATTATACAGATTTGTTTATTTACTGACAAAAATTATTTAAAACTACCTATTTCTATGTGGCAAAAGTATGTAAATGAATAGGATTATCAGTTTGTTTAAAGGGGAAATTAAGAGTTTCCATCTCGGGATAGTAATCAGGTATGAGTGTGGGAGGTTCTTTTCTGATTTGTAGAAAACAGATTACATTTTAGGTCATATTTATCCAGAAATATCAAAGATTCAAAAGCTTTCACAAACTTTTTGAATGAGTCCTTTAACATTACTGTCAGAGAGAAAAAAGAATACATAAAAATGTTTAACCAAAAATGTTTTTTTTTGTTAAAGAATTGTTTATGTGTGTTATTTCTATTTCACAAGGTATGTATCACTATTACTGCTATTTTTTTGTTTTGCCTTTTTGTTCTTTTTTTTGGTGTTATTAATTAAAAAGCAACAAAAAATAAAAAAAGGTAAAATAAATTCAAAATTTAAGGACTCACATTATTAATCAATCTTTTAATTCCTCAATAGTACAAGGTTTTTATTAGAAATAAATACTTTATAAAATAAATAAAATAATACTTAAAATACAGAATTTAGAAGGAACCAAAAGTATTTGCAGCTTGACACAGATATTGTAAAAAATAAAAATTAAACAATTTAAAAACCAGAAATGCAACAACACATGATATCACATGACTGTGATAAGTACATGGTATCTTTCTTGTTTGGAATATAACATTTTCAATACTATATAAAATTTTAATCACAAATTTAAACTTTTAAAAGTTTTCTAATACAGGTAGTCCTCAACTTACAACAGTTCCCATCCAAAGATACAATGGCACTGAAAAAAATGGCATGACCATTTTTCATATTTATGACTATTGCAGCATCCCCGTGATCATGTAATTTACATTTGGAAGTTTGACAACTGACTCTCATTTATTTTGGTTGCAGTGTCCAGGGTGATAGGATTTGTAACAAGCAAAGTCACTGGGGAAGCCAGATTCACTTAACAACCTTGTTATTAATTTAACAACTGCAGTGATTCATTTAAGAAATGTGGCAAGAAAAGTTGTAAAATGGGACAAAACTCACTTAACAAATTTCTCACTTAGTAACATAAATTTTGGGCTCAATTGTGGTTGTAAGTTGAGAACTACATATAGCAAATATTTTGGTATTGTATTGCAATAAATAGTAAGAAATTGTGTAGTGCTCCCTTTTACCAATTGTATCAAACATTCAAAAGGTTTCAAGTATCACTGTGTAAATGAGTCCTTTAATAATATATTTAAATCCTAAAACAGGCAGAGCTGGTATTAGAACAATATCAAGAAGATCTGTCAGTAACTACCACTGAATTGTATCTAGCAGTTGTAGATACTAGTCATCTGACCAAAGTGTCTATCAATGGGAGATGGAGGCCACACGAGCAGCAGGCTGGCGTGCACACACTGAGCACAGCTCCACTCAGATAACAGAAGACTTTGGGGCAATATTTGCACAAGTGGAACTGCGCATGCGCATACACGCACTGGCCTGCCTCTCATGTGGCCCAATTCCAAATAGGCCACAGCCTGATAGTGGGCTACACCCCAGGGGTTGGGATCTTCTGTGTTAAAATTTACTTTATTTATTTGTTTGTTTGTTTAGTCCCTTCTCACAAAATTCTTGAAAGCTTTAACAAGCCTGTTTTGTAAATCCAATACAGGAAAATTATTCAGATCACGCTCTTGGTTTGTTATTTGTATACTCATTTTATATAAGAATATTATCATATTCTTCAATGAATCCAATATTAAACTATTTTGCTTCATTCTGTATTAATTGAATTAATTGAAGATTGAAAACAACTCACCTAGTGTTTTCAGACTTGTCCAAAGTCCAAGGTTCTTATATAGCTAAAAAGTAGTTAACATGTAATTTAAGAAAATGAATAGAAAAGGGAGTGTGAGAACCACTGGTCTTAAGGCATTGACTGCGGTTTGAGCAAGATAGTATTCCCTTATTCGCCCAGAGCTCTAAACTGTGGATTGTTGTCTTACACTTTTGTCATGAGGAACAACTGTCTGTGGGTGAGGTGAAGTCTCTCCTTGTCTAGAGAAATATTATAAAGAACCAGTTTACTCGCTGGCTCTTCATTCTGCTGCAATTATAGGCTCCACTTTTAGCTGAGCCATTTTCAGTTCACCATTTCTTAACTGAAATTTCTATGAATTTTTTCCTATGACAAAACTACAGCATTTTTGCACAAAACATGGATTGAAGAATTAGTTATGAAATCAGCTAGACAACAAAAGATAGGAATTGCTATAGCTTATAAGTAATTTCTATGGTAATAAGAGCTTTAAGAAATACATTTCTCTAGCTCTCCCTAAGTTGTTTTTTTCCTTGAAACCTATTTTCAACTTCCTTGAAAATCACTTTTTATGATTTTGATGCAAGGCTGCCCATTATTTGCAGGTTCCGAGACTACTCTCACTGCTGCTTAATTGATACCCAGGTTAGCATGGTGACTCAGTGGTTTTAAAATGCTGGGCTTATGGACTGGAAAACCAGCAGTTCAGGTTTGAGACCCAAGCATCACACGATGAAGTGAGCTCCCATCTTCACCCCAGCTTCTGTCACCTAGCAGTTTGAAAGCATGCAAATGCGAGTAGATAAATAGGCACCACTTAATGGGAAGATAATAGCACTTTGTTAACTCATGCTGGGCACATGACCGCAGAAATGTCTTTGGACAATGCTAGTTCAATGGCCTTGAAATGGAGATGAGCACTCCCTATAGTGGGCAATGACTAGTGGAGTAAAATCCATAGTGATTCTTTTTTTTTAATCTAACTGATGTGTACTTTAGAAAGTCATAGATTTTATAAATATGAAATAATTAGCAAGGGTATCAATTTACAAATTATTTCATTTGAATAATTTTGCATTTTCATCTTTTTCAATTTAGTTTATTTCCTTTTTAACATTTTTTCAAGTCACGTAAGCATTAAATATAGAAATTACATAAGAAAAAACCCATATTTTGACAATGTCATTACTAGACTAATTTTTATTAGTTTTATTATTATTTCCTTAATAGGAAATCTGGATTTTATCTTTGTATTTTTTGTCTGTCTGTCTGTCTCTCCTCCCTCTCTATCTCTCTGTGTGTTTCTCTCTATATATGTGTGTGCCTGTGTGTGTCCACATACCTACTAAATACCTACTAATGTATCACACATGCTTTAACGTGAGTATTAATGTAAATAAACAATTAAATGCATCCCAAAAGTTATATTTTAAAAGCTTCTATAAGAAAGGCAGGTTATACATCTAACAAATAGATGAATGAATGTTTACCAATAAATCTTCAAAGGCTGATGCATCTGTAATAGAGCAGGTAATTAATTTGTTGGACTCACAAGTACAGCACTGTAGATTTTAGAGGCACCCATAAAAATGCAAAGGAGTATGGGTCCTATAATGGCTCCTTCTAGTCCTAGGTAATATGTTCCACCAGCTATTGCAAGTCCTGTCAAATAAGGATGACCTCCTCTGCAATCAAATAATAAATGAAATTACTGCAATGTCATTTAAGAACCATCAGTGGAGAGCTGATTTTATATGTTGAGTCATCAAAAGACACAAAAAACAGGAAGCTAATATCTAATCACAAGTAGACATATTTCTGTGCAGATACAAAAACATGTCTTGTCCAGAAAAGAGAAAAATAGAGTTTTGAAGCATAGTAAAGGGTCTATGTAAGTAATGTTGAAGAAAATAATGAATATTTAAGCCATCCTTCTACTAAGGATTTTTTCCCCTATGTGTCACATTTGTTCCTGAGGAAATATGCCAGCGATGAAAAAAGTCAGAACTATTCTATACTTATATTCTCTCCAGTTATATTCTTTCAGCTGCACACATCAACTATGTATGTTGTCTTTTGTCACATAGAAGAACATTTTATACAGTTTATAAATTTTCTATTTCCTGAAAATAACCTAATCCATAACTACTCTATGATTTTGAAAATCATATAGTATTTTTTTAGAGTGACATCCATGCTTATTTTCTTTTAACATTATGTATAATAAAGATGCCAGTATTAATAATATAAACAATTCATCTAAATATTTCTGGACATTGATTGATCTGTTATAGAACTTTTTTCAACATAGTAAAGAAAAAAATTAAAATATTCACCCAGATATATCCAAATAGATTGCTGTATCTACGAAGTAAGTTGGCAATAGATGACAAATGAAGAGAAGCATAGCTTTATATCCTTTTCCTTGAACAAGCCAAAGATCTAGAACCGCAGGTGCAGTTGCCCAGTATGTTCCCAAAAATGGAACTACTCCAAGTATAGCAGCCAGAGCTAAGAAGAAATGAAGTTTGGAGTTAAAAAGGAAATGAACATTGGAGCTTACCTGAATGTTCGATCTATGTGCGCTGCAGGAGAGTCCAAGCAATGGGTTCAACTTTAGCCTGGTTGGCCAGAGACTGAGTTGAATTTGCCTAGCCACCCCTCTTTCTCCCATGAGCCTTCAGTGTTTCGACGAAGAGGTCTGTAGAAGACATAGCAAGATGATAGAAGAATGTCCACTATAAGTAAGTGTTGGATGCTGGACCGCTACAGTAGGGCAGGGTTGTACTCTCCTGCAGCACACATAGATCGAACATTCAGGTAAGCTCCAATGTTCAATCTCCTGTGCGCTGCTTGGAGAGTCCAAGCAATGGGATATACCCAAGTTAAGTATCCCTAGGGCGGGAGTCCAAGCGGTCCAGGTGTCGTTCTCTTGGTAGAACCTGCTGCAGGGCTCTTCTGCCAAACGAAGCCTCGGCTGAGGCAAAAACGTCCAACTTGTAATTTCTGATAAAGGTAGTGGGAGAAGCCCAAGTTGCAGTCCTGCAGATCTCCAATATGGAAGCCTAAGTTCTCAGGCTGCCGAGGTGGCAGCGCTACGAGTTGAATGCGCAGTGATGTTTCTAGGCACTGGAGTAGATTGGTGTTTGTAAGCCATTGCGATGCAAGCTTTGATCCATCTCGCAATTGTAGATGGGGTAACTTTCTTCCCCATGGCAGTAGAATGGAATGATACAAATAGTGATTCAGACTGCCTGAATGATGCGGTCCTGTCAATATATTTGCGGAGTGCCCTACGAACGTCGAGCGTGTGCCAACGTCGTTCTCTAGGATGTGCTGGGTCAGGGCAAAAGTTAGGTAAAACCACTTCCTGTGCCCTGTGAAACCAAGAGTTGACTTTTGGTATGAAAGTCGGGTCCAACCTGAGGACCAGCCTGTCGGAGTAAAAGATGCATAGATCTCCACGTACCGACAGTGCCGCCAGTTCGGAGATACTTCTCGCAGATGTGATTGCTATCAAGAAGGCGACCTTGAAGGTAAGTATTCGGAGGCTGGCGGATCCTAAGGGCTTGAACGGAGCAGACGTAAGTGCTTGCAGAACAAGAGGCAAGTCCCAGGAAGGATACCTATGGACTGGAGGAGGCCGTAAATTAGCAATTCCCCGAAGAAAACTCCTCACCTTGGGGTGTTGAGAGAGAGAGATAGGATCCTCTCCCTGTAGAATAGTTGCTAAGGCGGCCACCTGTCCGCGGAGCGTGTTGGCAGTAAGTCCCCGTTTGAATCCTGAGTGTAGGAAATTTAAGATGTCCAGAAGAGAAGCTGCCCTGGGAGGAATGTGCGATTTTCGGCACCAGCTAGAGAAGGTTGACCAAGTGGCGTCGTAAATCCTGGTGGTAGACGGACGACGAGACGCCTGGATAATGGAAACGACCTCGCTTGAGAATCTGGAGTCCCTCAGGATTTCCCGCTCAATTGCCAGACGGCCAGTTGGAGCCACTGGGGCTCGGGATGCTGAACTGCTCCCTGCTTAGGACAATCCTGTCTGGCGGAATCCTCCACGGGCGGGACACTGACAGTGACACCAGGTCCGCAAACCAAACCCTTCTGGGCCAGTGCGGAGCCACCAACAGAATTTCTGCCTGCTCGTCCAGAAGCTTCTGGATGACCCTTGGTAGTAGAGGTGTCGGAGGAAATGCATATAGAAGGCCTCGAGGCCAGGGCGCCCGAAGGGCATCTGTCGCTTCTGCCCCCGGCGTCGGAAATCTGGAAAAGAACCATGGTAGGTGAGCGTTCTTTGGTGTTGCAAACAGATCCATGCATGGTTGGCCGAACCTGGTCGTCAGTTGGTGAAATAGGTCTGGATGGAGACGCCATTCGGAGTGGTCGATGGTTGTTCGACTCAACCAGTCCGCCTGTTCGTTGTGTGCGCCTGAAATATGTTCTGCTTGGAGGGAGAGCAGGTGTGATTCCGCCCAGAGGCCGAGGCTCTCTGCTTCAGACATCAGGTCCTTGGACCGGGTGCCTCCCTGCCTGTTCACGTGTGCCTTGGCGGTCACATTGTCGGTTAACAGCAACACGTGACGGTTGGTTAGCGAGAAATGGAAATGACGGAGAGCTAGGTGGGCAGCTCTGAGTTCCAACCAATTTATGTCGTGTAACAGATCCTGTGGAGACCATCTGCCCTGTGCCATCTGGGAACCCAGGTGAGCCCCCCAGCCGAATAGACTGGCATCTGAAGTTAGTGTTAGACGTGGCGGTTCCTTGAAGTTGGGAAGGAACTTTCTCTAGGGAAGTTGACGTCCACCAGTTCAGGGAGTGGAGAACTTTTGGAGGCATTCTGACTCTTGTTGTGGAGTGACTGATGTCTGCTCGTTGGCTCGGTAGGAGGAACCATTGTAAGGTTCGGGAATGTAACCTCGCCCAAGGAACAATGGTCAGACATGAAATAATTTTCCCTAGTAACTGGGACAATACTGCGAGGGAGACAGACCTGGCTGACCTGACCCGATGTATCAAGGCCCATATGCTGACTAGACGTTCTGGTGATAGAAAAACCTGGCAACTAACTGTGTCTATCCGGGCACCTAAATGATGGATAGAATGGGATGGAATTAACTGGCTCTTTTCTAGATTTATTGAAAACCCGTGAAGTTGCAGAGCCTGAATAGTCTCTGACAAATCCTGTCTCGCCTGCCTGATGGATGAAGATTGAATCAAAATGTCGTCTAGGTAACAATGAAGCCTGATTGGGCGAGCCCGCAGATGGGCTGCCACCACGTCCAGGAGCTTTGTGAACGTCCTGGGGGCAGAGGACAGGCTGAATGGAAGGGCCCTGTATTGGAAGTGTTGCCCTGCATAACAGAATCTGAGATATTTCCTGTGTGAAATCCAAATTGGTATGTGCAGGTAGGCTTCCTTTAGATCTATGGATGTAAGCAGATCCCCCTGTCTGATGCAATTTAGAATAGAGGTTAAGGATTGCATCTTGAATCTCTTGTATTTGATGTGTTTGTTGAGTCTTTTTAGATCTAGTATTCCCCTGCAACCCCCCGATTTCTTGGGGACCAGAAAGAGGATCGAGTAGAAACCGAGACCCTTCTGCGAGACAGGCACCGGTTCTATTGCCTGGATGGAGAGTAGATGAAGGATCTCGGCTTCCATCAGAGACCTCCTGGTGGCATCCCTAGGAAGAGTGCAAGAGATTAATCTCCTTGGAGGAAGGGATGAAAACTCCAATGTGAGACCGAGCCGGACGGTTTGCAGAGCCCAGGCGTCGGTTGTGATGAGCTCCCATTGGGCTGAGAACCTCAAGAGGCGGCCTCCAATGGGAACGTGTGATTGGGAGTCATTTGGACCTGCGGTAAGGTCTACCGCCGGCCGTCGAAAGGGACTCCTAGACTGGGGTTGTCTAGACCTGTCCCTGAACTGAGCCCTATCCTGGGATCGGTCTGAAGTTGGAGGGTAAGTCCTCTGATAGGTTGGGGCGGAGTAACTGCTCTCCGCCCCACGAAAGGACTGCCTGCGATAATATGGAGAGTATATGGAGTATATGGAGAGTATCACAGGAGTGTCTGTCCTCCTGTGAGACAGGGGAAGTACCTTCCTTTTATCCTTGGTCTCCAGCAAAATGGGATCTAAAACATCACCAAAAAGATTATTGCCCTGAAAAGGAGCAGACGCCAATTTCCATTTGGATTTCATATCGGCTTGCCAATGGTGAAGCCATAATAATCGTCTGGAAGTCAATTAGAGGCCAGGGCCCTGGAAGCGAACTTAGCCGCATTAAGGGTTGCATCAGCAGAGTATTCTGCTGCAGCAATTAACTTGTTGATGTCCTGGTGTAACCTGACATTTCCCTGGGGAGCTCTTGCCTGCATCTGGCGCAGCCACAGGAGGGAGGTTCTATTAAAGAAGGAAGCTGCCGTGGCTGATCTAATCGCCCAGGCAGCTGCTTGATGTGTCTTACAAACTGACATCTCAGCTTTCCTATCCTCGGTCTTCAGCCCTTCTGCAGAGTCTGAGGGGAGAATATTGGAAGATGCTAGATTGGCAAAGGGAGTATCTATTGTAGGCAACTTAAGCAAATCCTCTACCTCCTGTTCTACAGTGTACATCTTTTTGTCTAATCCGCTGGGATTAGACAAGGACCCAGGTTGAAGCCATTGCTTCTTAATAATGTCTATGAATCTGGGAGAAGGAACAGCGTCCTGCGTAGTGACCAGTTCTGTAAATAATCGAGCATGGGGATCCTGCTCAGCCGAGCGGTCAGATGCCCCAGCCACAACTCCTAGATTGGCCGTGGTTTTGGCCTTGTATAACAAGGTCTTGAACATGCTAGGGTTGAAAAGGCCAGTGAAGGCTGGTTTGTCTGGAGATCTGCCTTCATCTTCAGAAAGATCATGATCTGCGAATTCTTCCTCCTCCCCAGCATAAGACCATTCACTGCCCTGAGAATCATGAGGCGAGTGAGGGGCCCGGGAATAAACCCTATTCTGGTGGGCCTGGTGTACATTGGGAGTGGTACCAGCTGAGTCGGGAGCAGGAAAGCCCCTTCTAAGCAGGGCAGAGTCAGTGCCCTGGGCAATGGTCTGAGCTAACATCTGGCACAGTTCCTGGGAAAAAACAGGGGCCTGGCTTACCTCAGGGCCGAGCCCCGCCGCTGTAGGGGTGAAAGTAGCTGAGGGAGCTGACCTCCTAGGTACTGGAATGACTCCCTGATCAGATGAGTCCTGTTCTGATATGGGAATAACCTCCACAGCACTCTTAATGAATTAAGTTGGAGGATCTGTGGTAATATCTGGAGACCAATTCAATCTATCTTCGTTTGAAGCAGAAGGTGGTGTATCCTGAATTGGAGGGATATTAGGCTCTGGGTGAACAATGACAAGGCCTAGGCCTGAGGAGGCTTCTGCCTGCTTTTTGGCCTTTGCAAATTGTTTCTCTAAGGCTTTTTGCCTTCTTTCTGCATCCTTATCAACAGCTGTGGAAGAAGGGGCCTTAGATCTGGTGGAAGGCCCAGGCTGAGCTCCAACTGCCTTACTGTGATCTGAAGACTTAGCTCTCTTAGAAGCAGAGAAATGGGATGCAGTACTTTTGGAGTGAGAGGAGCTGCGATCCGCCATCTTGGAATGACAAGCAAAAAAGGCAATTCAATCAGAGGATCTTACTAGGACAATGGTTATAATAATGATATTATTCCTCACTCCAGTAGTTGTAAATATGGTGCCAATTTTCCACTGCTGTTAGGTATTAAGCGTGAGACTGATGAATGACCAGCTCTAAAAATGCTATGAGAGAAAGGCAGCAGTAATCAATGGTGCGGGAGAGACACAACAATCCCCAAACCATAAAGGCAATAGCAGTAAATCAGCCAGCAATGCTAGGCCCAATCGCCAAAACTCACGTGGCTCCTTGCTGTGTTTCCGATAAACAAGGACTGCTAATTAAGATCCCTTGAAGGTTTCTGAAAAGTTTGAGGCTTTTGCTCCGTTTCTGAGCTGCTAGAAGCCAAATTTGCCTTTAAAAGCTGCTAGGAGTCAATTTTGCCTTTAAAAGGATTGCCTCCGCTGTGCTGTTAATGGCAGCAATTAGGAGAGGCCCCTGAGGCAAGAGATTAGCTCCGGAGCTAATTAGCTCCACGGAGCTCCCGGCTGCAGCTGGAAAACACCTCAGGCTGTTGGTTGTAATTTTAAAGAGAAAAGGGAGAAAGAGGCTTCTTTCTGTGGCTGGCAGAGTATTTTAAATAATTTTTCTAAGACAGAGAAATTTAAAGCAAGTCTCTTTAGGCCGACTGAGTTGAAACACTGGAGACTCATGGGAGAAAGAGGCGTGGCTAGGCAAATTCAACTCAGTCTCTGGCCAACCAGGCTAAACTTGAACCCATTGCTTGGACTCTCCAAGCAGCGCACAGGAGATTATAACATTGACAATTAATCATTTAGGAATGTAATTCCGCAATTATTTTGCAATTTTATATCTCATACCAATACTTAAATTCAAAGAGAACTTAAATAGAATATAAAAAAAGCAAAATAAGAGTTTATAATTACTTTGCTTATAAAACAAAGTAGGAGCTACCACATCTTGAATTTCAATGCTACTGGATCAGGAATCAAGAATTAAGACATCATAACCTGGTACCATATTACATGAGAAATAGTTATAATGATAGAAGTAACAAAATAGTACAAGTTGAATTAGATGATCATTAATTTATATTCAAGGCAGCACCAGAACAAGAATAGTTATGATGGAAATCTCTTGCCAATTCTTCCCGTTTGCAAATCCTTGTGCTTTTGGGTGCTTCTTCAGTTAGAGCAGGAGTCTCCAAACTACAGCCCGCAGGCTACATCTGGCCCTCTGGAAGGTTCCTTCCTTTCACCAGTTCATCCCATATGCTGTGCTCCAATCCTTTCCAAACAGCAGAGAAATAGAAAGCAGGGTTGTATTCACCACTATTTGCAAAGGAAGGTAGGATTTTTTTCGATTTCTCTAATGCTGGAGTTACGAGCCAGCTGGATGGTTGCTGGACGAGGACGGGGAAGCATCATCCTCTTTAATATTTGTACCAATTGGGCAGATTCTCATTTCATGTAAATTTGTAAAATGTAGGTAAATAAAATTTATTGACAAAAAGAGTAGCTATCTTTTCTCATTTGCAATTATTAATTTATTATGAATGAAGGAAAGCTTGTAAGAGTAAACCTTTGGCCTGGTGACCGACCAGGATTGGATTAATTTATTATTTCTTCAGAGGATTTGCTAATGTTTGATACTTTTCTTGTATCTTTTATGTATGCAAGCATGACATCATTTCTTCATAGTTGTCACTTTCTTTTTTGCTGCTGTTATGAATCATATCACATTGACCAATTTTTTTTTTTTTTTAATTTGATTTATATGCCGCCCTTCTCCGGAGACTCAGGGCGGCTTACAATGTTTTAAGCAATAGCCTTCATACTTTTGTATATTTATACAAAGTCAGCTTATTGCCCCCACAAACTGGGTCCTCAATTTACCTACCTTAGAAAGGATGGAAGGCTGAGTCAACCTTGAGCCTGGTGAGATTTGAATTTACAGTAATTGCAGACAGCTGGTGTTAATCACAATGCTATCAGTCTGCTGAGCCACCAGGCCCTTTTAAAATAAAATAAAACATGTTCAATTAAATTTTATTCGCTCATTTATAAAACTGATTTTTCCCCTTGGCCCTTGAATGTTTGCAAAATGTCCAATGTGTTCCTCAGACTAAAAAGTCTGACGACCCCCTCTCCCCCGAGTTAAGAATCCTCAAGAAATTCTGAAATATGACTCCACTCTAGAAGGGTCAGCTAGCAGCTATGACAGAAATAAGATTTCCTCCTTTTTAAAATCTTGTGAAATGTTTGCTCCACATCTCATATATGAGATTGGACAGCCTTTTGTCTGGAATACTATAGAGTCTCCTGCTTTATCAGAGTGTTGATAAAAATTCCTTCAAACTCCATTATTCTGTAATTCTATATTTTTCCACACAGATGGTACAAATGATTGCATTAAGTCTATACTTTCTTAGTTGAACTTCCCTACTACTACCCTGTTTTCCTGAAAATAAGCCCTCCCCGAAAATATTTAAACGCATGCACAGCCGGTCTGGTTAGGGTTAGGGAGACAGAGCTGGAAATCAGGTAAGATGGCAAGAGGAGCCCCATCTTACTCCACGCACGCCAAAATAATGAGACCTCCCTGAAAATAAAGCCAAGCGCTTATTTCAGGATTCAAAAAAATATAAGACAGGGTCTTATTTTCGGGGAAACACGGTAATAAGATTTATTTTATGACAACCTTGTACCAGTGAGTTATCACATTCCTTTTGACACACATATCAATGGGATAAAGAGGTTTAATTACATTGATAGATGCTAAATTTATATAATTAAATGAAAAAGGAGATATTAATCAGAAAATGGAAGAAATTGCTAGGAAATGCTACAAAATAAAAATTGCTGTTACAATCCATTACATTTAAAATTACAATTACAATTAAGAAACCCAAAGAGAGCGGGTCAAACCAACATGATATTTGGTAACAGTAACAGAGTTGGAAAGGACCTTGGAGGTCATCTAGTCCAACCCCCTGCTCACACAGGAGACTTATACTAGGGATTCAAACTGCCGACGAATTAGATCTCAATAAGTTTAGGTGTGTAGAATATTTCTTGGGGGGAAAAACACGTTTCTGACATAAGCATTCTTGTTTCCTGACTCTCTCCTAGTGAGGAAGCTTGCAAGGACCTAACACTGGTGCTGCAAAGCAATGAGCTCAGTGCTGACCCTTTGTTGTGCTTTTCTCTGGTGTTGTCTGTCTTGGGGGGGGGGGGGGGCTGATGCATGGCAGGGATGCTCCATGCCTGAAAAAGAGGATCTTCCCCACTTAAGATCTGCTTTTGCTCTCCTTGATATCAGTAGCTGAACAAAAGTATGGGAACATCTTTGTCCTGACTTATCCCCAGCCTATCCCAGTTGATCCCTAGCCCAAGAAATTGTAGTGGTAATTTTTAAAAAAGTTTTTCCCTTTTACGTAAAACACAGAATAAAATAACAATTGAAACAATGATACACTACTCTTAATATAAGGGGCTTTTGTATATGTTTAAAATGGCAGATATGAATCGATTTTAAATCAGTTTTATATGCACCCAGGAAAAGAAGTGTTTTAGTATCTTCTTAAACTCCAAGTAGTTGAGCCTAGTAGACCCTGTTTCATAGAGCCAGATGAGAAGAGGCTTTTAAGTATGATGTGGCTATTCAAATACATTATAGAACCAAATGACGCTGCTCTATTACGTTTTTTTCTTGCACTTTTACTGCTTCAGATGTCGTGGGATCTGATAGGTTAAGCACATAAAAGGTGAATGTTACCTATCCTTGGCTAGATTCAGATTTCATCTGACCAATACAGAGTTTCCTGCTTGAGCAGGAGGTTGGACTAGAACACTTTCAAAGCCCCTTCTACTCTGTTATTCTGTTATTCTTTAATGTAAGGGTTTATATATTTTGTATGATGTAGAATTCAGTACAATATTACACTAAAGTTCAGATAAAATGTCAAAACTTACCAAAATGGAGCATGATCTTTAGATATTAACATAAACACAAACATTCAACTTTTTTTTTGTTCTCACCTGAGGGTATGAAGACAATGTTTATTCCAAAGATGGTATGAGTCAGCCAGGTATATAGGCCATAGAACCCAGCCATTTTGAGAGATGCATCAAATACCCCTCTGGAAAAATGTAAAAGCCATGTAAATTCTATGTCAGACTGCAATATTAATGTTTACTTAGATAATAAGTAAGATAAGAGCCATGGTGGTGCAGTGATTAGAATACAATACTGCATGCTACTTCTGCTAACTACCGGCTGCCAGCAGTTCAGCAGTTTGAATCTCACCGGCTCATCGTTGACTCAGCTTTCCATCCTTCCAAGGTTGGTAAAATGAGGACCCAGATTGTTGGGGGCAAAATTCTGACTCTGTAAAACCGCTTAGAGAGGGCTGTAAACCACTGGTTAAGCAGTATATGAATCTAAGTGCTATTGCTATTGCTAATAAATACGTACTTGTCAGTTCCTTCCAGTTAAAAGCTATTTGCTATAAATTTACATAAGAATAAATATAAATCCATTGTCAGAGAAAAAGAGTTCTTGTTAAAGAACTGTTTATGTTTTTTTTTCTTTTTGACAATGTATGCATCAATGTATCCTGGAAAAGATAATAAAAAACAGATCTGTGAACATCTAGAAACAAATAAAGTTATGACTAGTTACCAGCATGGGTTTGTTAAAAACAGATCATGCCAAACCAATCTTATTTCATTTTTTGATAAAGTGACTAGATTAGTAGACCAGCGAAATGCTGTGGATATAGTACACTTAAGATTTCTGTAAGGCATTCAACAAAGTAGACCACAACCTACTTCTTGGTAAGCTGGAAAAATGTGGAATATACAACATCACCACCAGATGGATTTGTAACTTGCTGACAAATTGTACTCAAAGAGTAGTCTTTAATAGTACTACATCTACATGGACGGAAATAAGCAGTGGGGCACCACAAGGTTCTATCTTAGGTATAGAACTCTTCAATATCTTCATAGGTGACTTAGATGAGGGAATAGAATGAGAACTCATCAAATTTGCAGATGACACTAAGATCGCAGGGATAGCCAACATCCCAGAAGACAAGTTCAGGATTCAAAAAAATCTTAACAGACTTGAACAATGGGCCCTCTCCAACAAAATGAATTTTAATGTGGAGAAAAGCAAAGTTTTACATTTATGTAGGAAAACCAAAGGTATAAGTACAGATTAGGTGAGACCTGGCTCAAAAACAGTAACTATGAGAGGGATCTTGGAGTACTAGTGGATGATCACTTAAACATGTGGCAGCAGCCAAAAAAGCTAATACAAGCCTTGGTTTTATAAACAGAGGCATAGAATCAAAATCACGTGAAGTATTAGTACCACATTATAAATCCCTAGGAAGACCACACCTGGAATACTGCATTCAGTTTTGGTCATCACATTACAAAAAAGATTTTGAGACTTTGGAAAAAATGCAAAGAAAAGAACTAAGATAATTAAAGGCTTGGAGACTAAAACATATGAAGAATTCTATTCTATTCTATTCTATTCTATTCTATTCTATTCTATTCTATTCTATTCCTTTAAATTCTGATTTGGATGCAATGTTTATAATTACAGGATAAAAATCCAGTTGTTTTAGAAACTTGACTATAAGTGATGAAAGAAGTATCAGTGGTTGATTTTTTTCAAGCAAAAACCAACCAATCAAACATCTACAGGTAAAAGACCATTCATATCATTAAACATAATTATTTGTGATTAATATGGAAAAAAATGGAACAAATAAATAAAAAAGTTTTTAAACAGAAATTACTCTTGAGCAATAATTAACAATTTCCAGACCAAAATAATAAATATTTTCCAAAATGAATTAGTCTACATCAAGAAACAACTTTCAAGAATTTTAACAAATAGCCTGTGTGCATGCACTCATGTGAAAATATCACACATACTAACTTGCACTGAAGCCGTGACAACATGCAACTTAATAATGTGCAATATCACCACCAGAGCAAGCAGGATGGGAACTTCAAAGAGGAAGGGTTTGGTGCATTCAAAATGAAAGAGCATGCCACTTTAGAAAAGATAATATTTCACATAGAAGATATACATGCAATTCAGGTGTATACTTGAATGTATAAATTCAATTATTTCTGCCACTGTCATGAAGAAAATGAGGATGATTATAAGCATTTTGCTAGGTTTAAAAATAATTCTATTCAAACCACATTTTTACAAGTTAATAGCAAAGAGTATTGTATAAACCACTGATGGTGAACATATGATGTGAAAATTGAGCTTTTGTGCTGTTTCAGATATGCAGAGGCTGCAGAAGAGCATTCTCCAAAGAAAGAAGGCTTTCTGTGACCTAGATAAACCTTAGGTAATACGCCACAGGGGCCTGTCAATACAAAGAGAATATTTGCCTGCAGTGGCAAATATTAAGTGGCATGCAGTGAATCCTGGGAGTGCTGGGCCACAGGACAATTGCATTGCTCCTCAAGGCATCTTGGGAAATGGTGCTCCCCCTGAGTGCCACTGTTCAAAGTGGCCTAGATAGGGAAGAGTAGAGAATTATTTCTCTTTTGTTCAATGTCTGTGTTTAGGCATGTGTCTTTGTGCATGTGATATAACACAAGTCAAGTTAAGCATTTTCTAAATTTTTGACACGCTGAGCCAATAGGTTCGCCATCACCGTTAAATCACCAAGAATATATATTTTTGACTGAGAAGATTCAGATTGAAGTTTACCTATACCTAAAGATCATCAGTTCCATTTGAACTAATTACTTTTTGTTGGCACATTTGTAGTTTGCTTTTTTTTACTTTTGGTGACTGACCAAAGGCTACCCAGATGACTTCATGTCAAGACAGGAGTAGAATTCACAGTCTCCTGATTTCTAGCTCATCTCGTTGGGATAAATATATAGAGAAGGCTGTGCTATGTTTACTGCCTTGACCCCCTGGGGAATTGTGGAACATTAATATTTCAAACATTGAATGAACACATGCATACATAAACATTGAATAAACACAAACACATGGGTTGAGTATAGTTATTGATTGAAGGATTGTTAGTTAAGTAGCAAATATTAGCAAATTTGAGTATTATAAGGTTTTACTGATTTATCCAATGCACTTTATATACTATATATATATGTATATGTATGTATGTATGTATGTATGTATGTAATGCCTGTGTTTTGGTGTTCAATATGCACTAGTTATTAAAATGAAGGGATTAAATTAGCATGTGGCCACACAGATTCTCATATACACAATGCTTATCACTTTTATGCAAATATTTCATTTCAATATGTGTTTTTATTATTTAGAGAGGAGAGATGATGCAGTGTAGTTGTTTACTGGTTTAAGTTGGACTCGGAAGACAAAGTTTCATTTACAAAATAAGTATATGATAATGTACTCCAGGTGTAGAAAAATATAGATTGTATTTATATTCTATGGTTTTTCTGATAAAAATTTCCTGTAGTTTTATCTATACATGGTCAGCAACATGATGGTTGCTGACCATGTTGCTGACCAACATGGTGGTTGCTGAGGGAGTGCTTGACTCACTAGACATACAGTGAGCTCCTTGGCCAAGAAAATATGCTGTGTACTTGGATGCAAGATAAAAAAAACCTGACTGGTAGTGAGGGATTACATTTTATTCAACTAATGAAAACAGGGCATTTCATTCTGGGATTAAGAAAACACCATATGGAGCTCTCTTTGGCCACAAAGCTAAAGTGGATCTCACAATGTCTTCTCTATCTCAAGATGTTTTACAAGATATACAGACTAAGAAACAATTGGAAAAAATAATAGAAAATATTCAAACAATACAAGAAGAAACAGATTACCCTATGCAAGAGAGAGAGCCTATTGCATAAAACATAGTCCATGATGGAAGAAATTAAAGTGATGGTGACTGAAGAGGCTTCCATTTCTGTTACTTATAGTGTCTGTTTAAAGGAAACCAGTGGTGCTCATATATGCAACCAAAAACTATCACCGAAATGTTTATGCCATCTGTAGGTATGCCAATAAAAATGATGCGAGATGAGAAAATGTAAGATTATGAGGTTAAGATTTTTAAGGGGCTTTTAGGAAGAGACTGGACAGTCACTTGTCTGAAATGGTATAGAGTCTCCTGCTTGAGCAGTGGGCTGGATTAGAAGACCTTCAAGGTCCCTTCCAGCTGTATTCTGATTGATTGATTGATCTCACTATCCTCATGAGAAATTTATATATAGGACAAGAAACCACAGTTTAGATGTAACATGGCTCCAAGTTGGTAAAGAAGTAAAATTATCTTTCTATTTATTAGATCTATGTACTAAATATATGCAAGGGAGGCTGCTTTGGAAGAAAATGAGCATGCTTTTAAATTGGGAATGAATAATTAATAACCCAAATTATGCACATGATCTTGACTCTCTAGTAATGGAAGTCAAGGGGCACAATGAAAAAACAGAACTAAAATTAAATATAAAGAATACATTAATGATAACATGCAGCCATTAAATATAGCCTATAATATCAGTCTAAATATAAAAAATAACTATTCTAAGGAATAACTTTTTAAAATTTCTTCAAACAAAATGTAAAATGCCCACCTTTAGCTCATAGGGGAACAAGAACTGTTTTGATATCTCTGGCTTCAGTCTAGGATTTTTGGTACTAATGAAAAATGTTTTAGCATTTTTATAAATAGGCAGGAAAAATTATTGCAAACCATGCATATAATTCCATTAACTAATGTACCTTATGGCTTCCTCCACAGATTCGCTGACTATGTTTGAAGATGCATCAGACTGCAACAAAGGGATCAAATTGATCACCCACTTCACTGGTTTATAGTATTCATCACTGGAACTTAAAAGGTAGAATAATGTGGTCAGGAATATAACCTGTAAAACAGAAGAAAACATGACTGAAAATTCAGAGTATTATGAAAGAAAAAAAATAATAAAGGAAAAGCAAATCTACATCCAGAAAATAAATAATTTCTAAAATAGTGTCTGAAGCTTTTTCCCACCACATTGCCTCTCTTATTTCGATGGATTCCTGGTCAGGGCTGTTCAGAGAAAACAATGAGATAGAATATTTCTTTGCACCCCATTTCTTTGGACTTTGAATATACCATCTTTCCAACTGAATAACTGTTTAACTCTCCATTAAGATCAGAGAAGGTTACAGACAACGTGAGCATCTTTAGTTCCTAAATTCATATTTTATTTCTTTATATTTTTTATATATTTAAAATATTTATATATTTTATTTATTTTCAAAAGCTATTTGACATGTTTTGTGTAATCTATGTTCTATTAAAGTTCTTATGCCTGTTCATTTACAACCTTCAATTGGGCAGAAAGATGCACCACAGAATAAGTTTTAAACCAAAGTATCTCAATTTACAGAATACATCTAAAATCCAGAATCCATTGCTCCTATGGGATAAAATTTGACAAAATTGTGCCTGCTACAGCGCAACTGTGCCTTCTTCCTATTTTTCTGAGAAACCCACTGGTTTCTGTGGCACAAAGAAAATGGATGGGGCATATCCACACCTTCTTTTCCACCTCTCTCTGGTGCCTGTATACAATTGATCTGAGATTTGAAACCTTTTAATGTGAGGGAAGTATGAGAAAGGGTGGTTGCTGGTGAGATGGCTGCTGAAGGGCACTGGCAGGTGATGGGTAAGCCCACTTCCTTCCTGGAGGAAGAGAGTCCTTAGAATGGAGAATGGGAGTGCAAGGTCCCATATGATCAATGGTTCTCTGTTCACCGTTCTCCCTAGCAAAGTGGCAGACAGTCAGTCTGCCTCCAGTCAGCCAAGGATAATGATGAGTGATTTCCAAATTCCCTGCCTGCTTCCTACAAGCAAAGTCAATGCGGAAATCAGCAGAAAGTCAGAAGTCACTCATTCTCCCTCTGCTTTTTTGCCTCCTGTGGTCATTCCTTTGTTCCTCTCCTCCCAGAAAGTGACAAACAGTTCCATGGGTCAGCTGGTTTCCAATGCTCTTTGCCAGCTTTCCATAAATAAAGTAACTAGGGAAGCCTGCAAGATGCTGGAAGTTGCTCACACTGCCACTGCTTTTTTTTTGCCAGCAACGGCTATTCTCTGTTAAGATAAATGAAGTATCTTTAAAAGGATAACCCAGCGTGTTACAGGTTGTCCAGTCAACCACAATAAGGATTAGAATGAATGTCTATCTATGTAGAGAAAAAACAGAGCTTCTACTACAGCAGATTCATAGCATTTTGAGGTAACAATATTTATATTGCAGAGAAAGATTTTACATTGACCTCAAATATTTTTCTGCTGAGATAAATAACATAGTACACTTTTGCATTCCAGTACAGAAAATAGAATAGAATAGAATAGAATAGAATAGAATAGAATAGAATAGAATAGAATAGAATAGAATAGAATAGAATAGAATAGAATAACAGAGTTGGAAGGGACCTTGGAGGTCTTCTAGTCCAACCCCCCTGCTTAGGCAAATGATTCGAATAAAAAAAGAATCATATGTGCCAGTCATTCTTTCTCAACCCAATACATTTCACAGGATGTTGTGGGGAAAATAGGATGAGAAAAATCTATTGGATATGTTTGTTGTCTTATTTGTAAAAATAATAAAGTCAGAATACAAATAAATAAATTAATTTCTCAAAAGCCTGCAATGTATGAAACTACCTTATTTTTTCTCATGTCTTGTCACTAATGCATAATTTTGCAAGAGAATTTGTGCTGGATATCCAGGTCAAAGACACCCACATATTCTGCTCACTGTAAATATCATGTTAAGTTCATACAAATGATGTGGTCATACTTACCAGTGAAAGAACAAAATTAAGAACTGCAGTGCTACTGTGGAAAAGGACTGTTACCAAAGTTGTAACTGTAGTAAAAAGAAGGCTAACATTATGACTCATCAGTATCCAAAGGGATTCTAAGATCTACAAAAAGATGCAGAATTAGATGTATTATCATAGAGCACAGGTTATGGAATAATATATTTAACTTATAAGAAAACGCAATTTGATTGCCTATAAGGGGGAAAACATTCAATCAGTTATTGAAACACTTTAACTTATTGAGCAGAAAATTGGATTCAGTATCTTAAGCAGTCTTTCCACTGTTATGAATTTGTAACCTAAAGGCAAGACCAGTAAATAGTATATGCATATCTGCATAATTACAATATGTTTTAAACATACAGGCCTAATCATTATTCATTTAAATTTCAATTTTATCTCTGCATTTATTTTAAAGAAAGACAATATTTTTTTCTATAGAAATTTATCTTTGTCCTCAGGTTCAAGAGTGGGGTCAGCTTGCAGAATAGAAGCAGAATACATAATTTAAAATAGGGATTCTCTCCTTCTCCTGACTTGCTACACATGCTCGCAATCTAAACATGTAAAGGAAATAGTCTGCTCTTTTTCAGCTTTGCAAAAAGTGTTAAGACTTACATATTATAGTAAGTATATATTACTATCATAAGTATGTTATATTACTATCATCATAGTTACCCTTCCCTTTGCTATTTCCATACTATTTTTATTCTTTTTCATTTTTGCTGACATGTATATAATTATGTGTGACAGAGAATAGCTTGCATGTAGAAGGAAGTCAGTACAGAGTTAGTTTTAAAAAGAATAATGATAATGATGGAACAAATTTAGGGTAATTGGAGGCTAAGAGTTCACAGGAATCAAGAAAAACAGCAACTGAAGAAAAATAAGTACAGACAGGAAAACATATACTAAGAATAATAAGAACAATAAGCCAGCACTTCAAAATTTTGATGAAGAGTCAAAAATGAATTTCAGATGCTGATTTTAACGAGGCCAACCTTTTGAAAATAATTCTATGTGTATCTGCTTTTCTTTTTGTTAAAATGAATGAAATTAGAAATTAGTATATCCTGTAATATTTATTATAAAAACCACATACCGAAAGAAATGTTTCAATATTCTCATGAATAAAAGAAGCAACATCCTGCCAATCAAGCATATCACTTGTCCAACTATGCTCACGATTTAAATGTCTTCTGTGACTTTTCTGATGTCCAGAATGAGTTGTATTCTATAAAACAAAAGCAAAATATTACAAAATATTCCATGTATTAAATTTCACAGGACAAAAGGTACAAAGTATAAATTTATTTTTCAAATAAAAGCTGGATTATTCTAGATTACAGATCTCAGTAGAAATTACTGTATTTTTCGCACTATAAAACATACTTCCACCCCCCCTCACCCCCCAAAGTGGGTGGAAATGCCTATGTGATTTATAGAGAGAATATTGCAGTGGTGGGGAGGGGAGTTGGTGCCAGGGAATGCTGGAGACTCCACTGCAGAGCAGCTGATTGGCGGTTGGATCAGCCTCCCGACTGGATCAGCGGTTGGATCAACTTCCTGGCGGCCTGTTTGCTGCTGCCTGTTCACTGTCACCAATCGACTGTTTGCCGCTGCCCATTCACCACCAGCCATTTGCCACAGCCTATCACCCTGAACGGGCATCGGTGGCGAACAGGCGGCGGCGAACGGCAGTAATAAGTGTGGTGGCGGCGATCCCCGCTACCTAGAACACCTAATTGGTGGTATTCTGGGAGGCAAATCCAATTGCCAATCAGGCAAAGGCTTCAGTGTGCCCCAGCAGTGGCAGCTCAACTCAGTTGACTGGTGGTAGGCGCAAGGAAGCAGAGCCCAGACGAGCCATGTGCTGGGGCTGCAATAATGTACTGAAGCTGACCAGGCTGTTTGCTGTTTTCTGCAAGGACGCTAGTCAGATGGATGCTGGGAGGCAGAGGCAGATTTTTATCCCCTTGTTTTCCTCCTCTAAAGCTAATGTGCGTCTTATGGTCCGGAGTGTCTTATAGTGCAAAAAATACGGTATATCCCACTTTATAGCATGGTGTCTCAAAGTGGTCATTATTGACCCCCGGGTCACTGTTATTATGATGATTATTTGCAGTACTATTAAAATAGTATTAATTGGACTTCCGGGTTGCTGTTTGTCGCTGCCAGACGTTCCTTTGGGATCGTCAGCTTCCATCGCCTGTTAGAGCCGCCTTCACAACGGAATGGCGGCTCGAAAAAACTCCGTTTCCATGAGGAAACGGAGATAGAGCCGGCAGGGGTGGGTAGAACTCTCTGCGGAGTCCCAAAAGTTTTTCCTTTACTTTTGGGACGGAGCGGATGAGATGCCCCGTATCCACAGCCGCCGCTCCGGGCTTTGGGAGACCTCTGCTGATGCAGAGCCAGGCGTCAAAAGCAAGCCTGCAAATTTAACAGACTACTCAAAGAAAATGTGAGCTGGACCTGTAATACTGAACCGCAAGTATTTTACTGATTTTTTTAAAAAAATTACTTAAGAGAGAGGAGGAGAAGAAAAAGGAAAAAAAAAAGCCTTTTAAAATGGCGTCGGCTGGAGGAGAGGCTGAAAGGGAAAGTCCTTCCGTTTTCTATTACTACAATGTAGCGGAATAAATATCACTGGCTACATTTGTAGACAAAACTTCGCTCCTGTGTCTTTTTCTCTTTTTTTTCCCTTGGAGACCTGATATTGTTGTTGATTGGAAAGAAGTCCTTTTTTTTTTTCTTTCTTGCTTTTTTTTTAACAAAGCCTGCCTGGGCGGAAACATGGCACTGAGACTCATAAAGTCAGATAAACAAGAAGGGGGGGGGATCCCCCCACCAACAACTTAAAGGAACAAGTCTTAATTCTTCAGTCTCAGAAACCTGATTTTAATATAATAGAATTTTTTATAGAGGAGACTGAAAGAAGGGAGGAGATTGTGAATCAGCAATTTGAAAAATTTAAGCAGGAAATTAAAGAATTGGTGAAATCTAAGTTTGATTTTTTGGAGAAAAAATTCTCAAAAGTGGTTAATGGTTTTACAGGATTTATGATACAGTTGGACACAAATACTAATGTACTAGAGTCTAAAATGGAAGAAATTCAAGATAAATTGGACAATAGAATTCAAAAAATTGAAAATGATTTGACAAACACTCAGGATAATAGCTTAGAAGAAAAACCTAAAATGGATGCTGATCAAAAGTATGGTAATGCAGAAAATCTGCAACAGAAGATTGAAAAAGAGATTTTAATGGTACAATATAATTTCACAGAATATGCGATAAGATTAAGAGGTTTGCAGGAAAATAATAGAGATGATTTAAGGAAAATATCTTCTGAATTTTTAGCTGGGATTCTAAAGGTTCAACCTGACGAAGTGTTTTGTAGGATCGACAGAGTTTATCGAATCAACTCCTGGATTGCCAAGCAAAGGCAATTGCCTAGAGATGTGGTGATTTATTTTACAGATAAAGAAATTAGGAATAATATCGTACAAAATTCCTTCAATTCTAATTTGCAATTGTATGGAAGAAAGATTTGGATTTACAAGGAACTCCCACCTAAGATATTGATGGAAAGGAAGAAATTTGGTTTTCTGGTGAATGAGTTAAAAAAGAGAAATATCTCATACAGGTGGGACGCCCCAGTTGGTATTATATTTAGATACCAAGGAGAAAGACATCAGCTAAATACTGTTGAAAGAGCGGAAGAATTTTATCAAAATAGGTTGAAAATGAACTTAACATCTTCAGGTATAATACAGGATAAGCAGAAGGAGCCGGAAATAAAGGTAAAATATCGAATTACAGAGACTGTACCAGATGAATTGCCTTTGGATTTATTGGATACCCCAGCTGGACTATCTACAAATTTGAGAGAAGAGGCATCTAATCTTAATGTGATGACTTATCAAGGCAAGGATAAGCATGTAAACCAATTAGGGGATATACAAGGGATAAAAAAGAAACATGAGATACAAAAGCAAAACCAACAAGACCAATCTACAAAGCAGAATAAAAACCGACCAGATGATACACATTTTGTAGAAAGGGAACCAGGATGGAAACCAAACCCACAAAAAGAAAAGAAAAAAAGAAATAGGTGGCATAAAAATAGAAATTTCTAAATCAGGCAACAGTGAAGCCAGTGATTTTAAAATATGAACGATTATGTGTAAACACAGAAGAGGCGACGTATTGGTTAATATCATCCTGAGGTTTGTGGCAGATCTCTGCATGGCCGTAATCTGGGGACGTGAAACGAGCCTTAAACTGATGGATTTGAATTATCCATTTTGGAATTTCTTTTTGTGTTGATAAACATATTATATTATCTTGAATCACAAGGCAAGAGAATTATGTTGGGGCATGCAGAAGATCGGGTTGTTACCCACTACGATGATGGGAATTAATAATCCTGATGAAACCCACAATTATTACTATATGGAATATAATTATAATGTCACTTGGGTGGTTGTTTTTACTTTTATACATATAAGAAGATATTTACTACTGATGGGGGCAGATATGATTGAAGATCCTGAATAAACTGTTGCACCAGTAAGCTATGTTACCCGATTATGGATGTTGGTTCTACCAATCCAGTGGAAAGACCTCAAAGAAGATACTATATGGATTATAAATTTAAAGTCATTGTCTTTTCTTTTTTTTTATTTAGATATAATGGAAAATATAGACATATATTTTTAAGTTTATTTATTTATTTATTTGTTTAAATTTCTATACCGCCCTTCTCCAATGTAGGACTCAGGGCGGTGAACAGCCAAAGTAAAAACAAGACATACATACAAAACATACAAAATCTAAAATCTGTTTAAAATAATTAAATAATTTTGGCCGTAATTAAAACATTCCAATTTAAAATCCGTTTAAAATTTGACTCAAGCCAGCCCAGCTAGTTGAAATAAATGGGTTTTTAGGGCCCGACGAAAAATCCGGAGGTCTGTTATTGTACGTAGCTCTGGGGGGAGGTTGTTCCAGAGGGTGGGCGCCGCCACAGAGAAGGCTCTCCCCCTGGGGGTCGCCAGCCGACATTGTCTGGCGGACGGCACCCTGAGGAGGCCCACTCTGTGGGAGCGTACTGGCCGGTGGGAGGCTATTGGTGGCAGAAGGCGGTCTCGTAAGTACCCCGGCCCTAAGCCATGGAGCGCTTTAAAGGTGGTCACCAACACCTTGAAGCGCACCCGGAAGACCACCGGGAGCCAGTGCAGCTCGCGCAGGAGAGGTGTCACGTGGGAGCGCCTCGTCGCCCCCAAAATCCCCCGCGCGGCCGCGTTCTGGACCAGCTGGAGCCTCCGGGTGCACCCCAGGGGGAGCCCCATGTAGAGAGCGTTGCAGTAGTCCAGGCGGGAAGTGACGAGTGCCTGAGTGACTGTGCGTAGGGAGTCCCGATCTAGAAAGGGGCGCAACTGGCGTATCAGGCGGACCTGATAAAAAGCCCCCCTGGCCACGGCCGCCAAATGATCTTCTAACGACAGCCGTGCGTCCAGGAGGACGCCCAAGTTACGAGCCCTCTCCGTGGGGGCGAGTGATTCGCCCCCAATAGCCAGCGATGGCGTCAGCTGGCTATATCGGGACGCCGGAAGCCACAGCCACTCGGTCTTGGAGGGGCTGAGTTGGAGCCTGTTTCTCCCCATCCAGGCCCGCACGGCCTCCAGGCACTGGGACATCACTTTAAGGGCATCATTGGGGTGGCCTGGGGTGGAGATGTACAGCTGGGTGTCATCAGCGTACTGATGGAACTCCACCCCGAAGCCACGGATGATCTCACCCAGCGGCTTTACATAAATGTTGAACAGAAGGGGCGAGAGGACCGACCCTTGTGGCACCCCACAAGCAAGGTGCCTCGGGGTCGACCGCTGCCCCCCTGTCAACACAGATTGCGACCGGTCAGAGAGGTAGGAGGAGAACCACCTCAAAACGGTGCCTCCCACCCCCAACCCCGCCAACCGGTGCAACATGATACCATGGTCGATGGTATCAAAAGCCGCTGAGAGGTCTAACAGGACCAGGATAGAGGAGCAACCCCTATCCCGGGCCCTCCAGAGATCATCCACCAATGCGACCAATGCCGTTTCCGTGCTGTGCCCAGGCCGGAAGCCGGACTGGAGCGGGTCTAGATAGACAGCTTCATCCAGGTACCGGGGAAGCTGTTGCGCCACCACACTCTCAACAACCTTCGCAATGAAGCGAAGGTTGGAGACTGGACGATAGTTAGCCAAAACAGCCGGATCCAGAGAAGGCTTCTTGAGGAGGGGCCTCACCACCGCTTCTTTCAAAGCGGCCGGCAGGACTCCCTCACTCAAAGAAGTGTTAACAATCTTCTGGAGCCAGCCTCGTGTCACCTCCCGGGAAGCCAGTACCAACCAGGAGGGACACGGGTCCAATAAACATGTGGTCGCGTTCAGCCGTCCCAGGACCCTGTCCATGTCCTCGGGAGCCACAGGATCGAACTCCCCCCAGATAACACTCTCAAGACCTGCCTCAGTCATCCCATCTGGACATACCCAGTCAGAGGCCAGCCCTTCCCGAATCTGAGCGATTTTGTCATACAGATACTGCACAAAATCCTCAGCTCGACCCTGCAAGGGGTCATCCCGCACTTCCAGATGGAGGAGGGAGCGGGTCACCCTAAACAGGGCGGCCGGGCGATTATCTGATGACGCGATAAGAGCGGCAAAATAATTAGTTTTCGCCGCTTTTATCGCCACTAGGTAGGTCTTAATATGAGACCTCACCAGTGTTCGGTCAGGTTCGGAGCGGCTGGTCCTCCAACTACTCTCCAGGCGTCTTTTCCGGCGCTTCATCTCCCTAAGCTCCTCGGAAAACCAAGGAGCTAGGTGAGTTCGGTGCCGGGTCAGAGGCCGCAAAGGCACGACTCGGTCCAAGGCCCCGGCAGCCGCACTATCCCAGGCGGCCACCAGGTCTTCGGCCGAGTCATGAGCCAGAATCTCAGGAAATGGCCCAAGCTCCATCTGGAACCTATCGGGGTCCATCAGGCGCCTGGGGCGGAACCACCTGGTCGGTCCCGCCTCCCTGCGGCAGGGTGCAGCGGTTAGAAAGTCCAGTCGAAGGAGCGAGTGGTCAGACCATGACAAGGGTTCGATGGCTATATCCCCTATATCGAGGCCACTCAACCACTGACCAGAGACAAAAACTAAGTCCAGAGTGTGTCCTCCTGTGTGAGTGGGGTCATGAATTAACTGAGTAAGGTCCATGGCCGTCATGGAAGCCATGAATTCTCGAGCCACCTCAGACGTTTCACCGATAGATGGCAGATTGAAATCCCCCATGATGGCAAGTCTGGGGGTGCCCACCGCCACCTCGGCTATAACGTTAAGGAGCTCGGGCAGGGCCGTTGCCACGTGGCAGGGAGCCAGGTACGTGACCAACAGGCCCATCTGTACTCCACGACCCCACTTCACAAAGAGGGACTCACATCCGGCTATCTGTGGAACAGTGGTCTCCCTTGGATCCAGACCTTCCTTTATAATAACCGCCACCCCCCCACCCCTGCCCTGAGCCCACTACTTTAAGTAGTGTGGGCAGTGAATCAAAGATGTTAAGAAATGTTGTGTATGGCAATTTTGCATGATAGTGGGTGAATAAGCTAGTTAGTAGATTGATTAGTCTAAGAAAAGGGATTTTTAAGTGTTATATTTAGGGGAGTGGAGGAAATGGATAGAGTGGAATAAATGTTAAACTAGATTTTATGGGGAAGGCCGCTTTGAAATGTTATAGTAATATATATAGAAGATTAAATGTTAAAGTAGGACTTATCGTATAGTTTTAAAGTGGAGAAGTTATTCTATAATGTCATAGTATAATGTCTTTTTTTTTTTCCTTTCTTTTCTCTTTTCTGATATGTATGGATAAAGGGGGATGTTATAATATTAATAATATTTTTAGTAAGTAAAGGTCAATATCTAGAGGAGGGAGTAAGTAATCCGTTATGAATTAGGTTTTTTTTTGTTATGAAGAAGTCACGGGGGGGATGGGTGGGGAGGGGGGGTTAGGGAGGGGGAGGGAGAGGGGGAAAAAAAGGGGGGGGAAATTTGTATTTGAAAACTTTTTCAATAAAAAAAAAATAGTATTAATTGAATTATTAAATGCTTGGGGAGTTGATGAACAATCTAAAAATTCATGAAGATGTTTATGGGTTGGACTTTCTCCCAAGATGGCTGCTGCATGGTAAGAATGTTTTTTTTCTCTTATAATCTGATAATTTTACTGCCAAAACTGGTTCTTTAGCAGTACTGCTCTTTAGTTTTGAATGGGAGCATTTAGGAATGACCCAAGAAGGCTTTTGGACAATTGCAGATGGAGTTGGGAAGGAGGGTCCTGAAGATTCCAATTCCCTCTGGAAGAAATCAAAGTCACTGGGTGTATACATCTTTCTGTCAGCAGTTTCATTTTCCAAAGCACACCTGGACATTAACTTTCACTTTTTGAACATTGTTTCATTTTGTTTTCTGCTTTAAAGTTAATTGGTGGTTGAATACTGATTTATTTCAACTCCTTGCTGGGGTTGAATTGTTTTTTCTTTTTGATATATGTTGTTCCAATAATCTCTGTCTTTTCCGTATGGAAGCAAGGCAGGCATTGTTGGGTGTGGGTGTGTGTGAAAAGTTTTTAGATTCTCACCACAGGATTTCTATACTTTTTGAACTGGCAAAATATCTGGAGTTTATATCTATTGAATTTTTCCTTTAACCTGGGATTGAAATATAGAGAAACATATAGAAAACGTATCTTTTTTGTTCTTTGGTTCCTGATCAAGTTTCACAGACTAAGAAATTGTTGAACATTCGCTGAAACTAAGAAAGAAGAGTGGGAGAGAATGCAGCCCTTAGCTGAATCTCTCTCTAAATAGCTCGATGAGACGATAATGATCCTGCAAAATATGTTGGGGCATGGAACTTGGGCTTTTTCTTAAAGGCACAGGAAAAGAAAAGGGAACATGCCTCTTTTTCCCTTGTTTTGCTGGCCAAACAAACCAAAGTACAGGTGTTTTTTAAATGGCTTATTTTAATATTTTTCTAACAGAATTTAAAATCTTGTCTCTGGTGATAAAAAAATGTTCAACAGCTACATAAAAATTTTCTCAATTTCCCAGCAGTATTTTCACTATTCTTTCACCTTAAGTATACACAAAGATTTCACCTTAAGTATACACAAAGTATACATATATATACCTAAAGACAGAAAAAAACCATAGCTCTTACACACCATGGTCAATTTCATCCTAGATCCTAGTTTGGTTCAAAGGTACTTTTAAAGAAGGCTTAGAAATTCTGCAGTAAACTGTATAGATAAACCATTTGTTATTAACTTTTTTCTCAATAAGCACACAAAGAAGAGGAGAAAGATCAGTGTTATTATTTTCCTTCTTTAAAAAATTACCTTGTTTAGCCAAATCTGACTGTCTGCCTCATCTCTAAACTGGATCCATTCCCAAAGTTGCACCTGTACCTCCCCTCCCCACCATTTGAATGCTGTTGGTTGCCGCTGAAATTGCTGATGCCCCCCGCGCCTCTTGCCAATGGGTGCATGCCAGAAGCATCAGCGGCTTGTTTAATCATCCTACCGAAGGAATTAACTGTGAAGATTGGTGTCGTGGTTAGGGTTAGGGTTAGGGGCATTTTGTTTTTCTTGCCTGAATGTAGAACCTTACTTTTTTCACTGTTGAATTTCATTTTGTTAGATAGTGTCCAATGTTCAAGACTGTCAAGATCCCTCTGTATCTTAAGCCTATCTTCTGGAGTGTTGGTTATTCCTCCCAGCTTGGTGTCATCTGCAAATTTGATGAGTTCCCCATCTATCCCCTTGTTCAAATCATTGAGGAAATGTTGAAGAGTACTGGGCCTAGAACAGAGCCTTGGGGTACTCCACTGCATACTTCCCTCCATGTAGATGAATTCCATTGAGGACTATACGTTGAGTGTGGTTGGTCAGCCAGATACGAATCCATCTGGTGGTGATGCTGTCTAACCCACATTTTTCTACTTTATCTAGTAATAGGTTATGGTCTACTTTGTCAAATGTCTTACTGAAGTCCAAGTAAATTATATCGACAGCATTCCTCTGGTCTACTAATTTTGTCACTTTGTCAAAGAATGCAATAAGATTAGTCTGGCATGATCTGTTTTTGACAAACCCATGTTGGCTTTTGGTTATTACTTTGTTTGCTTCTAGGTGTTCGCTGATTCGTTGCTTGATTATCTTTTCCAAAATCTTCTCTGGTATTGAGGTCAGGCTGATAGGTCTGTAGTTTCCTACAGGAAACTAGGATCCTGTAGGAAAAATAGATTTCTAGGATCTTTTTTTTTTTTCTTTTTTGAAGATAGGAACTACATCAGCTCTTTTCTAGCCCTTTGGCAGTTCCCCGGTGCTCCAGGATCTTTGAAAGATATAGTTCAGTGGTTCTGAGATCTCGTCTGCCAGTTCCTTTAGAACCTTGGGCTGTAATCCATCGGGTCCTGGTGATTTGAACTCGTTTAGAATAGACAGGTGCTCACTTACCATTTTCTTCCCTATTTTAACTTGTGTTCCTAATCTGTTTTTTGTGGTGCTATTTTTGATAGGTTGGACTTTTTTTTCCCTTTGTGTAAAGACAGATGCAAAAAACGAGTTAAGTAGTTTTGCTTTCTCCCTGTTGCTTCTCCCTGTTGCTTGTCACCTTACCACTTTCTCCCAGCAATGAACCAATTGTTTCCTTGACTTTTTTCTTGTTTTTAACATGTTGGAAGAAGCTCTTTTTGTTATTTTTTACTTTTGTCGCAAGTCTTTGTTCATTGTGAGCCTTAGCTTTCCTCACTTCATCTTTGCAGGTTCGGGCTATTTGCTAATATTCTGCCTTAACTATGTGTCCCCCCTTTCCACTTTTTATACTTGTCCTTTTTGTCTTTCAATGAAGCACCCAGGCCTTAACAGAATCATGCATCTTGAGATATTTACATAATCATATCAGATGGAATTTATCTTTGTAACTATTAATAAAATATTAATAAAATAACTATTAATAACTATTAATAAAATATTAAGCTTCAACTTCTCTTGGATCAATATACTAGCAATATAAAAAAGATACTTACTTTTGCAAACCAAGTATGATATAGTCTGTCCCAAAGCTCCAGAACTTGTTTTTCAATCACAGCAGTACTATTTGCTTTTTCTCCTAATATTTTATCAAGCTATAAAATATTTTAAAAAGTGTCAAAATATTTTAAAAGAAACATATTCATTGATCAAATATGAATTTTATATTTACTAAATATCCATTAATCAAATAAACTATTTTAGACAGAAAAATGCTCATCCCATTTATTCATTCATTTGCTAGAAATATTGCAAATGTTGAAAAACCAGATTTACAAAAATTAATATATATATATTTTCCAAGGGCCTTTCTTTATTGAAAGAATAAAGAATATAAAATATTGTCATTCGGTTTGAAAACATTACATAGCATTTGAATAGTATTTAAACTGTAGCAATAACAATTTCAGTAGTTGTGGCTTTGGTTGAGATAATTAAATCATGACAGTAATCAGAATGTATTTAAAATGAACAAGAAAAGTGACAGAATTGAGATTATCAAATCCAGAACTACATTATATTCTTTCATAACCAACTGTTGTTGTTTTGCTTAGTTAATACTGCTTAATAAGGACTAATATACATTCTCCAAATATGTTTGTACAAATCTTTTATTGGACTTAGCAGGTAAATAAATAACTATTGAAATCTGATCTCATAATGATATTAGGATGGATTAAAAAGCTTATTTAACCTTCATAAATTATAGTTTAATAACAACTGCAAGTTTATGTTTTTAATCCAGATAATTTGAAATATTTATTGTAACATACTTTTTATAGTTTTATTTTTCAGACTGTTATGAAATTTGATGAATAATAGCACAAAATATATTTTTCATTACTATTTAGTTAAAGACAAACTATTTGCAAACAATGTCAATATTAAATATAAATCAAATGTTATTTTTGCAGTCATTAATCTTTTTGAAAAGAAAGTAAGAAACAGCAGAACATTAATCTCCAAAAGGAATGTTATCATTACCTTATGCGTTATCCATTCTCGCCCATACTGATAAACATTATTAGCAGCTGAATTCAAAGCCTTCTGAATGACTTGAGCTTCGGGAAGCCAACTAATTAAGAAATACAAATGTAAAAAATGCATTCTGATTGCACATATCCTAATTGCATGTATGCTGTTTCAATAAATAAATGAAGAGAGACAACTTGGTACTTTTAATAGGAATGATGAAGATGTTTAAATCTAGTTTCTCATGCCAAATAGCATACATTCAGATTTATAAGTTTTTCTGAAAGTTCAGCATATTGAACAGTAGCTATTGAAATGTCATTCTAAAAAATCCTTGACCTTGTTATTTATCTGAAATATATTCATGTACAAATATTTTCTAACAATGGCAGAATAATATAGATTAATGAAAAATACCAAATTTCCATAGGGATTCCATAGGGATTTCTCAGGAATAGAGCCTTTGTAAATATAATTTTTATTGAAAAAATTTTTAACAAGATAATAAAAATGTTTAAAAAATAAAGAAAATAACAATAGTAAATACCTAAGAAAATTAGAAAAAGAAATGAAAAAGAATTATAAAGAAGCACACAACACACACACAAACACACAATATATTTTTGCTGAACAGAGTCTTTGGCCGGTTAATAAATTTAAACAATTTTTAGTCCTTACAACTAAAATTACAATTTCTATATTTCCTTTTTGCCATAGTATTTATTTTCATCTATTTTTACCAAAATTATCCTTCATTTTCATCTCTAATTTTAACCAAGTTCCATTTTTCCCTTCTATTCTATATTAAACCCCTTCTTATTGTCATCTATTTTTGTATCCATCATCAGAATAATTAATTTTGTGGTGTTACAATTGTTCAATTCTTGTGGAAATAGTGAACCCACTTGTTTTATAACATACCTTTTCTTAGGTAATATAGTCCAACATTTTAGTATAAATCAATTAATTATGTAAATATCTTTTCCATTTATGAATTCAAACAAGAAAAAAAAAGAGGATGTAAACGTACCTATTCCAATTTCATACATCAAGTAATTTTCCCCATGTTTCTCCGAACAACATCTTAATCATTTCTACTTTCACCACAATATACAATTAAAAATATTTCATTTATTACAATTTCCTTAATTAAATTTTAAAATATTCTATTATCCTCTACTCATATAGCTTCCCCCATGTATTGTTCCAAATCCTCACTTAATCATTTCTACACACACCACAATAAACCATTAAACTTATTTCAATTATTACAATTTAGACTTATTCAAATTTCTAAAAAAAGAAAAAAACAAAACTCATCATTATCTAGATTTCAAAAATATAAATGATAATATTCCAATTATTGTTCAATTCATTTTCACCATCATGTGATTTACCATTATTTCTTACTGCAATTCATATTTCAGTTCTAGATGTATATCTCATATTTCTCTTTCACTTCTTTCTCCTTTTCTCCCTTTTCATTTTCATTTTTACCTTTTTCTTTCCCCTTTTTTCCTGTGTTTTAAAATCCTGGTCTCTCCCATTTTGCCCTATATTTCCCATTGTTCCCTCTCTCTTTTCTCTTTTTTTTTATTTCACTACTGTTTTGTCCGCTGTTTAGCCCAATATTATCATTCTGTATTTCAAAGTCCTGGATTCTCCAATTCTGCCCTATATTTCCTATTGTTTTCCACCCTTTTTCTCTTTTTTATCTTTTCACTGGAAATCCCAGTATAATCATTTAAGTTCTTTATATTCTTTCTGTTCCACCTTTCTTTCCATGTTTGTCTCTTTCTGTCCTATTTCTTTCATTGTTAATACCAATGTAATCTCTAGAAACCTTTTTATTATTACTATCCACATATTCGATTACTTTTTCATATTTAATTACATTTTCTTTATCTTCTTTATTTTCAGCCTCTGTGTCTTGCTTCTCTGTCTTTGTTTCCTTGTCAGCTTGCATGTGCTCTATCTCATGTTTTATGTCCTCAAGTTTTAATCCCCCATGCGTCATTGTAGTTATTTCTCTTATTTCCATTTTCCATGACAAGTACATTGATTTGATCATTTCTCTAATTTCCTGTGCCATTTTATTCTTTTTATGTTAGTATTATTCCAATTTTAAAAATTCAGTTGTATTCCTCCCCCCCCTCCAAAGTCAAGCCGCTTGCAGACAAAGGAATCCTCCCTAAAAGTTCTCAGGGCTGTTATCTGTAAGGTTCACAATTTTCCAAAACACAAACCAAGTTACAGTGTTCCTTTTTGCTCCTGAAGGCGTCTCTCTCCAATCCACAATTTCCGGTTATCTAACAAGTGTCTATTTTGTTTCAATCTAAGTTAACAGTCTTAACTAGTTTCTCTTTTTCTTTTTAGCTTTAAAAATACCAAATCAATTTTATAGTCCAGTCCAAATTTAAACAGCTCTTTTCACTTCTTTTTTCCTTTTCCTTTCTGTTTATACAGCTCTTCTATTATAGGGCTTATTATCCATTCTCTTTTGTTTTTCTTAAAATTCACAAAAGAGAGGAGAGAAAAAGGATCTATTTATTTCTTTCCGATCCTTTAATCCATTTTGGGGTAATTTTTCTTTTTTAAATTTTCCAAATTATTTACCAAGTAGTTTTGTTCAAAAGACAATTTTCTATTTGGGTTTTTGTCCCTTTAAAATTACGCTTTTCTTTTCTTTTCTCCTCTTTTCTTCCTCCCATGCTCATTAGCCATTTTTTCGCTAGGGGTCTTCAGGTTTAAAGATTTTTTTCCCTTATTATAAGTTGTCTGTCACTCACCTGGCTTCAAAAAACTCCGTTCCGTTCACCGCTCCTGCTCAATGCTTAGTCCAGTTGCCCCAGCTTCGTGACAGCTGCAATGGCTGCCACCCCCTGCCGCCAAGTTGTAGAGAGCTTCCTCTGACTTTCGAGGAACTTGCCTGTTCCTCTTGGTCTTCCAAGGTGCTTCTCCTTCATCCCCATCCCTACAGGACGGTTCCGGTCCAAAGACCCCTTGGCGACGGTTCGTCAGTCCGGGTTTTTGCGGAGTTCATCGGAGCCTGCTAATTCCCTGACTGTCTCGCCACAACGCTTCCAATCGACTCCCCGCAGCTTCTGATCTTTTTAATAGCAGTTATACATGCATTTATATTTTACCCTCTCTCTTTAAGGTTACATCATAATTTCCCTCTTTCTATAAACTACTTTTTCTAATCTACAAACTCATAAATCATAAGCACCTTTTTCCCTTTTTTATAATAATTTTATTAAACAATACTATTAGGAAAAATAAAAATTAATACAAACTATAAAAATATAAAAAGAAAAAATATAGAAGTGCAAAAAAAGAAGAAAAAGAAAGAAGAAAAATATATAAAAAAGTAACTTCCCCCTTCATAACTTACACCATCTCTTAAAACAGCAATACTCTCTTCTTTTTTTTCCTTCTCTGTGGATTTTCAAACCTTGAACAAATCTCTTTTGTAAATTCAATTTAAAAAGTTATCTGAATCACTCTTCTAGTTTGACATTTGTATGTCCCTTTTAAGTATTAAAACATCAATTAGTTTCATCTGTATATCCCGTGTATCATTTTATAAGATTGAAATTAATGTAAATATGGATTTAAACATGACAAATTACAAGAATTATCATTCTTGTAAATTACATGAATCATCATTACAAGTTACAAGAATGATAATTTGGCAATTTGACTTCTAGTCTTTAAACCCAGTTTGTACTTCTGGTAGTTTTTGATTCACATACTGCTGAAGCCTAATTTATAGGATTTTGAACATAACCTTGCTAAGATGTGAAATAGATAAGAATATTTTATTATCTGTCTTCAGTTTTGGCAATATACTAGTGGCAAGGTCCGCCTGGTGCGCCAGTTGCGCCCTTATTGGAACCGGGATGCCCTATGCACAGTTATTCATGCGCTAGTCACCTCCCGTATTGACTACTGCAACGCTCTCTACCTAGGGCTGCCCTTGAGGACCATCTGGAGGCTTCAGCTGGTACAGAATGTAGCCACGCGGGTCGTGATGGGTGGTTCCCGATATGCCCATGTTACACCTCTCCTGCGCGACTTGCATTGGTTGCCGGTTGCCCTCCGGGTAAGATTCAAGGTGCTGGTGATGACCTATAAAGCCCTACATGGCTTAGGTCCAGGATATTTGTTGGACCATCTGCAACCAGCAACAGCTCCCCATCGCCCGGTGCGTTCTCACAGGGAGAGCCTACTCAGGGTGCCGTCAGCTAGACAGTGTCGACAGGTGACCTCTAGAGGCAGAGCTTTCTCTGTGGGTGCTCCCACTCTCTGGAACCAACTTCCTCTGGGGCTCCGGTTGGCTCCTGACCTCCGCACCTTCCGCCGTGACTTAAAGACATGGCTGTTCAGCCTGGACTGGGGGGGGTTAACATGTATTTTAACATGCTTTTATTTGGATATTTTATTGTTGTGAGCCGGGCTGAGTCTGTATGTGTCTGTATGTGTGTGTGTGAGGAAGGGAGGAAGCGATCTGAAGCCGAGGCACCCAAACTTCTGGCAGCGGGGTGGATGGCTTCTGAGCAGCCCTGAGTCAGCCAGCTCCACCTGACCTACTCCCTGAGTCTCCCTGTTCTGCTCGCCCCCATCCCCCACCCCACTCAAGCAGCGGCAGGCTCTGCGGGACAACAGGACCTCTCATTTTTCCCACAGCACAGCGTACGCTTGCTACCTCTGCTTGTCTGCTTGCAAGCGATGATCTTCTCTGCTTCTCTCGGGATGCTGGTGCGGGCACCATGGATGAATAGATTGTTGGGGCTGAGCAGGGAAGCCACTGCTTGAGTGGGGTGGGGTGGGGGCAAGGAGAATGGCGAGACTCAGGGAGTAGGTCAGGTGGAGCTGGCTGCTCAGAAGCTGCCCACGCTGCTGCCAGAAGTTTGGGTGCCTCAGCTTCAGTTCGCTCCCTCCCTCCCTCACACAAACACACAGAGGTTGGAAAGCTGTGTTGCTCGCTCTCTCTCCAAGCGCCCCATGCACAGCAGAGTGACATGAATGACGTCAAACTGGCCACGCCCACCCAGTCACATGACCAAGCCACGCCACACCAAGCCACACCCACAGTAGCAAAAAAGTTTAGATTTCTCCCATGTCTGACCCTTTACTATTTATTTATTGGTTCAATTTATATGCCGCCCTTCTCCGGAGACTCACAAGGCGGCTTACAATGCGTTAAGCAATAACCTTCATATTTTTGTATATACCTGCTTAGTAGGGCTTTCGCGCCCCCCACCCCCAAGTGGTGTTCTTTTTTATACAAAGTCAGCTTATTGCCCCCACAATCCGGGTCCTCAATTTACCTACCTCGGAAGGATGGAAGGCTGAGTCAACCTTGACTATAACAACAACTATAATGTTGATAAGCAACTGCCAAATTATATGGAGGGAGTGTGCCTTTTCAACCATTGCTTTAAGTTTCTTTTTTACCGGTCTTTTCAATTTTGTGACTTTATTACTTAGTATATAGATTATTGCTTCTCTAAATGTTGAATTTTATTGTATCATGGTCACTGTTCCCAATCAAGTCAACTACATGTATTTCTCTCAATAAGTCCTGAATGCTCCCTTGTTAGATCAATCATCAATTGCTTCAGTTCAGTGTAATTTATAGTGTTTAAGAATTTTAATTCTCTGTCATGGAATATTTTAGAATAGATGATATTCATCTTTAAGTACTTAGAAAACAATGTAAAATCACCACTGATTTGTCGTTCAGGATACTTTTTCTCAATTTTGGATTGGTTAACTTTGTAATTGACTCTGGAAATAATATATATGTTTTGATTTCAGTAAAATGTTTGAAATAGCACCTCATTATATTCTATTAAGAAACTAATTAAGAATGGGCTAGTTATGTTTAAATAGAGGCTGGACCAGAATAGTTTGAAAGACACCTCTTGGCTGAGAGCATCTCATTTATTTCAGTTATTGCCTTTGTTAAATAATATTGTTTGTTCACATGCATCCTGAGTAGTTGTGATAGACAGTTCTAGGAAAATATTGACTTAATATAAGACTAAAGTGCAAAAGTGAAATATGTTTGAGAACAATCAGAAAAGATTTGGGAACTGCAAATATTGTAATGCTTAAATAAAACACAGTACAACTACACTTAGATATAGAGTATTTTCTAGTTCATTTCTATTGTAGGCCTTATATCTGGAGAAGGTTAAAATGGTTTACTATATAACAATTCAGATTTCACAAAAATTAAACCACTTTTTAAAAAAGTACAAAAAAATAATGAACTAAAGTAATTTATATTCTGCAAATTATATGTAACTGACTTGTATGCATCTCAATATTGATACTGCAGAGGTGTATATGGAAAGGACAGTCAAAATTATAAAAAGGCTGAAACAATGTGGTTGTGAGAAAAGATAGGACTTTTCAGTTCAGAAATGAAATATAAAAATATGCAGCAAAACAGATTTAAGGAGAAAAATCTGGCTTGATTCATATCTGGGTGCTGACATAAGGTCTGTTGGCATTTTCTTAACAAAAGATTTGATTTAAGGAAGAGCAAACAGGTACTATGTTCATGCTTAAGGTATGCTGCAAATCAGCATACCTTGCTATACATGGCACAAAAAAAGTGGATAAAATGCTGAAAAACGGTTTCTTCCAATGAAGTATTTTCTTGATTTGAGTATATAAATAGGAAAATGCTACTGTAAAAAATCAGCTTGAAAGCGTCCTATTGGCATATCACTGACTACTATGAGAACAGAATTCTTTATAAGATGGAATAATTATCTGACCTCAAATAACCCTTCTGTTTTAGGATTCAAGAAAGAATTTAAATAATTTAATTTATAGAAAATTATCCCTGTATAATTAGGAAATCTAAGCACATGAATTTCTTAACTTGACATAACAAAGTGGTAAGATAGTAATTTGATGTTGAGGCAGTATCAAAAGCTTCCAGAATGATTTGGGAGTTGTGATGAGTTTTTACATATATTTCTCAATCCAGCCATATTCTTCTCATTAAAGCCAATATCTTATTAGTTTCAAATGCTTTCAAAATTCAACGATAGGCCAAAAATAAATTACAGCTTCTTTCTCATATTTTCCATCAAAATGTAATATTTTCCATCAATATGAAGAGAATATTCATATCCTATCAGTTATGGCATTACTTACTTGGCCCATTCCGGGTGATTGGCTACCGTTTCATTAATCAACCTGCTTGTTACTTCAATCATATGTACACTTTCCTGATGAACCTAATGCAATACAGAAGGAAGAATAAAATGAATGTATCACACCACTAAATACATATCTTACATTTATTCTGTGACTAAGATTGATAGTTTGGTATAATCCTTATTCTGGCTAGATTCTGATTTTTTTTTCAAAGGCAGTCCCATATCAAATGAATTACAGTAATCCAACAGGGAGATGAATAAAGCACTGGAGGTAGGTCACAAGCAGTCCTGCTATCTGGTCCTATCTAGTCCTTGGCTTCTACCTTCAATGCCTGGCAACTAGATCCACAGTGGCCATTGATGTCAATTGCCATTGATGTTTCTGATTGCCAAGTTGCTGTGTAACAAATCTGGTTCTTACCCATGATCTTACTTTGGAGGAGTGCTGACCTGGCATGACCAGGATGGGCCTGGATGAGGGGGCACCATGATCCTTCTTAGAAATGTGCCCACCAGCCAAAATCCCAGGAAATGGAAGAGAAGTAACTGCTATCACCTGTGAGTGGTTACAGGCTTTCAAGAACTCTGCTCTGCAGATAACTGATGCTCTAGATTAAGATAACAGTTGGACTGCTGCTAGTATGTCATTCTCTCTGCTGCCCACTCCCCTGCAATCACTTCTGCATGCCACCACCACCACCAGTTGCCTGATGCCCCATGATTACTTATGCAAGTCGCTGCCAATACCACCGGTTGCCCAGTGCCCCCCTCTCTGTGTGATTGCTTCGCCCGCTACAGCCACCAGTTGCCCGGTGCCCTGCCCTCACGACCAGTTACCTGGTGTACCCTGTCCCCCTGCAGTCACTTCTGCAAACTGCCACATCACCACCACCAGTTGCTTGGTGCACACCCCTGTGATCACTTTTGCATTCCACTGCAACCGCTCCCAATTGTTGGGCGCCCCCTGCAATCACTTTTGAACACCGCCATTGCCACCAGCTGCTTGGCGTACTCCCTCACCCCTGCAATCACTTCTGCACACTGCCACCACCACCACCAGTTGTCGGGAGCCCCCCTACCCATGACTGCTTCTGCACACCACTGCTGCCAGTTGCCCGGTGCCTGCCTGACAGCCCCGTAGACACAATCTTCTGTCAACCACTTGCTGCCACCTGCCCCCATTGTCTGGTTGCTTCTTGTCCCATGCAACCAAAGGCCTGCGTCAAAAAGTGTCTGGGCAAATGGGCAGGGAGTGAGGGCAAGGGTCAGGGGGCCACTGGCCATGGGGAATGGCTGGGAAGGGCCAGTGGAGGAGGAAAGCTGGCTGTAAATTGACTGAGGTAGGTGGCTGGGGGCGAAGGAGGCACGGCCAATGGTGGCCACCTAAACATCCTAAACCCATGGGAGTGGTCTTAGAGGTTCTGGTTGGGCTGTTTACTCTCAGCTTGTTTGGCACTTTCTTGTTGAGGTATTGTTTACTTCTTGATTGCTGCTCTGATGTTAATCTTGGAATTAATCTATATTCATCTGGGTGCCAATTGTTAATGGCAAGGTATTTTAGTTTTTTGTTCCCCTCTTAGCTTATTGTCTCTTTTGCATAGTATGTACTATAGATATTACGTCTTTAATTTTGCAACATATGAACAGACTTCACTATATGTTAACCAGATTTAACTGGGAAACTACATATCCTAGACTAAACCAAGTTTATATGCACTAGGAAATTTCTAGAAGCCTAATACTCTGATAAATTATCCATCAATAGATGTAATAAAATTTAAAAGTGTTTTCATTTTTATAGACCGCACATATTTTACATTAGAATGAATGAAGATTCAGTAAAAATGTTGCATTGTTTAATAGGACACATACCTTTGCTGTAAGGAGCAGCGCAAGCAGCAGGGTGCCTATCACTAGCACAAATATAATGAATATGCTAATGATTTTATCTAGGATTTTTTCCAACCACACGATCAGCTGTGAAAAACAAGAAAATGTAATAAACTTCTTTCTAAAGTTTTTTCCAAAACTGTATGAGTAGCTTCTCCAACCTTACAGAAATGATTTCAGGTAGTGCAAGATAATAGATGAATATTGCTTCTGTTTCTTTCCTATGTAAGAATGCTTCATTTTTAATAAATCATAATCCCAGTTATTAACTATAATAAGACTCTGAAAACAACACTGGAAAAGTTGTGCTATTTATAATCTGAAGCCCCACCAATATTATTATTTTATAGAAAAATGTGGCAAAGTGCAGGGTGCTCATTTCTTAAAAATTATTTGAACTAGAACAATTTTACAAATAATTTTAAATACCTTGCTGTCTAATTTGAGAATAATTCTTCCAAGACCCTTAACTGGTTGCGGGACAAGAACCTCTTGACGTTGTCTCACAAAATCTTCCAGAACATGCCAGTAGGTACTGCAGTAAATCAGTGAGAATTGCACTATTCCAAAGTGGACCAACAGTTTTTTTAAAACCCACACTGCAAACATAAAAAGGGAATTAAGTACTTTTCATACATAATACCTACACTTTTTGCTCATAAAGTCATTTTGTTTTAATTCCATTAAGTGCAATAGAAATAGCACTTTCACTTATATATTGCCCCATTAACAGCACCCGCTGGGTGGTTACAATGTCAATGTATTAGCCCCCAAAATATGGATTTTCTTTTTACTGATCTCAGAAGACTGGAATGCTGAGTCAACCTTGAGCCCCATCAGGACTGAGCTCCTGCAATACTGCATCCTAACTACCATGCTAGGACTATATTCAATCGAATTAAGCTCAGGTTCAAATTTTTCTGCCTGAATCAACAGCCCTCAAAATATTTGTTTTTGGATGATCACAGTTAATGTTAAACATGTTAACTTTTTTCTTATACATATGAAAACTACATCACTGGAATTTAGAAATAAAATAGCACTATTTCAGACACTACTTCATGTACAAGTTTTGCTTCAGAAGTTTCAAGATGATTGGATGTTTATTTTTTTCCATTAAGCATACAAAACATTAAGAAGCATGATAAGATATCAGTAAGCAAACATGTCAGAGTGCACACAGTGTGACTATTTTGAGACAACCCAGGAGTAAAATACAATAAACAGAAGTTTGTCTTTCAAACAGTGGTTTATCTATAAGGAATATATATATACATGTACTAGGCAAAGCCAGACAATCAATCATCAACTATAGCATGGAAGCACACATGGAAAGAGAGATATGCCCCAACAAGGCCTCTCTTATAATACAGTCTCTTAAAGTGGTAAAGAGTCAATAACCCTGCTGACTCATTACTACCACTGCATCAGCATTACAGCACTACAGCAGCTGGTCAGCTATTAAATCATCATTACCCTGGCAAAACATGTGGGAAGGTGCTTATGAATAATAAGCTGAAAATGGTTGCATGAACAGAAATATGATTTCCAGATCATGAGATGTAAGAGATCTTAGCTAGACAACACTCGGAAGTATTGGTAATCCATCAATACTTGACAACCATAATGGGCATTATAATTTCCATCACTAAGTGCGACATCAAATGATCACATTGTTTAATAACATTTCCACCACAACCCCAGCCATTCTGGGCTAGTCTTCTCAGCCCCAAGGTTCAGTAAGCCTCCAATTGGTTCTTATCTCCACTATTTCTCTGCTCATTTGGCTTCCCTGTACCCTGCTTTGGGGGAAAGCAAACAACCCAAGAACTGCATGGCTCTGGGGTCGCTTGCTACAGCCCGGGAAGCAGCCCATCTCAATCCAGTCCCATCTGCACTTTCCCTCATTTTTCTGCATTCTGGGACTCTCTGCTGCACCTCATTTGATTTTGCCATCTTCTTGCTCCTGTTGCTGCTGAGGCATGCCCAAGTGGCAGCTGGGACAGCCAGCCTGGGACTGAACCTTATGCTGTGCTGTGGATCTGGGATTGTAAAAAGTCACAGTGCAAAGGCCAGCACCAGTCTGGCCCAGCAATCCAGCAAGGCAATCCAGTGGCTCTGGGGCTCAAGAACTCCTGAGCCAAAGCAAAACATGAAGATCAGACCCAGCCTGGTCCAGCAGGACAATGCAAAGTCATAGCTGTTGCAGCCAAGACCTTACTATAGTCATCCTCACCAGCCTGCATGCCAATGTCCCAATTGTCTTTAACTGTATTCTTGATTCCATTGCTGATATGTGCTTGGACTGGCCCTTCATGAGGCATGCTGGTCATATGAGGCCATCTTCCTGGGTCTTGCAAGGCAATGTGCAACCTGAAGAAGAAAACCAACGGCTGCCTCCCAAAAGCCGAAGCAAGAAGTGCTTCATGAGCAGCAGGAGCATGCCAGAGTGCCAGCATGCCAGAGTGCTGTGTGGTTAGAGGCCAAAAGGGCATGGGGAGTGATAGGCAGGTGGTGGGAATTGAAATGCCTCTGCAAGTGGGCTGCCAAGTGTCTGAACTTGATCGTGTCACTGTGGATGTGCTGCAACAGCGATAACTCTGGGGACCAGTTGCTGAGCAGCTCAATAACTTAGAATCATTGCTGAAGAAATGGTCATAAATTCAAGATTACCAGTTAGTTGTTAAAAACACAAAAAACCCTGGAGCAGATTTACAAGTCAGCTTTCAGAATAAGAAATATGAAAACCAAACAGGGTGAGGAATGTTTGACGAAACTAGACAAATATAATTTACAAAAAGAAAATTGAGTGGAAATATGACAGTCGTTTGCAAATATCTAAAAAGCTGTTAAGTTCACGAGGAGAGAAATGAATGCTTTCGAACACTGATCTTTAGTCTTAGAACCAAAGAGGTAAAACGACTTAGATTTAATCCTAACTGATGAATATAATGAGGAGCAAATATTATTGAACTCCTAGGGAATAGAATGTTACAGTTAGCATATAAGGAAGGTAAATTACCAGTTGAATTGAAATTTTGCTATAAAAGGGTTATAAAAGGATCAAGAAGGATTTGTACCGTTAAGAGCAACATTTTCTCTGTTTCTATGCCAATGCTAGAAGCCTTTGAATCAAGATGGGGTACTAGTTGGTTTAAATGAAAATGCAGGTGTAGTAGATATTGATAAAAGCTTGGTGGAAGTGGCAGGATTAGTGTAATATAAACAGTCCTGGAAACAAACTTTATAGAAAGGACAGCAGGAGAAGGCATCACTCTTTAGAACAAAGAGAGTAAGGGAGGTTGTAATTTCATTTAGTAACTCTCTTCATACAACATACTAGGTTGTGGTCACAATGTGATAAATAACACATCTAATTAAATTAATTAGCTGTGCTATTAATTATGCTTATAATAAATCAGAATAAGTAAAAATAGGGTTTAAACTGGGCTCTGCTTCCCATTCCCACCCCTGCACTTTTAAAAAATTTAGCATGGTTCCTGATAAATGATAAATTCACTCTTTAAGAGTATTGGAGTTTATCTGAATATATCATCTGAAAATATAATAAACATGCTAGAAATATTTTGTGTTCCGTCTCCATACCAGTTGACACAGTAGGCGCCATAGTAAGTATCTACACAGAGAAAACATCTTATATCTTAATACTAGTTAAATGTACGATTATCTATTAAGCAAGTCAGGGCAGTATGTTTCTGCGAATTGGACTCCCTAATTGGCTCTGACTAGATTTTATGATTGTTGTTATTGTTGTTTTTTTTGCCATAATATACTCACAGTCCTTCAAAACTGGCTGAGTTCTAAGCAGTGGTGAAATTCAAATTTTTTTACTACTGGTTCTGTGGGTGTAGCTTGGTGGGCGTGGTGTGGCCTGGTGGGCATGGCTTGGTGGGAGAATGCAAAATCTCCATTCCCACCCCACTCCAGGGGAAGGATACTACAAAATCCCCATTCCCTCCCCACTCCTGGGGGAAGGATATTGCAAAATCTCCATTCCCAACCCACCCTGGGGCCAGCCAGAAGTGGTATTTGCTGGTTCTCTGAACTACTCAAAATTTCCACTACCAGTTCTCCAGAACCTGCTGAATTTCACCCCTGGTTCTAAAGATAAATAAATATGCACAAAGTTGGACTGAAGTCATCATCTCAAAGACAATATTTAGTTACCTGCCCTATCAAAATGTAAATCACAATATAAAAAATGAATAACCTGCAAAAGGTAAGGGCAGCAATTGAATTATCCAGAAATTAAGCCAAATCTGGACTATTACAATGCTCCATACAAGCAGAACAAAGTAGATGTCACTGGCTTTCTTCTTTTTAGGAAATGCTGCAATCTCAGGTCTCTGTCTGCTCTTCTCACTGGATGATACTGATAATGGAACATCACTTTTTACCATTTCTAGAAAAAAAACATAATTACAACAATAAATATTTATTATTGGATTAGCAGGCTTAACTTGAAGAAGTTAAGAGTATCAACTGAACATAAAACACTTCTATTGTGTTTAGAACCAGCTAAGAACCAGCTTAGTTACAGGTAATCCTCAATTTATGACGCAATTAGACTGGAACATGATATAATCATTAATGGGGTGGTGCCCAATTTGAGATCCGTTTTGCTGTGTCATTAAACAAATCACACAATCATTAAGCAAATCTGGCTTTCCCATTGACTTTGCTTGTTGGAAGTCCCCTGGGAAAATCACAAGTGGTGATCATATAATCTGGGAAGCTGCAAATACCTGCCCATTGCCAAGTGTCTTATTTTTTATCTCATGACCAAAGCAACACTGCAGTGATCATAAGCAGGAGGACCAGTTGTAAGTCCCTTTTTTCAACTTTGAATGATCATAAAATAAATGGTCATAAATTAAGGACTACTTGTAGTAATTAAGGCAACAGGGTGGAAAGCAGAAGTCAATGATTTCTAGTTCCATATTAGATACAAACCCACTGGGTGATGTTGGACCAATAACTCTCTTTCTGTCGTACGAAGCAGGCAATGATAAGCTACTTGTGAAAACTTGCCAAGAAAACTGCTGGGGGAGACAGGAGTTTATTTTCTTAGACCTTGTGCGAGGTAAAAGTTTTTCTAGCCATTTCCCTTATACATCAAAGACTGGGAAGAAGAAAAGGGCCATGAAACCCAGCAAGAAACAACCCTGTTTCCCTGAAAATAAGACCTACCCCGAAAGTAAGTTCTAGCATGTTTTTTTACACCTGCACCTAATATAAGCCCTATCCCCAAAATAAGCCCTTCTTAAGACCCTATGCAGCCGTCCATTCCATCTGGTTGCTCGCAGTGCCATGGCCACGAGGCGAGGAGAGGTGGTGGTGGAGCTGCCCATGCACCCTGCACTAGCTTACCTCAGGGCCCCCACAGCCAGGCCATCAACGCCCCGACACCTGCCTCATGGTGGCAGCGCCAGCCATGTGCAGCAGGAGCCCATATGACCGCCATGGTACCATGGCCGGAAGGTGAGGCAGATGTTGGGGCATAGATGGCCTGGCTGTGGGGCCCTGAGGTATGCTGGGATGAGGCGCGTCTTGTCACCACAGCATTGGTGCATCGCTTGGTCTCATGCTCCAGTGTGGCTACAAGCAAGCAGAAGTGAGCCTCCCATACATGGGGAAAAAAATAAGGAAAAGTAAAAGCAGTACTGGACTGGCAACCCCATGCACCCGCAAGCAACTCCAAAGCTTCTTGGGGTTTGCAAACTTTTATACATAGTTCATTCCAGCTTTTGCTGAAGTAGGCCTACCCTTGACGGAGCTGCTGAAAACAGGAGGGGATTCTCCGAAACCATGGCCGAACCAACCACTAGCCTGGTCACTGAACTGTCAAAGAGCATTCAAAAAACTAAACTCTTCGCAGAAGAAGCTATTCTTCAGCACCCGGACTCCGAACAGTAATTTATTGTCCAAGCCAACACCAGTGACATGGCTGTAGCAGGGGTGTTCTTGCAAAAGAACCCCCAGGAGCAGCTCCCACCCTGCGCCTATGTGTCCAAAAAGCTTACTGACACTGAAAGGCTGTGGGCAAAATGGGAAAACTAAGCCTATGCAGTCAGGTGGGCCCTCCTCTCCTGGTGGAACTTCCTGGAGGGGAGTAGGATGCCCTTTGAGGTCTGGACTGACCATAAGAACCTTGAGGCCCTAGAGAACACCCCCCCCCCGCCAAAAACTCTCCCACAAGAAAATCTGCTGGGCATAGTATTTTAAGCAGTTCAACTTCGTGCTAAAATACATCCCGGGGGAAAGAACCTGCTCACAGATGCCTTGTCAAGAAAGCCACAGTTTAATAGTTGGTGAGAGAAAGTCATGCACGCAATCATTTCCCCCTCCCAACAGGCGGCTCAAGTTACAAGAGGTCAAACTAGATGTCGGGACAACCCCAGAGGGATCAAATGATGACAGCACTGAAGTCTCCCAGCTGAGCAGTAGTTTGAAGATAACCGAACCCTATAACTGACCCTAAGGGATGGGTTGGCTTGGAAAGGATCCAAGCTGTATGTTCCTGCCACTTGAGACTTCAGCTCCTATAGTGCAGCCATGACTTCCGGTTGGCTGGCCACTTCGGATTCCTAAAGACCCTCCATTTAGCCAGGAGGCAATTTTGGTGGCCGAAGATGAAAGCAGATGTAGAAGATTATGTTAAGAGCTGCACTATGTATGCAACCATGAAGATGAGATCAGGGAAACCCCCTGGGCTTTTCCAACAAGTGGTCGAACCCTGCCAGCCTGGGAGGAAATTGCCATGGACTTTATAGTCGAACTCCCAGAGTGGAGAGAATATGGTCATTTGGACGGTGATTGACTTATTCTCGAAGCAAGCCCACTTCACTGTCTGCTCGGGATTGCCCTCTGCCGGGAAATTGGCCGGGATGTTTATAAAGCAAATATACCGGCTGCGCAGAGTGCCCCACAGGGTCATCTCTGACTGAGTGGTTCACTTCACTGCTAAATTCTGGAGGGACTTCCTGAAGTCCATAGGATCAACTGAGGGCTTAGCTCGGCTTTCCATCCGAGTACTAACGGAACTGCAGAATGCGCAAACTCCATGGTGGAGCAGTACCTGAGATGCTATGTGGACTATCAACAAGATAACTGATCGGATTTGCTGCCTTTTGCGGAGGAGGCTTACAATAATGCAGTGCATAATAGCATCGGACTGACCCCTTCCAGCTCACTAGTGGCATGGAATTTGTCCCCATGCCCGAGCTGCCACAAGAGCCGCCATCGTCAATGACCCTGGCCGAATGGATGGAATCACTAAAGCTGGGTTGGGAGAATACGAAGCAAGCATTAGCTGAGGTGGCAAAGGCATACAAGAAGCAGGCGGATAGGCATGGATCTCTCCAGCCCACCTTCCAGGTGGGAGATTGTGTATACCTGTCAACCAAATACCTTAAGCTAAAATTGCCTAGCAAGTTCCTAGGGCCATTCTCAATAGTGAAAATGATTAACCCATGACTGTACAACTTAGCCTCCCACACCTGTTAGGGAAAGTGCATCTGGTTTTTCATAGCAGTTTATTGAAACCTGCAGTTAGCTCACAGCTAAGACAATGGGACTGACCAGCACCTAAGGTGATGGTAGTGCAGGGGGAGACCCACTATGAGGTTAAAAAGATATTGGACTTCAGGGTACACAGGGGTCACTTGCAACCTGGAAGGGATACCCTTTGTCTGAAGCTACATGGGTCAAGAGTTGGAATGTGAAAGCAGATAGATTAGTAAAACAATTCTCTACCAAGCCTAAAGGTCCCTCTGGGGGTGGGGAGGAGAGGTGGTTAGAAACAGCATTACTAACCCCCATCACTTATTGCGTTTCAGGATGTCCTCATTGGCTGAGGGGGGTGGGCAGCCTGTCAGCCTTCGAGACATCCTTAATTGGAGTCTTCAGGGCTTCCACAGCGGTGGATGGGCAAGTTGTGGGAAGGGGAGGGCAGTAGAGACAGTGTGGGGTGTGTAGTCATAATAACATTTTTCTCTTGGGAGTCAAGGACGTTCAGCCTACACCTATGGAGACGTGACTGGAAGTCAACTACAGTTGGGACAGTGATCTGATTAGACCATGTGATGTACATGTGGATGGAGGGGAAGGAACTTTGACTTTGCTCTGGATGAGGAAAATCCAGGGCTTTTAGATTTGGGTTTTCTCAGATGTGCCAATATGACATCTCTAATAAATTCAAGCTTTGAGGAAGATGCCTGCCTCAGAGTTTTGATTCTGTTGGGGGTGTTACTTGGAACCCTGACACTCAGAACATAAAAGGAAAAGCAAACAACCAGAATGGGAACTCAAGAAGACACTGCAATAGAGATGCCAGTAAGAGGTGTTTAATGTTTCAGGTGTTTCTGCACTAGGCACACAGAATATTAAAATCATAGATTCATAGAACTGAAGGCAACTTGGAGACATTCTAGTCCAGTCCTCTGATCTAAGATTGGATTTTAATACTGTTTTTAAATTTTGTACTTCTTGTGTTTTATCTGTTGGCTGTTCACCGCCCCGAGTCCTTCGGGAGAAGGGCAGTATATAAATATAAACAATAATAATAAGACCATACCAAACGAATGGCTCTCCAAACTTTGCTTCAAAAGGCCTAGGAATGAAGCAACTACATCTTCAGGAGGCAGACTGTTTCATTCATAGTAGCTGTCACAGTTAGGAAATTACTCGTTATCTCTTTCTGTAAAGCTTCCACTCATCAGTTCTTGATTTACCTTTGGACACTACACAAAAGAAATACATACCCTCTTCCCTATGGCAAGCCTTCAAGTATTAAAAGACTGCTATCATTTCTCTTTTCAGCTTTCTCTTCAGGCTAAATGTAATCAGTTCTTTTAACAACTCTTCATAGTATTTAGCTTCCAAGCCCCTTACCAACTTTGTTGCCCTTCTCTGTACCTTTTCTAGTTCTTCAGCATTTTTGTTGTGTGGTGGCAACTAAAACTGTATTCCAGGTACAATCTGATCAATACACCACACACATATACATAGCTTGGTTTTGTGTGGGCTTCTGGAAATCAATCAGCATCCATATTGGATGTACACAATGATTGTGTACATCCAATGTCAGGAGTACCTGAATCACTGCATTTTGAATCAACTGTAGTTTTCAAATACCGTATTTATCAGAGTATAAGACGCACCTCCCAAAAGGGGGTGAAAATTTAGGTGCATCTTATACACCGAATGTAGCCCTGCCCACCCACTGGCTCCCACCCTTTGGCCTGTACCTCCAGCAGTTACCTCCTTGCAAGCAAACAGCAAGAAAAAACAGCTTTCAGCTTCAGCATAGATTAATTAGCACAAGTTGATTAGATCGGCCTCCCGACTCTCAGCTGATTTGCTCTCAATTGTTCTGCTGCAGGGCTCTGCTGCTTGCTGCTTGCTAGAGCAGATTTTTTCCCCCCTAGCTATGCTAAAAAATGAAACTGAAAGTAAAACAGGCGCTTTGTTCCAACGTGGCAAAATGAGGCAGAGATTTCTTTTTCTTTTTCCTCACCAAAAGGGAAATTTAGGGCAAAAGAAGGGAATTCAAGATTTTAAAACACAAAAGAAAAAAGGCAAAAATAGGTTTAGGTTTAGGTTTATTTGATTTGTAGGTTTATTTGATTTGTATACCGCCCTACTCCCGAAGGACTCAGGGCGGTGAACAGCCAACAATAAAATACATAAATACAAAAAATTTAATACAAAAATAAAAATGGGAAAGGAGAAAAAGAAAAAGAAATGAAAGAGAAAGATGTTATACATATTTAGAATTGAAATATGAATAGTAGTAAGAAATAAATGGGAAATCATGATTGTAAAAATGAAATGAATAATAATTGGAATATTTTTCTATATGGGCAAAACTTTGGGTTATTGGAAGAGTTTAAGATGTGAAAATGAGTAACATAAGGGGAAAGCTCTATTTAACTAGGGAATTGTAATAATTGAGATACTATTAATTGTATATTGTGTTGAAAGCAGAAATGGTTAAGTTGTGGTTTGGAGGAATATATGGGGAAAATTTTTTGGTTTATTATTATTGATAAATATAATTGATTTGTAAGAAATTGGATTGCATGGAATATTCATGTTCATATTGATTAATATACAAAAAAGATAGTTATATAACTAATTGATTTATATAAAAATGTTGAATTTGTATTAAAAATTGTATTAAACAATTGTAATATTACATAATTAACCAATGTGAGGATGGATATAAAAATAGATGACAATGGGAAGGGGTATAATATAGAATAGAAGGGAAAAATTGAATTTGATTAAGATTAGAGATGAAAATGTAGGGTAATATTGGTTTTTTTAAAAAAATAGATGAGGAATAAATATGGCAAAAAGAAAATATGGAAATTGTAAATTTATTTGAAATGACTAAACACTGTTTAAATTTGTGAACCAGCCAAATACTCTGTTTAAAGAAAATACATTGTATGTTCGTATGTGTGTTTGTCTAAAAAATTAAAAAAAAAACCTATTAAAAAAAAAACAACCAAAAAAAGTAGGTGCGTCTTTTACTCTGAAAAATACGGTACATTTTAATGGCAGCACAGGTAGAGCAGTGGTAAGGGTTAGTAAGAAGGATAGTGATAAGGGGTAAGTGATTAAGTTACTGTTGCCTAATTGTAATGAAAATGACAGATATAACAATGAGCAGGCAACTAATTTTTTCTAGCTTCCTAAATTAGGCCAGACAAATTCAGAATTGAAGTGTTTTGTAATCTACATTATATATTTCAGTTTTTTAAACATCTTTAATGCTACCTTAATTTTTCTTAACCATTTTCTTCACCATTAGGGTTGATAAAAAAGTGAATAAAATCCCTTCTGAAGCATATATATCTCCTAAATTAGTTTAATTTCAGCAACTATTTTAAATCCACCAACTTTCAGACCAAGAAAGAAAAATTTGAAATCAAATTAAAGTGCACAAATCAATATAAACAAGCCTTACAAGGCGATTAATTAAAATATTTGAATATTTTAAGAGAGTCATTGGAATTAAAGTCACCTGAAGTTTGTAATGGATGATCTTCATTACTTGATTCATAACATGAATCTGAGATTACTGTCGTGACCGCAGATGCTGCAATGGAAATGACTTGACCAAGAACTTGTGCCTCTGAATTAAATAAATATAACAAAATAAAATAAATATAAAAGGAAATATATGATACATTTTAATAACTGAATTCTCCATCTTCTTTACAGTAAATTTATAATCCAAATAATATAGAAATACCTATATGAACAATTTAATAGTAGAATGCAGGTAGTCCTTGACTTACAACAGTTCATTTAGTTCATTTGGCGACTGTTCAAAGTTACAACAGCACTGAAAAAGTGACATAACCATTTTTCACACTTACAATCTTTGTAGCATGCCTATCATCTAAAGACAGATGCTTGGCAATTGGTTCATACTTATGATCATTGTTGTGTCCCAAGGTCATGTGATCACCTTTTTCAACTTTTTGACAAGCAAAATCAATGGGGAGGCCAGATTCACTTAACAACTGTTACTAAATTATCAACTGCAATGATTCACTTAACAACTATGTTACTAAATTATCAATGATTCACTTAACAACTGGGTCAAGAAAGATCATAAAATGGGGCAAAACAAATGTCTCTGTTAACAGCAGAAATTTTGGGCTCAATTGTGGTGGTAAATCAAGGACTACCTGTACTTCAAAAAACTTGAAATAGGTTTTAAAAGTCATATACCAAATCCAACTTTATAAAATGAAATGCTTTCTCCTTTTTGAAAGAATGGCCTTTCCCCCACCACAATCACAAAAACATCAAAAGTCTTGCTGGCACGTATTACTTACTATTCGTGTCCAAACAAAACTATATTTCTCTCATAGTAGTGCCCTGGTTGATTCAATCTGGAAGGTTTGGCACCTTCCAGGTTTCTCCAGTTGAATAATATTCTCTACTGGACCTTTAATGTGCCTTCTAAACAGTAATGCACTCTGTAATGAGATTTCCTCTAAGATCTCAGAGCTCCCATTTGTTGGGAGGTGTTTCAAAGGGCTTTGAAGACCTGGCTTTTCACCCAAGCTTTTGGCAAAGATGAGTGAAAGCCCCTTTGTCCTACGTGGCAGTTTAGTGGTACCTTGGTACTCATCATTAATTGTGTAACGAGTACTAAAAATGATAAAACACCTGGCCTTTTGTTTTAGCCAGGAAGGACTTCCTATCTGTCTCTTTTCTTATGTTAGTGACCTTTCCACCATGGCTGACTTCCCGTTTAATCTCTGCAGCCATCTCCGGCTTCCTTTTGCAGAGACCTTCCTGGTTTTAGCCAATTTCCTATCCGTTCTCCATGGCCATCCCTTTCTTCCTATAGCAGTTAGTCAACAAATAAGTACCAGGACAACATTTTTTCATCAAAATGTTGATGAAAATGTTGATGAGTGTCAAATTCAACAAGTTTTGAAGCAGCTGAGTACCACTGTATTTATTTTGTTCCCCATCAGTTATTATCATTTCTCCCATTTTCATTGTTTATTTCTAATAAACATTTCTAACTATTCTAACTATTTTTCTTTTATAATTTTTTTTATCTGTAATCGCCTAGAATCTTTGAGAATTGGGCACTGCATAAATTTAAAAAGGCTCACTACAGATAATAATTCTATTCCATTCTTTAAAAAAGTAATTAATTTTTACCTGGAGGCTCTTTTCCATTTGATTGCTCATGAAGCAAACCTACTGTCATTAAGACAATTATAAGTAAAACAATTGGAATTCTCCAAGATCCTGCTGCAGAAGCTGGAAAAAAGTATGTATTGTTTTAATACAGCCACAATTTTTTTAGGTAGATATTGTCAAAGACGATGATAATAATACTGTTAGACAAGATATATACTCATAAAAATCATAGGATGTTAACAACAATTTATGATAAAGCATTTTTGTGTGGTTTGGATTAATTTTGAATATAATATGATATGCTATATTCAAAATGAATACAAAATGTAGGAAAATGGTACCTAACTTTCTATTTACAGCCAGTTTGATGTAGTGGCTGAGACACCAAGTTTAAAATTGGAAGATGGTGAGTCTTATAAGCACAAAGCCTGATGGATAATGTTGAATCAGTCACTTTCTCTCAGCCCTAGAGAAGATTCAGTATTAAAACACCTCTGAAAAACCTTGCCAAGAAAAGTGCAGAAGCTTGCCCAGGAAGGTGCTAGGAGTCAAAAACCTGACTAGATAGCAAGTACCCCCTTAAAATTGCAAAATTAGGACCTAGTATTTCAGTCTTGCCCTCTCCACAAACATCGTTCACCTAACTTCCAGGCAGTGTACAAAGTTAAAGTTTAGCCTTGATGCTGAAAAAAGTTATCCATAAATTTACAAGGATGTATAGATACAAGAAAGAAATACAGTAATTATGTTTCCATATTACAATAGACCATTATTTGAATAACCATCTCATTCATATATAATGCTAAGTCATGAATTATAGTTCCAAACCCAACGGGTATAATGCCGCATCAAAAGTAAAAATGTACCTTAGCAGGATGTATGAACCCATATATTAAGCTTTAAAAAGAACGAGGACCTTGAGATTTAGAAATTACACATATTCAATCAATTCTTATCTTCCTTTCATGCCAAAAATGCATTGAAACATGCTAGATAATAATCATATACTATAGTTAAAATACAGCTAACTTTCCCATTTAACTTTCTAGTTTCTAAAATCTACAGAAAAACCTCATACTATATACTATGTATTCACTCACCCAAATGAAATAGCAGCACAATCCAGAGGGGAACTGAGATTGCTCTCAAGTAACGTTCGGTGCTCTTGTTCCATCTGAATAACACAGTCAACAGATAACCTGCTATCAAGGTCCATATCTGAATATTTAAAAAGGAGGTGAAATTTGAGTATAAATCTCTAACAGAGCGTTTCATTAAGTTCAATTTACCAGGATTCTGCACTAGAAACCCATAAACTGAATTCAGTCGGTGTATTTCTAAAAGTTATATAACTGTTTCATCTTTATATCCTTCACTGGAAAAGAAAATGTTTTTCCATTTTAAATGACAGTTATTAATTAAATAATTTTCCATGGTTATAGTCTTGCTTTTGCAGTTTCTCAAGTAGATGTTCATTATTTAACATTTATAAAATCATAGAAATTAAAAGAAAGAGATGCAAGGAGGAACTGGTAAAAGTTCCTTTTTGGAACTGGGGATGTACAATTATAGAATCATAGGCTAGAAGAGATCTTGGAGGTCTTCTAGTCAAACCCTCTGCCTAGGGCAAGAGACCTTATTCCATCTCGGACATATGGTTGTTCAACCTCTTGAAAGCCTCCAGTGATGGCGTACCCACAACTTTCAGAGGCAAATTGTCCCATTGATTAATTGTTCTGTCAGAAAATTTTTCCTTAGTTCCAGGTTGGCTCTTCTTCTGATAAGTTTCCATCTGTTGCTTTTTGACCTGCTCTCTGATGCTTTTGGAGAATAAACTGATTCACTCTTCCTCATGACAGTCTTTCAAGTATTGGAAGATGGCTATCATGTCAATCCATAAGCGAAAGGTGTGAATTTTAGCATTTTTTAGGAATTTTAGCATATTTTAGGAATAAATATGGTAAAAATACATGTCTGTGTTTGAACAATAAGCAAATAGAAATACTGTATCTGTCTGTATATGCTACCATCTCTCAACTCACATCTCCAAACTGTAACAGAATATGTTTATTTCAATCAGAATAGAGCTGGAAGGGATCTTGGAGATCTTCTAATCCAACCCCTGCGCAAGCTTGATTGCATAAAAGTAAAGCATTTGGTACCAAAACAGCTTGCATACATTTTTCTAGTTCAAGGTCTATTACAATCCTAGAAGTCTGAAAGGATGAAATCTACTACTACAATATTCCTAAACACTGAACATCTAGTCTGAAAATATAAGTAGTGTTATGAAAAGAGGATCCATTAAAATTACATTAAAGAAAACATTAGAATTAGCAGTTAAAATAATAAATTAGAAACATCATTGTTGCACATCATTTATATTTGATACCATCATGTTTTCAATAAAAAACAACATCTATTGTAAATCCAGCTTTTAAAATCTTTTTTAAGAGTAATATATAACTTTTCTGTAACCCATTTCTTTCCTTCTATGATCTGTTTCTTGCTTAGTTTATTACATTTATAGCAAGAAATTATTTAAATGAAGCTCAATAATTATTTTCAACTCTCCTTTCCTATAGAACTATCATGCAGCTCTAGTTACTTTCAAGAAGCATTGTCATTTTTAATGCCTTTCAGTTCAGTGATTCTGAAGTTTAGCGGACTAAACTTCAGTGAGTCTAAAGTTTAGGGGTAGCCTTAGTTCAAATTGCAGTTTGAGGCAATTCAAAGTTTGAGGCTACTGGTTGAACTCGTTCGTTCAAAAATCTTCACGCGGGCGTCCCCACCCATGTTATTTTCTCCGAAATTTACTCGTAATACTAACTCACGTGCGCTGGACTGACCAACAAGCTGGGCCAGAGGTGGTGTTTGGCTAATATGCAACTCGCTGTAGCAAACAAAACCACCTATGCCACTACTTCCAAGAGGTTGACTGTAACTTACCCAGCGGCTACTGAAATAGTCTAGTCCTTGACATATGAGGCTGGCGAAATACTCAAGCGCGACCTGGACTCCAAAGGAAGTACCGAGGCAGTATAGTCCATACAAAACAGGACTTCCTACGCTCAGAAGGAGAAGAAGCCGACGGCGCCGCACGATCTCATTGCCCAAGGTTTCGGCAGCCGCATTAGCAAAAGACAGTGGCAATAAGAAAGTAGCCAAAAATATTGGTGTGTTGGAATGGCGGAGGCGACGCAGCCAGCGACGGCCAAATGCCGTGAGGGAACTCTTGAACGGGTGCAAAAAGGTGCCGCACAGGACAGCCCACAGGAGTGGGCGCAGAAACGCCTCGAGGATAAAGTAAATGAGTACCCCCACCCCGCAGCATACTCCCACCAGAACCAGAGCTCCGGTGTTGTAGAAGGCCTGGCGCAGCGGTTTCTCCAGGCGTGGCAATTGCACAGGAGGCGGCGGCGGTGGGTAACGCTGAGGGTCTGGGTCCAGTTCAGGTTCTGATAACGGACTTGAAGAACCATCACGCTGGTATTTAGCCATATCGCTAAGCCAAGGCGTTAATATTACTGCTGTTTCCTACATCTCGCCATACCCGCTTAAAAAAACCCACCGCGCCAATCGCAGGAAAGCAATGATACCGCACTGAATCCTGGGGAATGCAGTTCCCCATGACATCCAGTAGGCATTAATGTTCTGGGAACGCAGCCACGCTTGGCATTTGGCTTGAACATACAAAGCCTGAAATGTATTGTACGTATTTCATATGCCTGCTTTATTTTAAAAAAGCTGACAGCAGCATTGTTTTTCTTTTTTCTGCTGAAGGTTGACAGAATTATTATCATTTTTTCTGGATATTTTATCCAACTGATTAAGCAGTGTTGTACCATAAAATTTTATTTCATTTGATATAATTAGTTATCATCATTATTATTATTACCATAAATTGTTATTCAGGACATACAGAAGCAAGTATAGAATATGAGATATGGTATTTTTTTTAAAGTTGGTAATTTTCACTAATGCACAGAAACTCAGAATCAGAATCAGAATAAGAATAATTTTATTTCTATACCGCCCTTCTCCCAAAGGACTCAGGGCTGTGTACAGTCTATTAAAAGCACAAGACAAACATCAATTAAAATAATTTAAAATTATTAAATAATTCGGCTCAATTTAAAACCCCAGAAATTTAAAACACCCAATTTAAAATTATTATGTTGATAGCCCAGCCTGGCGGAACAACAGGGTCTTGTTGAGCTGGAAGGGCCCTTAGAGGTCCAGCCCCCTGCTTGAGCAATAAATCCTATACCATTTCAGTCAAATCAGACTATCCAGTCTTTTCTTAAAAACCTCCTACGATGAAGCACCCACAACATCTGAAAGCAAGCTGTTCTCATTGTTAAGAAGTTTCTCCTTAATTCCAGGTTGTGTCTCTCCTTGATTAGTTTCCATCCATTGTTCCTTGTCCTGCCCTCTGGTGCTTTGGAAAATAAATTGAACACCTCTTTGCGGCAGCCTCTCAAATATTGGAATACTGCCATCATGCCCCACTAAACTTTCTTTTCTCTAGATTAGCCAAACCCAAATCCTGCAACCATTCATATGTTTTACTGTCCAGGCCTTTAATCGTCTTAGTTGCTCTTTGCATTTTTTCCAAAATCTCAAAATCTTTTTTGTAATGTGGTGACCAAAACTGGATGCAGTATTCCAGGTGTGGGCTTACTAAGGATTTATAAAGTGATACTAATACTTCACATGATTTTGATTCTATGCCTCTGTTTATACAACTAAGGATTGTATTAGTTTTTTTGGCTGCTGCTGCGTACTACTGACACATGTTTAAGTGATCATCCACTAGGACTCCAAGGTCCTGTGAGAAGTATACCCCAAAAAGACAGTGCCAGAAACCTTTCTTCCAGCAGTCCCTTTCACAGTTACTGTTTTTGAGCCACGGTTTGCCTAATCTGTATTTATTTAGTCATATGATTTATCTCAGAAAACTCTTTTATCTTTGAGAAATTAGCCTGATAAGCTACTGACATGATGTTTTCTGGACATGGAAAGATAATTAAATCACTCCTGCCTTTCCAAAGACATACTGGTGAGTTTTAAGATTATCTATTATTTCTGCTGATAATATATTGTCATGTTATACTCTTACATTTAAGATTACATTGGTCTGGTGCCTTCTTTGCAATTGCTTTGCATTTCTTTTTTGTTTGGCTTATTGTTTGTGTTTCACGCTGGTCATTGACCAAAATAAAGTTTGGACTGGATGCTTGTAATTAGAGTGTGTCATTTAATAGGGTGAAAATTAATTTTTGAATTTTTTTTAGTGAGGGGTTTGAAAAATAGGTTTCAAATCTGCTGTTATTTTTGCAATTGCACAGCGTTTAGCTTGCTATGATAAATTCACGTCTGATCATATACCCCACAAAAGTCTCTTGTAACCCAAATACTGTTAAGTTTATCTTCTCAAAATTACATCTTGTGCTGCAAAAATTAAAGGTTTTTTTCTGCATGAATCTTATTAGCTAAGCAAAAAATAATCAATGCAATCATAAACTAACTTCAGAAAGCAATTATCTGAGTTACAAAAATGATTACGTGAGTTTCATCAAGTTGTGTTTTGATTCATTCTTCGACATCAGCCGCCATCTTGGTCTCTGATATAATTCTCACATTTCTCATGTGTATACACTCTGCTTGCTGCTTCTGTGACCTGTTTCATACATCTTTGTATTGATAGGGGATGACAAGGCCCACTGTGATACTTACATTGGTTTGTCAATGAACTTCTTTATTTCTGCTTTAGTCAGTTGGCATGTCAAAGGTGACTCATATACACCTTCAGACTAGTTACTCCAGCAGAGTGGATGTTCTGGCATTGATTAAAGGCATTTTTCTTGCACATAGAGAAAAATCTCCCAGCGTGTGATTGTCTGCACCCCTCAAGTCAATGATCTTTTGCAGACCAGCTCTCATCTCTTGAATGTCATATGAACACAAGAGTGTCTGGATTATCATTTCACTGAAAGCATACATGCTGAGCACTGAATGGTTGGCAAAATAACATCTGCTACCACCTTCTTTTGCAGTCTAACTTGCTGCAGCTGGAACAACACATGATGCAGGCCTGGAGACAAAAACATTTGAAGAACAGTTGCAGGATTGGGTATGGCCAGTCTAGGGATGATTGCAATATTCCAGTATTTGAGCAGCTGCCATAAAGAAGAAGAGGTCAACTTATTTTCCAAAGCACCATAGGGCAGGACAAGACTCCTTGATTCCATGGATGGAATCAAGGAGAGAAGCAACTTGGAATTAAGGAGAAATTTCCTGACAATGAATACAATTAACCAGTGAAACAGCTTGCCTTCAGAAGTTGTAGGTGCTTCATCACTGGAGGTTTTAAGAAAAGACTGGACAACCACCTATTTGAAATGGCACATGGTCTCCTGCTTGAGTAGGGGGTTGGACTAGAAGACCTTCAAGGTCCCTTCCAGCTCTATTTTTTCCAAAGCTGGGGCAGTGTATGCCAAAGCAAATTGTTTCTGACAGTTCTACTTACTGTATTTTTCGGAGTATAAGACGCACCGCAGTATAAGACACACCTTAGTTTTTGGGGAGGAAAATAAGAAAAAAGCTGATTGGTAGATAGATCAACCTCCTGGAATACCCCCAATCAGCTGTTCCCAGAGATGAATTTTAGCAACAGGTTCCTTGGTTGTGAGCTCTGTTCCTTGCTTTTCTTTTCTTTTTTTGCTTTTTTTTCTGCCTCTGAAACTTCTGAAACGTTTCAGAAAAAACTTTTTTTCCTGCCTCAGAAAGCCTCCAAAACAGAGCTTCAGAAAAAAAGAAAAAAAGCCTCTGAAGCTCTGTTTGGGAGCTTCTTTTCTGAAGCTTTTCTGATGCTTTTTTCAGCCTCTGAAACCTCCATTTCAGAAGCTGGGCGGGGCTACATTTGGAGTATAAGACTCACCCAGATTTTCACCCTCTTTTTTGGGGGAAAAAGCTGTGTCTTATACTCCAAAAAATATGATAAGTCAACCCATACCAGATGTTCCATGTGAAGAGGAATGGGAAAATTGCTTCTTCCTGTGTGCAGTACAAATGAAGAACTAGTGCCAGCTTCTTAAATTACCTATGTAATCATGGAAAAATCATGTTTAAGAAACCTCAAATAGTACTTTTGTCTAGATACTATGAAGCACCTTTCTGCCTTTGAATCCAAAGTGCTGTACTGGGTTGTATCTGTTTTTTCCTATTCTGTTTAATCTCAAAGCTATTACATAAAACACATTAGACGATGACTATTCAGAAAATTAAATAAAATGCAGTAAATCCGACAGATGAAAATCCAAACAGCAATATAATTCTGTTTTGTCTGATTTGGCACTTTAAACTGCCAAACTGGCTAGATTTATGCATTAGCAAAGCTGAGTATTTTATTTTGACAGATTTAAGGTTCGTTAAACATGAGGAACATGAGGATCATTCAGAACATACAAGTATACATAAAAATATAAACTCCTGGAGAAGTAATGGTGAACTGAACATAACTGCGGTATCTGCGGTAAAACCAGGAGCCAGCAAACCATATTAGTGCTTCAAGATTCCTCTTAGGATAAAGGGGAGGAGACTGTAAAACAATGGTCTCTGGCAGATTTTAGAATTCTGGGAGCCAATAAAAAGTCACTTTGCCCAAGTTATATTTCCTCCTTTTACAGTTACAGAGTTGTAAGGAACCTTGGAGGTCATCAAGTCCAACCCTCTGCTCATGCAGGAGACCTGTACTAGGGTTTAGAACCACCAAACTGCCGACCTTTCTGATCAACAAGCTCAGTCTTAGCCACTGAGCTACCTAGTAAAGCACCTAATTTGGAGTATTCAAGTAGACACTTTCTTTCTTAATTATTTCTGGAAATAGCTTGCAATTATGCTTTTGGATATTGAGAACCTGCAGAATGGCGTGTTTCATCCCACTCAAAATTTATAACAACATTTAAAATTTATTCTGAAATAAACAGCAAAAAGAGTAATAAGATCTTTGATTCTGGAAAGTTATAAACACCTAAAAGGCTAGATGGATCAGAAATAAAAATTTAAAACTAATTATAAGACTCCTTCCCATGGGTTGTTTAAAATCCTGTTAAAATATATGAAGATTTTAAAGGCAAGAGTAAGAAATATTCATATAGGAAAATCTGGAAAATGTAGAAAAACATAATAAGAGGAGACTTGAAAGAATGGACACTAGAAGCAACCAGAAAGAACTAAAGATATAATTAAGGGACAAGAGACCCAGTAATACAGAATGGAGAAAAGTGTGTTAACTTTGGAAGAATTCAGGGATATTTGGGAGCAGTGCACTCAGAAATTTCTCTTAAAATCTACTATAAGCATAAGTTTAAAAGAGGAGATAGAAGAGGATACAACTGAGAATCAGAGAATTTTGGATATGGATTTAAAAAGACAAGTTACAAGAAAGATAATGCAAATAAAACCAGCTGATTTCTCAATAACTAAACAGGACATACAAATAATAAATTAGATGAGTGACTTGAATAACTTACTTTCTTTGGATTAAAAAAAAGATATACTCATGAATTAATATCAAATATGCACAAAACTATGTACTGTATTTGGCTGCTTCTCATGGAATATAGGCAGGTGTACTTCAATATTGCTTTTAGCCCCCCATTTCTGTGCCTGCTATTCCCTTCAATTGAAGCATGGTTTCAATCACAAATATGTCTCCTCGGCTGTTCATTTGGTTGCATTGCATCTATTTTATTAATGTCCACTACTAATAAGAACATAGCCATACCCATGTAGATATTCAAGTAATAATTAGGAAGTATTTTGCAAAAAAAAAAAAAAAAGGTCATCCTTTGTAACTGAATCTTGGTTATGACAGTAAGATCTGATGCTAATACAGTAGTTCGGCTGAAGTCTTGCAAAGGGTGGAGTAGAAGAGCAGAAGAGGCGGTGGCAACGCGCAAGAACTCTGTCGGGCTTAAGAACTGCCGCCATGGCCGCATTTGCAGCAATCCTGTCCTGGCTGCACTGGTGCAGCTTGTGGATGCTGCTTGTGGCCGCTTCCGCTGCTTCCTCTTGGGCCATCGCTGCGGACGAGAACATCGGCAGGGAGACAAGATCTATACAAGGCCGCGAAACAGATGCAAAAGGGAATCAGCCCGATGAGAAGCATCAACCTCACGATTCCTCATATGGCACTTTCGCCAGCGAGTTTTACGATACCCGCTTCCTCTCCGACGAGGGTGAGAACCTATCCAAATAGAGCAGAGATCTAGAAGCACTTCAGAGGGAAGACAGAAGGGGAAAAAATTGAGGTTATCTTATTTTAATGGATGCAACGGGCTGCGTCTCTTTTGCTGTTAAAAAGGGAATTGTAGCATTATCAGCCACCGGCTGAAGTGGGGGAAGGGCACTCCGTACATGATCAAAATTCTGTCTTGCCTTTTGGAAATCCTTGACTGTTTTGGGGAAGGGGTGAGATAAAGTGGGATAAATACGTTCGAGTCAGCAAGTAAGGTATAATATATGGTTGCGAAGTTTCCTCCATTTGAGATGAATTGGTTTCCCGGAGTGAAGCAAAGAAAATGATTTTCTCTACTCGACTCCTTTCCCCAGACTCTCAATTTCTAGTGGCTACCATGGAAACAGAGGCTGTTGGAATGCAGGCATATTGTTATCCTAAGAATATTCTCTGAATCTATTTAAAATCCAGGATGGGTTAAACAGAACCATTTTATCAGAATAGCATACATCTGCTTAAAAAAATTAAAATATGAGATATATGCAGAGTATAAATTATTTAGCATTAGGTGAAACTAATCCTATAGAGTGCATGCTTTCTGTGCCTGCTTCAGTATGGTTTTGAAGAATTTAAGTTTGCTTGTTCTAAATAAAAGGAAAGCCAGTATGCTCAAATTATTGATAATTGTGGTGTACATGGGGTGAAAGAAGTTTAATGGGGAGATTGTGCAATTCTTTTTGACCTATTAGATCTGGAATTCTTCTGTATTCATAAATTTAAGTCCAAAAGGGAAGTGATAAGATTGGGCCACCTTGCCAGATAGGAAAACTTTTGCTATTTATTGGTTAAGTCTGAGTAGGCTCAACCAGAGATGTATCTTCTGTAGTGTGGTATAGGCATCAATCTAGTCCTTGCCTTACGATCACAACTGAGCCTAAAATTTCTGTTGATAACTGAGACATCAAGTGAATTTTGCCTCATAACTTTTCTTGCCACAATTATTACGTGAATCCCTGCAGTTGTTAAAATTAGTAACATGGTTGTTAAGTGAATCTGGCTTCCCCATTGACTTTTCTGGTCAGAATGTTATAAAAGATGATCACATGACTCCAGGATGTTGCCATCATTATAAATATGAGTCATCTGAATTTTGATCATGGGGATGTTGCAACAGTCGTAAGTGTGAAAAACGGTCATAAGTCACTTTTTCAGTGCCATTGTAACTTAGAATGGTCACGAAACGAACTGATGTAAGTCGAGGACTATGTGTATTCTGGCTCACAAGATCTAAATTAAAGATTCTAGCTTGCATAGGATAAACATGAATATACTCAGGTTTCAGAATAACTTTTTTCATACTGGCCCATATGTATTGTGAGGGCCACACAGATGGATTTGCATCTTAATACTTGCAAAGTGATTTTTTTAGTACTATTGCGCAGAAAACATGTTTTCATGTATTTTAAATTTGATTTTTCAAATTTATTACTAATAATTTGCCATTAGCCTTGACCTTCAGGAATAGGGTCTCTTTTAGAAACCAGGACTGCCAGGGAAGCATTTGATACATTGTAGATAAAAGTTTCATTTTCAGCTATTCTCAATTCTCCTTGAACAAAGTACTTGTAATGATCAAGCCCAACCTTGGAAAGCACTGAAAATATATCCTACTGATACCCAATCTGATGTTTTTTTTCCTTTGCAAAGACACATGTCTTTTACTTAAATTCAGGATACAATAATCTTTTCCATTATTTATTTAGCGTATGGTTGGTCACACACAGTATTAAAACACTCCATTTTTACAGGTTAAAAACAATTAAAACAATAAAAAAACAGTAAGAAAACCTAAAAGGAAAACAGAAATAACATTTCAAAGTTTGTGAAATCAGTTCTGCAGGGTCATCCCTATAGTTCCTTAGCTCTTCCTGAGTGATTCTTTTTCTAAAGGTTTTCATAAGATACAAAGTGATTTTCTTAAAAAATTGCATAACATACAAGGTGATTTCATTCTAATCAGCAAGAAAAAGCTGGTTGAAGATGTAGAAGTAGTTGGAACTTTTGGCAGAAGCAATCATGTAATCCTGGGTTTCAAGATACAACAGAAATTGAAATTCTAGCATAGTTGTACGTGCATTTTAGGAGAGCCGATTTCAACAACTATTGTTGGATTCCACAAACAAAAGTTCAGAGGGCAGAGGATTTAAACTTCTCAAAAAAAAAAAGAAAAGAAAGAAAGAAAGAAAGAAAGAAAGAAAGAAAGAAAGAAAGACAGACCTCACTTTTGTATGATATCAGATTTTTCCAATCCTCTGGTATTTCCCCTGTGCTATGTAGCTTTTTCTTACTAAATCCTTGTCCATTTGGCTTGTATATGTGTTCTACAGCCCACAAATACTTCACTTGGAAGTATCATTGGATGCTTCTCTTCATGTTGATAAAGAACCTTTATAAGAGGTTCAAAAGGGAGGAGCGGACCTGGTGGGTATTACGGAGACCTGGTTGGGCCCGGAGGGTGGCGTCCCTCTGGTTGAAATGTGCCCACCAGGCTTCAGAGCATTCCATCAGCCAAGGGCCCAGGGGAGGGGCGGGTGGGTGCCGGTTATTATTAACGAGGATCTGGGTCCGAGGGAGACCACTGTGCCTCAGATAGCCGGATGTGAGTCCCTCCTTGTGAGGTGGGGCCGTGGGGTTCAGATGGGCTTGCTGCTTACATACCTGGCTCCCTGCCACGTGGCAACAGCCCTACCTAAGCTACTCGACGTGATAGCCACGGTGGCAGTAGAAACACCCAGGCTTTTAGTCATGGGTGATTTCAACTTGCCATCCGCTGGTGAAACGTCTGAGGTGGCTCGGGAGTTCATGGCTTCCATGACGGCCATGGACCTGACCCAGTTAGTTCATGGCCCTACTCACAGGGGAGGTCACACTCTGGACTTGATTTTTGTCTCTGGCCAGTGGTTGAGTGGTCTTGTTATAGGGGGCATAGACATGGAACCCTTGTCATGGACTGACCACTCACTCCTTTGCCTAGATCTTCGAATCGCAACCCCTCGCCGCAGGGAAGCGGACCCAATTAGATGGATCTGCCCCAGGCGCCTGATGGATCCTGATAGGTTCCAGACGGAGCTTGGGCCATTTCCTGAGGATCTAGCATATGACTCAGCCGAGGACCTGGTAGCCGCCTGGGATCGGGCGGCTGGTGGGGCCTTGGACCGAGTCGTGCCTTTGCGGCCTCTGACCCGGTGCTGATCCCGTGCAGCTCCTTGGTTTACTGAGGAGCTGAGGGAAATGAAGCGCCAGAAAAGACGCCTGGAGAGCGGTTGGAGGGCCAGTCTCGCTGAATCTGATCGAACACTGGTAAGGTCGCATATTAAGGCCTACCTAGTGGCAATAAAGACGGCAAAGTTTAATTACTTTTCCGCCTCTATTGCGTCATCAGGGAATCATCCGGCCGCCCTGTTTAGGGTGACCCGCTCCCTGCTCCATCCGGGAGTGTGGGAGGATCCCTTAGAAGGCATTTTTCACAATTCCTGGAGGAAACATCTTATCTAGATCCGTTCCAGTCGGGTTTCAGGTCTGGGCATAGCATGGAAACGGCATTGGCCGCGTTGGTTGATGATCTCTGGAGGGCTCGGGACAGGGGTTGTTCCTCTGTTCTGGTCCTGTTAGATCTCTCAGCGGCTTTTGATACCATCGACCATGGTATCATGCTGCACCGGCTGGAAGAGTTGGGGGTGGGAGGCACTGTGCTGCGGTGGTTCTCCTCCTTTCTCTCCGACCGGTCGCAGTTTGTGTTGGCAGGGTGGCAGAGGTTGACCTCGAGGCCTCTCCTCTGTGGAGTGCCGCAGGGATCAGTCCTCTCACCCCTTCTGTTCAACATTTATGTGAAGCCGCTGGGTGAGATCATCCGTGGCTTTGGGGTGAGATACCACCAGTACGCTGATGACACCCAGCTGTACATCTCCACCCCAGGCCACCCCAACGATGCCCTTGAAGTGATGTCCCAGTGCCTGGAGGCTGTGCGGATCTGGATTGGGAGGAACAGGCTCAAGCTCAACCCTTCCAAGACTGAGTGGCTGTGGCTCCTGGCATCCCGATATAGTCAGTTGACTCCATCACTGACTATTGAGGGCGAGTCTTTGGCCCCCACTGAAAGGGTTCGCAATCTGGGAGTCCTCCTGGATAGGCAGCTGTCTTTGGAGGAACATCTGACGGCTGTTACCAGGGGGACCTTCTGTCAGGTTCGCCTGATTCGCCAGTTGCGGCCCTTTCTCAATCGGGATTCCTTGTGCACAGTCACTCACGCCCTCGTCACCTCTGCCTTGGCTACTGCAATGTTCTCTACATGGGGCTCCCCTTGAAGAGCACCCGGAGGCTCCAACTGGTCCAGAACGCAGCAGCGTGGGTAGTGATGGGAGCAACATGGCGCTCCCATGTAACACCGCTCCTGCGCGAGCTGCACTGGCTCCCGGTGGTCTTCCGGGTGCGCTTCAAGGTGTTGGTTATCACCTTTAAAGCGTTCCATGGCATAGGGCCTAGCTATCTGCGAGACTGCCTGCTGCTACTGACGACCTCCCATCGACCCGTGCGCTCCCGTGCGCTCCCACAGAGAGGGCCTCCTCAGGGTGCCAACAATGTAGGCTGGTGGCCCCCAGGGGGAGGGCCTTCTCTGTGGGGGCTCCTACCCTCTGGAATCAGTTGTCCCCTGAGATAAGGAGAATCCATGACCTCAATGCCTTCCGTCGTGCCCTTAAAACCCATCTTTTCCAGCAAGCCGGGCTGGCTTAAGAAGAAATTTTTAAATTCTTTTAATCAGTTTGTGACTTCTTAACTTTCGGGCCAAATTTATATATATTTTTAACTGTTTTTAATATTTGTATTCTATGTTCTTATCTTGGCTGTACACCGCCCTGAGTCCTCAGGGATAAGGGCGGTATATAAATTGGAAATTAAATTAAATAAGATACCTACTGTTCAGCAGGTGAAAATCATTTGGGA